CGCAATGCGTTGGCTCGTGTCGCGTGCTGGTTCGGGCCTTCTTCCTCCGTAGCTTTCTTTGCTAGTACGTCTGCGATTTCGTTTCCGACGATGCCCTTGTGGCCTGGCGTCCACGCCACTGTGATTCGATGTTTGGGGCTTGCTTCCAGGAATCGTATGGCGAAATTCCTGAAGGTTATCGAGTGGATCTGCGAGGGGCCTGGTTTCGCCTCGAAGATGGCTGAGATCGCGGCGGTGTTGTCGGCGAAGAAGTGTAGGTGGCTGATGTCTCGAGCGTCGTCGCACTGGAGGTATTCTTCCATGTCGACGGCCGCCTCTGCTAGTCCTAGCATCTCCGCGTCGTAGACCTCCGATTTCCTGCTCATGGCTATTATCCTCTTGAATAGAATCTTGTTCTGCTGGGCAACGACAAAGCCTGCGCCGGCACGGCGTTGGCCGTTCTCTGTGAGTAGGGAGCCATCAGAGTAGATCATCACATTTTCTCGTGACCGTTTAAGTTTGCTTAACTTTCCGTTGTGCATCTTCATTGCCTCGTTCTTCGTCACTCCTTTGACTGCCGGCGTGATCACCAGTCGGCCTCCAAAGTCGGCCGGGGTCTTCTTCCATGGCGGTGCGGCGAGCGGCACTATGCGCTCGTCGCTGGGGTCCGATCTCTTCGCAAGGTTGCAGAGTCGAGTGGAGGCAGGGGGTGTCTTGCGGCGGGCTGTCACTTTGCGGTGAGTGGGACGCGGGGGAGCTGGTGTCGAGGTTGGTAGTATGTTCCATCCCTCTGGGAGGCGTCGGATGATCGGGCTGTGGGCGCTGAGTTTGTTGAATCTTATGGCGGCGCGGTCTTTCGTGAGTTCTAAGTGGTGTCGGATGGGTAGGATAGCGGCCTCGATTTCCATCGCCACGATTTTCGTCGTCTTGAAGGCGGCACAGATGAGTCTCAGTGCTCGGTTCTGTACCTTCTCCAGTGCGTGTTCGTGTGCCTTCTTGCCTCTCCACCAGGCCGGGCACGCGTATGTCAGTATTGGACGTACGCATGCGGTGTATAGCGTCCTCAGGTGTTCTTGGGAGAGCCCTCGTACCGTGTTTGCGAGCATCCCCATGCCGTTTACGGTCTTCTCCGCTCGTCCAGCCATCTGTTTAACGTGGTGGTCAAAGTTTAGGCGGCGGTCCAGGTGGACTCCGAGCCACTTGGTCGTGTGTGTTGCCTGGATGGTTATGCGTATGCCGTTTGCTCCTGGTAGGGTGATTGACGGTGAGTCGTTTGGTTTGCGTTGTTTCATCGAGTAATGCATGAGTTCTCGTTTAACGAGGTCGGGCGACAGCCCGACGCTCGTCAGCCAGGCCTCTACGTCGTTGTATGCCAGGGTGAGTATCCGGATGTTTGTGTCGAGGGACTCTGACGAGACGTAGATCTTCCCGTCGTCGATGAACATGATCAGGCTGGTTTCGCAGGGGTTGTCGGGGAGCTTGAGCTTGGCGGTCATTGCTTCGACATGGGTGCGGGCTTTCTCTTGGAACATTTCCAGGAGTTCGGCGGCGTAGAGGATGGATAGGATGGGGGATATGGGGGAGCCTTGGGGTATGCCATTCGTGACTGGTTTCATGTCTCCGCGTATCCCGTCTAGGCAGATGGCGGCTTCGCGGTCTGATAAGAACGTCGCGGTCCATCGGACGAGTTGGAGTGGCAGATGTTTTGCTCGCATGACGTTGAGCAGGCGCTTGTGGTTGACGAAGTCGAAGAATCCTTTGATGTCGAAGGTGAGTGCGGACGTGACTTTGCCGTGGTTATGGGCTGCCTCGACGTCGTGTACGAAGGTGAGGATCGCGTCGTCCGTAGAGCTTGCGGGGCGACCCCCGAATTGGTTTGCTGGGACAAGGTTGTGTGTTGACACCAGATACGCCAGGCGGTTTGCGACGATGCGCTCGAGTGTCTTCCCTAGACACTCGAGGAGTTGTATCAGTCGGTACGCCCGTGGGTTGCTGTAGTCTGGTTTACCGGGTTTCGGCAGGGCGATGGCAATCGCCTTTCGCCAGGCGCGTGGGTGGTATCCAGTCTGTAGGCAGTGATGCATCAGCGTAGTGATTAAGTCCGGGGCCTCCTTCCAGGCCCATCGTATGACACGAAACTGGCATTGCGACAGCCTGGGGGCTTTGTCTGCGCCTTGTTCGAATATGGAACGCCTCACCTCATCGGCTGTGATGTCTTCGTCTGGGAAGTCCTCCTCGTGCGCGTTCTCCAGGTCATTGTCGGGGATGCCGTCTAGTGGTGGTGGTGGTTGGAAGAGCTCGTCCCGCAGCGCGTCGCACTTGTCTTTGTGCGCGACCGCGGGCTCTTGGCCTGGTCCTCTCGAGATGGCTGGGGACTGGTACGATCGCACGCCTTTTCCCCACTTCGTGAAGCTCCAGATATCCGCTGACGTCGCTTCCTCGAGCGTGTCCGTGATCCACTTCTGGCGTGCCTTCCTGTATAGCCGCTTGAAGTAGTTCCGAGACTTCTTTATCTTCACGTTTGTCGCTGTTGCCTGGGACCCCCAGCGCTGGATGTGCGCTAGGCTCTGTGAACGTAAGTCTGCGATCCTTTTTGCTGCGCCGTGCAACTCCGCGTTCCACCACGGCCGTGCTCTATCACTCGGTTTCCTGACTTTTGCTGCCGTGGTGTTCGCTTCCTGCATGGCAGCTGTTATCGCGTCAGCCGCCTCGTCCACCTGGTCTGGCGTAAGTATAGTCCGCCGGTCCTGCAGTCGGCCTAGTGCCCGACTATGTCCCTGGAGCGCTGTCCTGAAGGCTTTTCCCCACTCCTTCGGGTCCGTGTCCTTGAAGTTGTATCGCTCTCCTGCGATGTTTTCGATTTCCGCGGCTCCGTGGTCGATCTCCCATCTCAGAGCGAAGTGGTCCGACCCGAACGACATGTCCTGGTCTATGCGCCAGTGTCGAGCCGTGTCGAGTTCTGTCGCCTTCGGGTTGGTGAACGTCAGGTCGAGCGTCGATTGCGTCCTGTGGTCATGTGAGAAGTAGGTAGGTTCGCCTTTCTCGTTTTTGATCACATAGCCCCTTTCCGTTAGCCAGTCCACCGTCTGGTCCGTCCTCTCTGTGGCCGGGTCCGCGATGCGTGACCAGAGCGGGTGGTGGAGGTTCCAGTCCCCCGAGATGATTACGGGTAGCTGTGCTGGGATGTCGAGCCTCTGGAGTCGCTTCGCTGCTGACCGTGTTCCCTCCTTCTTGTCATCGTTGTAGATGTTGATGATGATGGTAGGAGGGTGCGGGGCCTGGGCGATTTCGAGCACCTGCATATCGAGGTCGTTAGCTATGTCTGATCGGAGGGTCACAGAGAAGTCCCCTCGCCGGCGTGTATACGCCATGGCTCTGGGACGCTTTCCCTTTTTCACTGCTGATACCGGAAGTATCGGCGTCCAGCCCGCCGCCGCTTCCGATACCGGTCCTTTGGTGTCGTTGCCTATGTTGCCCCACCACGGTTCAGTGACGAGGATTATGTCAGCTGAGTCCTCGTCTGTCGCCGTGTTGAGCAGCGCGTGGATCGCTGAGTTCTGCTTGTTGGCGTTGAGTTGGAGCACCCGGATTGGTTTGGTTGTGTTCATCATACTGAGGCTGCTGCGAGGCTCTCGACTTGTTCTCTTTCTTGGTCCCTGGTTCTCGCTGCGATTTGGCTTGGCGAGAGCCTGCTCTCCAAGTACGCAACTGCTGTTGAGAAATCGTCGTCAGAGATTGTTAGAGCGGTTTGGCAGAACGATGTTTCAAACTGGGGGAATCGCTTCTCTAGCGATGCCAGGTCGTTCTTCGCCTTCTCTTGGTTGAGGGCCTCGTAGCGGTTCTTGGTCCGCGCGTCCTCCTTGCGTTTTGCTTGGCTTGGCCCTGCTTCTCCCTCTCCTGGGCCCTTGTTGGCGTTGGACGACGACTTTGGGCCTCGTGCCTCTTTCCACCCTGGGCCCGCGGAGCTGGTTTTTACGCCCTCTGGTACGCGCGACGGTCTGGATTTTGTGGTGCCTGCTGCTCTGGACCGGCTGGCGCACTCTCGCCAGTTTGCTGAGTGCGGTCCGTTGCAGTTAGCGCATTTGAAATCATGCTTACACTCCTCCATGTTTGTGTCCCCGTCTGGTTTCTCACTTGCGCACTCTTTGCAGACATGGTTCTCCTCACTGTGCTCCGATTCTCCGCATATCCGGCATTTCTCGGCTCCATGGCAGCGCGATCGTGTATGTCCGAAGTCCCAGCACCTCCCGCACTGTAACACTGGAGGTTTGTCAGCGTAGCGTTTAACGTCTGCGAACTGGCCTGCTATGGCCATGTTCTTTACTCGGTTCACCAAATGGTCGGCGTCGGCTTGGGTCTTGAGGGCGAGGACGACGGACGAGAAGGCTCTGGTCAGTAAGTCTCCCCTGTGCCTCATCCAGCGTGGAAGGTCCCATACTGCCATCTTAGCGTAGTCCGGGTTCAAGCTCCGGAGTTCCGCCTCTACCTCCTCCGGAGTTGCAATGTCTCCTGTACTATCGTTATGCGTGCGGACCCCGTTTAGCTGTACCTTGAACCATTTCTCGTCCGCCCGTATCCTTGTCTCTCGGTCGCCCGCGAAGAAGCCTACAAAACTGGGCGCGAAAGGAGCGAGCTCCCCTGCCGACAGGTCAGAACGCGTGAAGATGATACAGTTATTGTGGGCGTTGAACTTCACGTTCACCACCCACAAATGTTTACTCTCGTTGCTTCCTCTGAGTACTTCGTTGATGTACTTTACGATCTCCACTTCGCTCGGCCTCTCCTTCTCCGTCGGGCCGTCCTTCATCTCCACTATCAAGCGCGTGTGGTGGTGCGCCGACAGCGGGTTGAGCGACTGGCGTGGCGGTGCTCTCGGCTTCGGTTTGATGGGTTGTGAGGTCGCTACCACTGTGCGGACTGTCGGCCTGTCCCTCGTGGTTTTGGTGGTTGTCGTCCTTGTGGTGGCTGTGTCGTCCTCTGAATAGATGGTGTCGGGGGTGGAGGCTGGGTTCCTGGCCTCCATGGCGTCCATCCGGGTCGCCAGTCTATCAATCGTCTTCGCTATGCTGTCCAGTAGCTTTGTTTCGGCGCTTGCGGTGGGCGGCGTTGGCGACGCCGGCCTAGTCGTTGGGACTACCTGTGGTTCTCTTGGCTTGGTGAGTCGTTCTGCAATGGTTTCAGCGTGTTCGGTGACTGTGCTCGTGTACTCAGCGTGGATGGACATCTCCTTCAGTAACTCTGCTGCACGTCCTAGCGCCTCCTCTAGGAGTATCATTTTGCGCATGTTTTCGTCTCCCTTGTTCTTGTTCGGGCTGAACAGGTCTTCGATGTCCTCATTCATTCTCATGTCTGTGTTCTTTCTGGACGGCTTTGGGGTCGGCGACTCCATACTCGCCTTGTCTACCTCCGTCTCGTTTTCCTCACAATTTTCGGACTCGTAGGTCTGTTCTATGCCTATCATGGCAGCTGTTGGTGGTTTAGGGGATCTTCTGATGGACTTAGCAAGCTTGTCGAGGACTGTGCGTCCTCGACTCGGCGTCGTCGGTATTAGCGCCGGGATCTCGGGCTTCCCTCGCGTTTTCCCCTCGACCTGGTGGCCTTGGCTCTTTGGATCTCCCTCGTGCGTACGTGTAGGATAGGGCTGGTGCCTATGGTCTCCACCGACCCCCTCGTGGGTCTCTTTAGCTCTACTCATCTACCGTTTTTTCTCTATTTTCCGAGCGTGGGAAAATTCGAGATGGTTGTGGTATGGGGAAGAGGAGCGTTTTTGGACTTGGGGATCTAGCTAGTCGGCATCCTAGTAAGTTAACAGGAAGTGCGAGAAGGAGCAATCGCTCTGACTAAAAACATTCGTATCAAACAGCGTCCAGTTTCGCGCGTTTTGTATCGCTACTGTGGATGCTTGCATGCAGAGGCCGCGTTGCAGCCTGCGTATGTGTACCGTGTTCCTGAGGTGGCTCCGAGAAGATGAATGGTGCCAGACAGTAGCAGCCGGACATCACGTCAGCAGTGAGTATATCGTGCTGCACGCGACGTCGATATACTCACAAAGGCGGGATCCGCGGCAGTTTTGTTTCACTACGCAACAGTCATCATCCGTGTCCTGGACTCCTGTAGATACTGGGTTGAATTGGAACCACGGGATTGGGCGAGGCGGGTGCCGAAGAGGGTCCAGAATGATGTATCGAAGCGACGATGAGTTCGGAGAGGAACGATCGACAACTCTCTGGGCGGCGTCCAGCGACCCGGATACTCGCACTAGCTCGACACATACTCACTGGTACTGGATCCTGCGCTCGCGATAGTATCGCGACACCTCCCTATCCCACGCGCTCGATCTACTGGTTCTGCACGACCTGCACGCAGCGTCCGATCTTCCGCTCGAGCTGCTCGAGCACGCGCACGTCGTACGTGTTGCTCGTCCCAACCCTGCACATGGTGCCCGTGTTCTGCAGCGTGACGAGCGCATGTCACGCGCTCACGGTGTCGGCCAGGCGCGAGAGTGTCGAGTGCGGGAGGGGGCTGTCGAGGTGAGTCGTGTGCAGGTTCTGAAGCGAGTTATCGACGGAGGTGTGAATCCGGGTGGGGATTATTGTAGGGGAGCGGTTTGGAGCGGTCTTGCCCACCGAGCTAGGCTAACCTGGGGAGTGAAGAACGGTCGTAAGAAGAGGGTTGGAGGTGTGTCATTTGTGAGGCTCACTTTGTCCGGATCCAAAGGTCCTCTTCCCTCGCGCTTGATGCCGTGTTGTTTCTGTAGAATGTCCAGCACTTCGCCTACAAGTTCTTCGGCGCTGCAAACAGCGGTATCAACAGGGAATTTGAGCATTCCCAAAACAATCATACATACCTGTAATGCTTTGGCTGGCCGGCTACGTAGCGCGGGATGAACATGTGTGTACCGGTTCGAGAGCGCGGAAGCCATTGACCATTGACCGCATTGACGACAAGCTCAGTGGCGCGCTCCTTCGTCCTCGAGTTCCCCACGTCAATCCTGGCGACGACCTAGCAGTTGCAGCACACATCACGCAGTGCCGTAAATAGTCTCTGGGGTGATGATCGCAGCGACGCAGCCTCACATACAAATGAGTACCGGAGAGCGTTAGGGATCAGTTTGAATGCTCTGAGACGGCGGTGGACGGCGGTGGATCGTCGCAGCAGAGCCTTGAGGACCGTGACGGTGTGGTAGTTGATGCCGCCGGTGACGTCCCTGAGTCCTCGTTATTCTACTTAGTAGTCCGTACGGAGAGCACCTTCAAGTCGTCAGATTGAACGTTGCGTACATCGTATGCATATGAATGGGCTGAGGTGCGAGCGGTCACGATGAAGCCCTGGACGTATATCGGCGTTGAATCACGACCTAGTACAATAGTCATGAACTTGAAACCATGAGCTGGCGGAAAGATACGACGTACTGGGGACGCAACGTATGTCGCGGCTTGACTCGAAGTTCGGGTTCCGGATATCCTTGTTGTATTACGCGTTTTGCGAGGAGAGTAGTCAGTCTCGCTCGGCGCACTCAGGACGCGTCCGTGGTCAGTGAGAGATCGCGCCCCGATCTCATCATCGCGGAATGACGGGTGAGAGTGAATTGAACGGCGGGAGCGCTTCTCTGACCCGATCATGGAACCAATGTTCATGCTATTGCGGCAGGAATGGGTGGGTTATCACGGCGTAGTGACGGTACGCACAGTACGTACGCCAGCTCGTGACCGCTGCAACCGGCTCAAATGCAGCGCGCTTACGCGTCTGTGGCTGAGAGATCGCCCCCCGATCTGGCATCCTTCGCGTCGCCGTCGTCCATCCCCGAGCACTTGCTCGCTGTCCCGCCACATCTTGTCGGACTTTCACGCAGTATTGGACAATATAAGCTGCTGACATTACACGCCTAGACTATGTGCGCAATCCCCGGTACACAGCTGAGTTGGCAGTCGGAAATGCAGCGAGCTTGGACTCCCGTACTTATTGGCCTCAGGCTCAGGCGCCGGTGAGTTCCATATAATACATGTCTCCCCGTCTCCTAGCTCCTTGTTTTCCCTCCCTCTCCGGAACTATGCGTTCAACGCCGCTCAGTATATAAATACCGTTCTCGTACTGCTGCCCACCCACAGACACCGCATACTATTAACTTCTCTTCGCCCACTACCGGCCCGCCCTCAGGCTGTCATGTCGTCCTCAGGCTGCTTGTGGCTTGGAGGCGGTCATCGCTCGACGCAGGCCTTGACCCTCTCTTTGTTATTTACTTGGCGTTCCCTTCACACGTTACCATTATTTAGTATCAACCTCCTCTCTGAACCTCGCACGCCATTTATGCAACACCCTGCTATAGCCTGGTACGTCCTTCTCTTCCCGTAGACCGCTCTGCCGGGATTTACTTGCAGGCAGGTGCTGTCGAATGATTCCCGCGTACATCCGAGTGGGAGCAGCAGGCTCATAACCGATGGTCAGCCTGCCCGTCCTTGCGAAGTATTGGCGGCTGCCAGTGCTCGACTTCAACTTCGAGACGTCGTCCGTGTGCGCGAGCACCTCACGGGTGAGCCGTTCGATCTGTTGAGGGCCAGTGTTGACCCGCTGATTACTTGAGTGGCCCCATCGAGAGTCGGCCCTCGAGAGCTTGACGGCCCCGGCGAAGGCCTGTTGCTGGTAGCGTCTTCGGTGGTAAGTTGTTGACGGGCCTTCTTCGGTTGCCATATTCTGGTACCGAAAGGCTCTGCATGTGCGTACGAGTCCCCGAGCTGAGGAATGACGTGAGTGAGCGCACTCCGCATAGTGGCTTGTCAGGACTAACACATATGCGCTCTATAGCTCCATTGGATGGACGATCGTTGTGACACTGAACGTGGCCACTAAGGCCTCGCTGCTATGGCTGGCGACGACGGCCCGGTATAGGCTTCGGTGCCCCTTGTCTACAACCGAATGTACGCGGCATAGTGATGGAGTTGCCGCTCGGTGCGCCTTGCGCGGGGGAGTCGAAGTATAGCTGTACTAGTAGTGTGACTGCATCTGCTCGTGGGCAAATCCCGCGCCATAGAGGCGTCGAAATCCGTAGCCAATCGCATCCAAGAGGATCGGGAGGAATTAAGTCGTCCTCATCCTTCGTCCAGCCTCATGCTCAAGCGCTCATGTTTACTGCCACTCGGCTATACTGCTCGAAACATTTCGCTTGCACAATGTCATTACGTGCATTAGCAACACCCCTCCGGTCCTCAAATTCCCAAGCACGCATGACAGAGTCTTCACGTTTGATTGGTATTGCCAGTGGTACGCAACAATGTACACGATGCGCACAATAACCAGAAATACATATCAGCCCCATGATCATGTTTATACGTCCGCTCAGTCAAGCTCGTCTATCTCGAAGCCGCGCTCGAACAGCTCGCCGTTGAAGTCGTACTCCCGGGGTTTCTTGGGAAGGAATTCGGCTTTCTGCGCCGGGCGGTACGGCCGCGGATGTTGCAGAGGCGTACCCTCCCTAGACGCGGTCCAAATTGCGCTCGGCGGATCCCGAATGAAGCCGGGATTCTGACGCATCCGGTCCTGATGCTCCTTCCTCATCCGAGCTATCGACGCGGCGTGCGCCTTATCACTCTTTGAAGGGCCGCCACCACGCGCCTCAAGGTCTCGAGAGACGAGGTCGTCGTAGTAGCCGCGCTCCACCAGTGCGTCTTGGAGCTCGCGCTCAACTATGGAGGCATCCTCGGTTGCGCGACTGTTATTGATGGTCAATACGACATAAGAATAAATAACGAGAGGCTCACGTAGTGACCGGGTACGCGAGCGCGGGAGCTGTCGTCGCCGCCAAAAGGACAGCAGAGGTGATCGTAGAGTAACGCATGATGGGTCTTGTATGCTCGGGGGTCGTTACGAAGACCTTCGGTGGAAGGGACGTGAGTCGTCAAAAAAGAGAGCGGGGCTGGAGAAGTGCAAGGGGTAAATATAACATTCAATTGACCACCGTCGCTGAACACTCACTTGCCGGCAACCTACTCGGTGGGCTCGAAAGGAGAAGAGGAGCTGAGGGATACGGCAGGCATCCCTCTTCCTTTATACGTGAGTATGCACGGACTCGGGATCCCAGAAGATCGCATCACTGTGCTTGACAGCTTTTGACAGGCTTGACAGATCGTCGCGTGGTGGCAGTACGCGCCGCCTGGTGCATGTGCACCATTTGTTCGTCGTCGAGTATGAGAGGCCTGCTGCTACCGAAGGGAGCAGACTGGCGAGACGCGACGATAACTGGACTAGCCACTGCGGGCACCAAGCATCGGGGACATAGACTGGAGAATGACGTCAGCCCGTCGCTCAGTATGCTATTGCAGTAGTGAAGCATACATTCATCTACGGTAGCCGAGGAGATGCTATGCAGAAGAGACCAGACACTGAGACAGAGATCGGCTCCAAAGCTGCTGTCAGCTGCAGGTCGATGGCATGCATAGAGTACGAAGCGGTCTTGATCTCACATGACCTGCCTAGTACTGGCTGCATTGCCGCTGCTGGAGGGATTGTTGTGTCACCTCAGGGTGGACGGATCTTTTCGCTGTGTTGAAGCAACAATGGATGCGAAGCCTCGCGCAAGACGTAAGTACACTGGCGTGCGAGGCAGTCCAAGTCCTCCGATAGTCACGTAATACGAGCGATCTATGGACGTCCTCGTCTGCTCCAACAGACCGAGTGTCGGTTATGATAATGCATGGCGCCCACAGTGAAAGCCAGTACAGATCGACTCAAGTCGACGGAAGCTAAGTAGTAAGCCCTCTGCCCGGGCCTGCCACAAGCGTGAACAGGCCTTCGGCGAGCAAGGTCAGGATTGTCCTTGCACGAGGCCCGAGGGCCACTTAACCTGGGCTGGGCATCGTCATCGATATCGTCGGATAGAAGAAGGATGACGCACCTCTCATTGCGCAGGCAACAGTGTTCCGACCACTGGCTTGAAGCCCCATATCCCGTAGCTGCTAAACGCTGCTGTTCGGGACGAGCGGCAGCCGTATTTGTGGATCTAGTCTGAGTGACAAGAGGTGCGAGAGGGAGTGGTCGCTCTGACGAAAGCATTCGTGCCGTGCAATTCGGCAATGTCTACTGACGCGGGCTTTCTTCACACTGCTGTGGGCAATCGCGTGACTGCGACTTGCATGCAGAAGACACGTTGCCCTTGCAGTCTGAGTATGTATACCGTGTTCTTAAGGAGGCACCGAGAAGGTGAATGATATCGGATAGCAGCTGGACGTCACGTCAGCAGGGAGTATACCGTACGCCACGCGATGTAGGTGTACTCACAAAGACGGAATCGATGTGCTCGTGGCAGTTTTTGTTTGAATACGCGACAGTCATCACTCGTGTCCTGCATATTGACTTGAACTGGTGAAAAAGGATGGCGAGCCGGAACGGTTCCAGGATGATCTATTGGGGTGACGGTGAGCTCGGAGTGGCACGATCAACAACTCCAGGCGGCGTCCAGCGACAAGAATACTCGCACAAGATCAACGAATACTCACTGGTACTGGATCCCGCTCTCGCGACAGTACCGATACACCCACGCGTTCCCCTCGAACTTCCGATTCTGTACGACCTGCACGCGGTGCCCGGTCTTTCGCTGGAGCCGATGTCGTACGTGTTGCTCGCCCCGGTCGTGCGCACCGTCCACACGTTCTGCAGCGCGACGCGCGGTGCGCGCCGGGCGCCGGGCCCGAGAGCGGCGAGTGCAGAAGGAAGTTGTCGAGGTAGGTCGTGTGCAGGTTATGGAGCGAGCTTTCGACGGAGGCGTGAATCTGGGTGGGGATGATGTCGCTCTGGCTGCATGGGGAGGGTTTTAGATCGGTCTTGGTCGCCGAGCGAGGTTAACCTGGGTCGTAAGAAAAGGGTTGGAGGAGTGTCATTTGTGAGGCTCACTGTGCCCAGGGCTCCAGATCCAAAGGTCCTCCTCCCTCATGCTTGATGCCGTGTTGTTTCTGTATATGTCGAGCGCTTCGCCTACGAGTCCTCCGCTGCGAAGAGCGGGAAATTTTCGGCGGGGAATTCAAGAATTCCCAAAGCAATTATACTTACCTGTAGTGCTTTGTCTTGTAGTGCTTTGTCTGGACGGCGCGTCGATGAGGCGTGGTGAGAGACGAAACCACAGAATCAAGAGATGAACAGGTGCGTACCAGTGTCGGAGGCAATTGAGGATCGCGCTAACGACTATGTAGGTCAGTGGCAGTGCGCTCCTTCTTCCTCGAGTCCTCCACGTCAATGGGCCCGGCGACGACGTAGTAGCACTTGCAACACATACCACGCAGTGCCGTCAATGATCGTTGCGGTAATGATCGCAGCAACTCCACGTCAGAGCGATCGTACGAAAGAGTGCCAGGGAGCGGTAGTGGTCTGTCGCAGCCTTGAGGTTAAGCTTGAGGACATGACGGCGCGGTGGCTGAGGCCAGTGACCGACGCGTCTGTGGCTGAGAGATCGCTCCCCGATCTCATCCTTCGGCCGTGGCTCGCCGTCCATGTCAAACCCTTGCTCACCGCTACCGATTCAGAATCATTCGGCATTGCACCGTCGACTCTCCCGGCCAACGCAAGTTTTTTTCTATATGCGTGATCCCCGGTATACCGTGACGGCTGCCAGTGAGCAGGGACTCGGGGGGAGATGCGAGCTTGGAACATATTAGCCCGGCGGTGAGTTCCACGATCATTGTCCCAGTATGCGTATGGTCAATGACAGGTCGATGGGAACACGCATCGACCGTATCCGCCACTCATGCCTCGTGCGTGCGCGGCAAGCACCGCTGAGACGGTCGCCACTCCTGTTGTTGTCTCTCGCGCCTGCGTTGTGCATCCAATGTCCACCAGGCCGTATAAACACCCATCCCGCACCGCTACCCACCCGAGGGAACTGCATACCCTCCTCTCCGCCCCTCTCTTTGCGCACCCGAGGCATTCCTTGATCCTCTCTCTACCACGCGGCGGCCCTGTGGTGCTCTGTTCAGGCCGTTCCTCCTGACCACATTTCACCGAACTTCTCGAAGGTTTCTACTGTCGGGTAATGGTGCCACACTGCTTGCAAACCTCCTTCGAAACTTGCACACCATCTGCGCAACGCCCTGACATTGGTATGTCCTCCTCTTCCCGTAGGCCGCTCCACCGAAAGTGACTTATAGGTGCTGTAGACTTTTCACGTTCCTCAAATCGCGGACTCGTACGCACGTATAGAACCGCTCGGCGTCAACATCTGGCCGAAGAACGCCTGTCATCAGCTCACCACCGAAGAGGCTACCAGCAACAGCCGTTCGCCGTCAATCTCTCCAGGGCCAAGTCGCGCTGGCCACTCAAGTAGTGCACGGGTCAACATTGGCTCTCAACGTTCAACAGCCCGAAAGGCTCGCCCGCGGGGCGCGCACGCACACGGACGACGTAGTTGAAGTCGAAGTCGGGCGGCCACCATCGATCCTCGAGCTGTGGGCTCGCTGTGGGCTCATGGCTGCGTATAAGTAGCGGACGTTATGGCACTCGACGTGGCCGTTCAGGCTGCCTAGGCTTTGCTGTTATGACCGGCGACGACGGCCGGGTATAGGCGTCGATGCCCCGTGGCTACGACCGACAATGCGCGCGGCTTAGCGACAGATGGATGGGGTAGCCCTTCGACTGGTGCGCCTTGCGCGGGGGGATCCCTCTCGCGCGAAGCGTGGGGATCGTACGATTGCGCCTGTTCGTGGAGGATGGGACTGGAGACGGGCATGTCGAAGACGTCGCCTAACTGATGTTACTACTGGTAAGCCCTCACATGCAGTGCGCATGCATTACGAATCACCCTCTCGGGTGGCAGGGACGGTCCAGGTATGATGGTCAAGCTGCTTCCATCAGGCACAATATCATTCTGTTTGCGTGCAGAGACGGGATCTCGACCGAAGTTCATCGTTCAGCTCCGGCAACAGGCATGAATTAACAGCAGAATTCGCTCACTCCACAGGACGGCGATCCATACACGGTTCAATCATATATAAGCTCCAAAACACTGATTCTGCTCATACTTACTATCGTACACACGTAGCAGACTTCTCACCCTCCCTCTCCTCTCCCCGGTTGCGAAGCCCGCCCTCAGTCACAGACCCCGCACCAAGTTGCAACTTCACGACCTCTTTCGCTGCGCCGTTATTCAACTCCTCCGAGTGCTCAAAATCGATCTCCGCGGCAGCGACGCCCTCTCGCATACGCTCTACGCTCGTCGTTCACGGAAGCCGACCTCGACCGCCGGCGCACTCACCCAGCCTCAGGTTCAGCGCCGTTGGCATTCATGCAGGCTTTCACCGTTATTCTCAACATCCACTATTGTACGAGTCATCCTGCCTGCAATAATATGTGATTGTGACTAAGTGCTGGAGTAGGCGTTTGAGGATCGCGTCGCGCGTGTACAGCCTGTATGCTCCAAGGCAGTTCGAGAGTTTCATTTACTGGAACCTCAGATCTCAGAAGCGGATGCCGCTCCGGACATGCATTGCCTCCTCTGGATAAGAGTGACACCGATGTGTCCCTAAACATAAGCGCGAACCTACATGAGTAACGATGTCTGGAGAGACGAAGCGACGTACATGCCCAAGACGCGTCGCGGCCTGTTGCTAATCGCATCTAGAATGGTTCCCATCCTCGACGTGCACTCATGACCACTCCCACCGGGCCATATATAGTTACTGCTCGGGATGTTTGACATGCACGGCGATTCATGAGCAACGTTTCAATAACTGATCCTCAAAGTCCCGAGCACGCATGAGCGAGTCTTCACGTTACGATTCCCACTATGGACGCAACAATGTACATGACGCGTACGACAGGCGCAGAGATATCGTAACTGCCCCATGATTATGCTACGTCCACTCAATCAAGCTCATATGCCTCGAAGTCACGCTCGAGCAACTCGCCGTCGAGGTCATAATCCCGGGGATGATGTTGGGCTCCCGCCCCATGCCCGGCGCCGCCGTGCTGTCCCGTGCGACCGATCCACGGATGAGGCTCAGGCGGATAAGGCCCCCTACTCTGGCCCGGGTATCCATGCTGCGCGAAGTGAAAAAGTGTTTCCCCCGCTGCCTGCATGTACTGCGCGTTTCTCTGCGGAGCCCTCTGCGCATGCTCCCTGGCCTCCCTCTCGGCGCGCTGGTGAGGCGATTCCGGATCAGCGTTGTTGCGCGCCTCGAGGTCCCGAGAGAGGAGGTCGTCGTAGTAGCCGCGCTCCACCAGTCCGTCGAGGAGCTCACGCTCAACCATGGAGGCATCCTCGGTCGTCCGACTGTTATTGCATGCTCGGTCATCAGATAATAAGATTGTATGGCGAGGGGCTCACATGAACAGCTCGCCGTCGAGGTCATACCCCCGGGGATGGGACCCGGCTGTCTGAGGGCGGATCGGCGTGGGTCTTATCAGAGGCGGACTCCCAGGTCTGGATTGCTGAGCTGAGCTGCTCGAACCCGCGTGCGGATGAGGCGTCCCAGAGGACTCAAGTGAACCGCCCCGGCCCTTCTTCATCTTCCCAAGCACCGACGCGGCGCGCTCCTGTTCAGTCATTGGCGTTGGACTGTTACGTGAACCGCTCGGGCCCTTCTTCATCTTCCCAAGCACCGACGCGGCGCGCTCCTGTTCAGTCATTGCCATTGGACTGTTACGTGAACCGCTCTGGCCCTTCTTCATCTTCCCAAGCACCGACGCGGCGCGCTCCTGTCCAGTCATTGAACTACGCGCCTCGAGGTTTCGAGAGACGAGGTCGTCGTAGTAGCTACGCTCAACCAGTGCATCTTGGAGCTCACGCTCAACTATGGAGGCACTCGCGGTCGCGCGACTGTTGTTGTATCCTTAGCCATGAGACAAGAATAAATAGTGAGGGACTTACATAGTGACCGGGCAAGCGAGTGCAGGAGCAGTTGCCGCCGCCAGAAGGACAGCAGAGGAGAGCGTAGAGTAACGCATGATGTCCTGTAAGCACTGGGGTCGTTACGAAGGATTGTGGAAAGAACGTGAGTCGTCAAAAAAGACAGCGAGGCTGGACGAGGGCAAGGAGTAAGTGCAACATTAAAACCACACCGTCGCTGAACACTCACTTGCCGGCAACCTACTCGGTGGGCTCGAAATTAAGAAGATGAGCTGAGGGATACGGCAGGCATAACTCTCCTCTTATACACTGGTATGCGCGGCCGCGCCACCGGCTTGCGATCACAGCAGCGATCTAAGACCGTTCATCGCATCAGCTAGGGTCGTTGTGCTTATGTGACAAGTCATCGCATTTGGATGATGGCGATTCACGACGGACGCAGCCTGTTGCATATATGCACAATTTACCCGTCGAGTATGAGCAGCGGCCTGCTGTTGCAGAGGGGAGCAGACTGGCGGCTTTCACAGTCAAATAATAACCAGACTATCCATTGTCAGCACAAAGCTCCGGTGATGTACAGTGGGGGACGACTCGGTACTCATCGTTCTGTTCTCAGCTGCGATGCTCTTGCAGAGTGAGAGCATCCATCCGAAGCCCATATGATGGGAGATTGCATCACGACTGCTTCGATCTTCGACGATGTCGATCAACCCCGATCACCCCACCGTGTCACCACTGTATGTGACGATGCTGCAGGGGCTTGACAGAAGAGCCGCTCGAGTCAATCTGGGGACGTCCTGGATATGCGAACGTCCTTCGGTAAGTACTTCGTTGAGCCAGTTGGAGGCGAAGTCGTCGCCGATGCAGAAGGAATCAAGAAGGAAATAGGCTCAACAGTAACAATCAGGTCCATCGCAGGCGCATATGAGGCAGTCTTGATCTCATATTGCTGATACCATTCAGTACTGTACTGGTTGCAGTGCCACTGTTAGCGGGATCATTGTTTCACCTCACGGATGGTGAGTAGACGAACCTCTTGAGCGTCGGTTGTAATGGTGCATAGCATGCGTGTCTATTACCACAGTAATAAGTAAGCAGTACCAGGAAGGATCGATACAAATCGACGGACGCTACACAAGGGTTAGTAGGTCGGGCCGGCTGTAAGCGTGAGCAAGCCTTTGGCCGCGAGCAAGGTCAAAATTGTTCTTGCACGAGGTCAAAGGGCCACTCAGCCGGGCATCGCCATCATCTCCGTGTCATTGTCAACGTACGAGGATCAATCGGTCTGCGAAATGGAATCGCCGTACCCCGGGGCTCTTGCCCTGAAACACTGTTTCACGGGAATGTGCGGCAGGTGTTACTCTGTACCGGATTTATGCATCTAGTCGCTGTCAGAGTAGCAGGAAGAGTAAGAGGGAGCGATTGCTCTGACGAAAGCATTCATGCTGGCCAATTCGAACGTCTACTTGCGCAGATTTTGGTCTCATTGCTGTCGGTAATCGTGTGTCTGGTACTTGCGGAGAGGACGTATGAGGCCTGAGCATGTGTAGTGTGTTTCTGAGGTGCCGACGATGTCAGTGATATCAGATAGCAGCTAGACGTCACACCAGCAGGGAATATACCACAATACATGCGATATCGTAGAGATACCCACAAGAATAGGAACAAAGTGTCCCTTACAATTTTGGCTACGTGGCAGTCTTCATCCAGAGACGAGGACTATATAATGGTTCGTCAGCTCGAGAGGAGTCCAGTCAGCGCTTGCAACGTACGTGTCCATATCCCACGCCACAGGCGCGTCGCAGTCTGTCACGGTGACTGTCGCGACTCGCGTCCCGGCGGTGCCTCTTTCCTGCGCTTCCGCCAGCTCCGTCATTTGCGCAAACGTTCATGCCAGTACACCAGCCACCATCGTGACTGGACCTCTCATGCACCGCGCCAACGCATGCGTATCCAACGTTCAGCCTGAGAATTTGAAGGCGCTCGCAAGTCCGGTAGATGGGTATGGGTCACGAGGACCCAACGACGTCATCCGCCGTATCAGCCACCGCCGCGTCCTCCAGGCTCTGCTGCGACACACCCCCACCGTCAACCGCAGTCTCAGAGCATGCACAGTCGTCTCTAACGCGCTCATTCGTACGATCACTCTGAAGCTGCGTCGGCTGCGATGACCACCGCAAAGATCATTTACGGCACTGCGTGGTATGTGCTGCGGCTGCTAGCTCGTTCCGGATTGACGTAGAGGACTTCAGGAAGAAGGAGCGCACTACTGAGCTCGTCGTCAACGCGGTCCTCAATGGCTTCCGTGCCATCGACACCGGTACGCACCTGTTCATATTTCGTCTCTCAACACGCATCGACGCGATACGGTAGCTGGTCAGCCAAAGCACTACAAGTAAACAGGCCTATTATGGAGAGAACAGAACCACAGCTGACAATTAGTCTCTGCTTAGCGAAGAACTCGTGGGCGAGGCGCTCGAAATCCTGCAGAACCAGCACGGCATCAGGCGCGAGGACCTCTTCATCCAGACAAAGTGAGCCTCCCATCTCACGAGCCTCCCCCTCGTTCCGAAACCTCCCTCTCACCCTGCGAACTCACTCTCACTCACAGGTTCACCTCTCTCGGCGGTCAAGACCGCTCCAAACCGCTCCCCTACAACCCGAGCGACCCCATCCCCACCCAGATTCAAACCTCTGTCCAAAACTCGCTCCGGAACCTGCGCACGACCTACCTCGACAGCCTCCTCCTGCACTCGCCGCTCTCGCGCGTGGCGGACACCGTAACTGCGTGGCGCGCACTGGTCGCGCTGCAGGACGAAGGCACCGTGCACACGATCGGGATGAGCAACACGTACGACGTGCGCGTGCTCGAGCAGCTCGAGCGGGAGACCGGGCGCCGCGTGCAGGTCGTGCAGAACAGGTGGTTCGAGGGGAACGCGTGGGACAGGGAGGTGTGTCGGTACTGTCGCGAGCGCGGGATCCAGTACCAGTGAGTGTCCGCTCTCCTCCCGGATCTCCCAGTCGCCAGTCGACTCTTCCCGCTCCTTGGAATTGTTGATATGCGGCTCGGGACTCACCGTCTACACTATAGATCATTCTGGACCCTCTCCGGCTCGCCCTCGCTCCTCGCGCACCCTTCGCTCCGCGCCGTCGCCCACGCAAAGCACTGCACGCCCGCGCAGTCGCTCTTCAGGCTCGCGCAGATGCACGGTGTCACGCCGCTCTCGGGGACGACGAGCGTTGAGCATATGCGGGAGGACGTCGCTGCCGCGGAGATCGATCTTGAGGAGGAGCTGCAGGGTGGCGCGGTGAGGGAAGTCGTAAAATTGGTGTGGGGTCCGTGAAGGCTGGGCTTCGGGGACTCGTGGAGGGAGGGCGAGAAGTCTGTTGCGTATGTACGATAGTAAGTGTGAGCTGAGTCGATGTTTTGTAGCTTATATGGTTGGTTCGTGTACGGCCCATCGCTGCCCTCAGGTCTGTAGCGTGGTTTCTCTCGTTGATTCATGCCTGCAGCAGGAGCTGAACCTCGGTCGAGCTCCCGTCTCTCTGCTTCTATGCGAACGTCATGTTATGGTCCTTGGGGCAGCTCCAGAGAATCAGCCATTGTCGCACCTCTACCGTCCGAGGTATAGGTGACGTACAATATCATGCGAGGGTTTGTATACCGTAGCGAACAGCGACATCAGTCGAACGACCCTTCAACGTGTTCGTCTCCAGCCACGTCCTCCACGGACAGACGCAGCTCACACGACCACTACGCTTCGCGCGAGAGGACTCCCCCGCGCAATGCGCACCAGTCGAATGGCCACCCCATCCATGCGTCGCTATGCCGCGCGCATTGTCGGTCGTACCCACGGGGTGTCGAAGCCTACCCGCGGCCATTGTCGCTGGACATAGCAGCGAAGCCTAGGAAGCCTCAGCGGCCACGTCGTGTGTCACAACGACCGTCCGCAGTGCGGAGCCCACAGTTCATAGTCGATGACCTCCGCAGCCCGTCCTTCCGAAGCTCAATGGTGGCCGCCGCCCGACTTCGACTTCGAGAACGTCGTCCGTGTGCGTGAGCACCTCACGGGTGGGCCATTCGAGCTGTTGTGGGCCAGCATTGACCTGTTGACTACTTGAGTGGCCCCAACGCAAGTCGGACCTCGAGAGCTTGACGGCGAGGGTTGTTGTGGTTAGGGTCTCCGGTGGTAAGCAGGTAACGGGCGCTCTTCGGCCGGTTGTCGACACCGAGTGGCTCTGCAGCTGCAGGTGAGCACGAACCCATGATTCGAGGAACGACGTACGTGGGCGCGTTCACGGGAGCTGGGCAGCGCGACACATACACTTGTACGCGACTGGGACAGGTCTACAGCAGCTGCAAGTCAATCCCGGCAGAGCAGACTACGGAAGAAGGGACGTACAATCGCCGCGGCGCCAAGCAGATGGTGAGTGATTTGCAAAGGAGGGGCGGAGGCGGTGTAGCGCCATTCACCGACGTGAATACCCTTGCGAGGTTCGGTAGAGGTGGTTAGGAGGAGTGGTGACGCCCGAAGGGAACGCGACACGCATGATGAAGAGAGGGCCAAGGGCTGCGTCGAGCGACGACCGCTACCGACTCGCAAGCGGGACGACATGACAAGGAGTGAGCGAAGAGTGTGTCGGAGAGGTGAATATGCGGTTTCTGCATGTGGGTAGCGGCGCAGAAGGGGTATTTATACGCTGCGGGACGTTGGGCGCATAATGCAGGCGCGGGAGGGACAACAATGGGAGTGGCGATCGTCTCAGCAATGCTTGCCTCGCGCGCACACGCCCCGAGCCCGATGGACGCGACGTATTGCTCATAAGCTAGTAGACGCAGCCAAATGGATTGTAGTGAAACTCACCTCCAGGCCAATATGGTCCAAGCACTATCTATTAAGCTCCCTGCATCTCCCGCCAACTCAGCTGTGTACTCGGGATTGAGCATATAGCCAAGGCGTAGATTTTCAGCAACTCCCGTTGGTACGCTAATGCGAGATAAACGGACAAGACGTGGCGTGACAGCGAGGGAGCGCTCGCGATGGTTGGGCGCGGGATGGACGACGGCAGCGGAGGAAGGTTGAGATCGGGGGGAGATCTCTCAGCCACAGACGCGACAGCGCGGCGTCGGTGGCAGCGACGAGCCATACGTGCGTACCATCATAACCCACCCATTCTTGCCGCTATAGCATAGACACTCATTCCATCTTTGCGTCAGAGTCATTCACGCGGCGTCGCCCCCGCCTCCCGCAGTCGTCCTCCGGCACCGGTCGACCCGGGTCTCGCAGCCTCGCAGTGTAAACGCAATACGCCTCGCGACTCACATGCCCATCGCAGGAGGACTCTCCCGGAGGGATCATGCAACTCGGAAGACCATCCGTGTGCTTCTCTATGCCGTCCCAGCGGATCCCCTGGCGGAGAGGCGTGCACGGGCTTGCCCGCATCCCGCCAGGTCCTATTGCGCTGGTTTGTCTGCCGTGCCATCCTCAAGTCGAGGCTGAACGCCGGCGCCGCGGCGCCGTGCCTAGTAGGAGCATGCGTCATTTACGGGTAGTCTTTCACATCGTATGAGTCCAGGGCGAAGTCGGTACGTGCGCATGTCCTCGCTACTAGTGTCCCGCTCTGCCTCTGAGACTGTCATGACCCGGGGCAGGGTCCGATGTAGGGCCCGGTGTACCGGTGATGGCAATGGGTCGTCATCCTCGCGGGCGAATAGCGAGGCTCCGGCGTCCGTTCTGGGTAGGGGGGGCTGAGTGGGTGCAGGGCCTACTTGTTTGGAGGCGCCTTCATATCCCCCTCAAATTCCCTCGTTGTGGCTACGGATGGTTCGCGCACGTCTTCGGTGACGTATCTGTAGCGCAAGAGAGCACGTCGTGAGTCGCTTGTTTCTACGGGGCGAACGAGGTTGGGGACACTCACGTACGAGAGTAGCGCCGCCGACGCTGCGCTGGGTCATCAGAAACCCCCGTAGTGCGTAATGCGCGGAATCAAAGTCTGCGCGAAGGGCGCGGAGGTCGCTCCGCGGAGTGGTTAGGAGGAATGGTAACATGCGAGACAAACGCAGTCTGGGATGCGGCAAGTCGATGGGCGACGGGCGGTCGCATGATGGTGGGTGTGCTCAGCGAGGTGAGCTTAGGTCGAAGTGCGAAGGGGCGTGGGGAAACGATAGAGAGCGAGACCGTATTTATACGTTCAGGGCGCCACGCAGGGGTCAGAGAACAAGGACGCATGGCAATTGGAACCACAGGTGGCCATTTCCAAGCGTCGCGATCGGTGCGCCATGTGTCAAAGCGTTTGCCACTCCTGCCTCCTGGATGCGTGGCAACGACACGACTGGGTTTCCTTTTCGGACGAACAATCGTGGACGTGGCATACCGTCTCTCGCCGCGTATGGGCCTAGGGGCGATTGCTGGTCAGCTGGGAGGTTCGCTACCGCAGCAAGCACTCTTTCGTCCAGTTCGAACATCCCTTGTGTGGCTGCGGACTCAGTAAGCAAAATTGAGCAGTTGATTGACCCGTTGGTTCCCCCATGACGGTTAGCGCAATTGGGCTGACAATGCCACGTAGTGTCGCGGGCCCTGACAACCGAAGGCGATCCAATCCAAATCAGGTCGTCGCCCCATAAAGCCACCCGTTGTCACCATATCACGCTTTGGCCCGAGGAACAATGCCCGCGGGTCGCCAGCCCAGGTATAAATACCGCAGACACTCCCACCGAGCTTGCATCTCAACCACACAGCTCGACGATGCCTCGCCTCAGACAACCGCACCTCTCCATCAGCCCCCCGTTACCATTCCTCCTACACCAACAGGCAACGCCCACTTCAACGAGAGCGCAAGGGGTAAGAGCTTCCTCCGCCACTTTCAGTCACGCACTCGACTGCGTACGTCCCCTTCCCCATTCTACCACCTCTATGATCGTCAAGCCTGACGCGACGAGCTACCCCGCAGGCCTCAGAATGCCCGCGTAGCCATCGGCCACGGCCCCGCCTCCGGCTGCGCGTGCACCGCAAGCGCGCGCAACTAGCCCGCGCGGTAAGCGACAAGGGACGCGAGGGTTGATCCACGCCTGCCGCCGACGTTCATCGCGGCCGCGGGGCCGTACGAGCGGACCTGCGTCGGGGGACCATGGACCATCAGGGATCCTCCCGAGCCCGACTCTACATCCTCTCCAGGCACCCGCACGCGCCGCGGTCCAGCCCTTTGGGATCATGTGCACTCCGTTCTTGCGATGGTGGCAGGGTGCGTACCCGCGCTGTGGAGGATTAAAAATGTGCAGTTTGAGGTGAGTTTCGGTCGTACTCAATTGCGAGGAGCTCGAACTTACGCGCCACCGGTCGGAAGGGATCCACAGGGACTGCGCACCGGTGCAGTCGCACAGCGGCATTCAAACGCGGATGCGATGACCATGGCGGCCAAGGCTGCTCCACCCCTTCCATCCATTTTCTTTATCGCGTGCGAGGGTCGTCAGACCTCATGTGCGCCGGCCGTGCTTGGTCCGTCGGGCATTCCCCGTAGCCGGAACTCCCGCCCATTTCAAGCATCCGGACGCGCTGCGACACGCCCGTCGATATCGGTCGATATTCGTTTCTGCGATGGTGGCACGGCCGGCGGGTGTGCGGCGCAGGACTCAAAATGTGCAGCTTGAGGTAAGCATTGGACGTACTCGACTGCGAGGTGCCCAGCTAATGCGGCGACGTTTGGGAGGAATCTACAAGTTGCGCGGAACCGTGCAGTCGCACAATGGGATGCAGACGGACTTGCAACGACCCCTGACACGGCGCGGGTGAACGGCCATCCCCCGCTGGGATGCTTCTGGAGCGGGACAGTCGTCTTGCTTGTGAGCACTTCCAGCTGTGAATGGCCTGCGTGCGGTTGAGCCTCGCAACTGGACGGTCATTGGTGGCCTCCGTGTGTCGACCGAGGAGTTGCGTCTGGCGTCGAGTCCCATTATTCCATCGAGTGTGTGAATACTCGACAGTTTGCTTTACCGCACCCAAGTACACGTTGATCTTAAGCCGCCGCGTGGCTGTGGGTGTGAATACACTAGGTACTCGAGTGCAATTAGTAGATGCCGTAGCTACTTCATAGGGCAGGCGACGTGTCAGTGGTCGACGCCCTGTGGCTGAGGAGATCCTTGCCCGATCGGTGACTCAGCGGCTGTCCGTCATCTTCAGCGGCAACTTCCACGACGATTTGCGTCTGTCGATGATGTCTCCTCGGTACTTACCCAAGGACGCTCACGAGAAAGCCTTACGTGAGGATGCATGCACAGCTTCCGCGCGTCATCGTGGCTCCGATCGTCAGATCACAACTAGCAAGTACTGTTGCCTAGGCGATGAGAGGTGCGTCACCCATCCTACTGTGCCTCGCCCGAGACGTCTGCAGCAGACTGCAGCAAGCTACGTCTCTACCAAGCCTTTGCGGCACCGTTTTCTGATCGTTATATATCCCAGTATATCCTACGCAGTCGTGTTGCGGTGGCTGTGCAGTGGGTGGTGATCGACAGATCGCCAAAGGTGAAGGTGATTGCGATGCAATCTCCGCATCACGGCACAGCGACGCTGACGTCATTCCCCAGTCTACATCCCCGATGCTTTGTGCCGGCAGTGGCTAGTCGAGTTATCGTCCCGCCAGTCTGCAGCAGCAGGCCACTCATACTCGACGACGAGTGAATGGCTCACGTGCACCAGGCTGCGGCGCAAGTTGGAGCGCCACCATGCGATGCAAGTCGAAGCGTCTGCGCCACCATCAGGAAGCGACGATCTGTCAAGCCTGTCAAAGCCTGTCAACTTGAAGCCAAAAACTGTCAAGCACGATGATCCGAGCGGGTGAAAAATTGAATAAACGGCACATGACAAGCTTGTCTTCGCTGCTGTTATTCCAAGTCCGGAAATGCTGGCGTATAAAGGGAGAGCTGCGCCTCACAGATCCCTCAGCTCTTCTTCTCCTTCGAGCCCACCGAGTAGGTTGCCGGCAGGTGAGTGTTCCGCGACAATGGTAGTTCGAATGTGCACTTACCCCTTGACCCCCTCCAGCCTCGCTCTTTTTTTTGTTTTGTTTGACGACTCACGTTCCTTCCACCGAAGTCCATCGTAACGACCCCAGTGCATACACGACATCATGCGTTACTCTACGCTCGCCTCCGCTGTCCTTTTGGCGGCGGCAGCTGCTCCCGCGCTCGCTCACCCGGTCACCATGTGAGCCCCTCGCTGTTGATTCTTATGTCATAGCTGACCATACAATCACAGTCGCGCGACCGAGGATGCCTCCATAATTGAGCGCGAGCTCCAGGACGGATTGGTGGACCGCGGCTACTACGATGGCCTCGCGTCTCGCGACCTAGAGGCGCGCCGCAACCCCGCTGACCGTGCGGCTAAGCAAATGGCCGCAAACATAAAGAAGAACGCGGGCAAGCCCAAGCCTCACCGTCCGGACGTGCATTTGCCGAGCGGCCAAGCTCGACACGCCGATTCTGGGCCTCGTCCGTCTCATCCGCATCCGAACCGCGCCCGGAGCGACGAGATAGTCGAGCGTGACCTGCCGGGACGCAAGGGGCCTAAGCGACCCATTGGTCCTCCTCCCCTTCACCCAGGCCCTGATCCTCGTCCGCGACCCCGAAGCGACTACTACGACATAGTCGCGCGTGACCTGGAGGCACGCAGGCAGCCCCCTCGTCCCCCTCGTCCCGTTACCCCTCCCCCTCCCGCGCCCAGGCCTTGGGCGCCCCCTCGGCCCGCTACTCCTTACTACCCGCGACCCCGGGGCGACAATGAGTGGTTTGCCCGGGAGTACGACGTCGACGGCGAGCTGTTCGAACGCGGATTTGAGATAGATGAGCTTGACTGAGCGGACGTACGAGCATGATCGTGGGGCCATCCCGATGTATTTCGTGCCTGTTGTACGCATTGAGTTCTTTTTATTGCGTACCACTTGTAATGTGAATCGTAACGTGAAGACTCACTCACGCATGCTTGATCTTTTGAGTGTTGCTCATGCATGCAACGCCATGGTATAAGCCAGCATCTCGAGCAGTCGGAGTGGTTTGAACACGGAACTGCCGGGAGAATTGGGACGTCGCGAGTGGGTACAGACTGATTACAGGCAACGGCGCGTCTGCTAGGGCTGTAGCGTCGCTGGATTCAGTGTACGTCATGCGCCGCATCCACCAGTCAACTTGTTATGTTGCCAATGTGTCAACGGGGGGTTGCGAAATATGCTACACCCCTCGGAGACGCAACCTCAGGCTGATCGGCCCAGTCTCTCACCGCTGACATTCCTCTTAATCAGGTAGTACCCCAGCCCGTATGCTAGCTGTGGCCAGCCCGACCGCGGCCAACTGGTAGCGCAGCAGCCATCCGAAACAAGGATCCGCTCACCCACCGAGGCTCGTGTGTCCGCTTACTACTGGCCGTGATAGGATCTTATCATGACCAACGATAAGCAGGCGAGACAGCGCACTCGAATGCCTTGGGACGACGCGCGGTTCTCGGGGAGGACGATGATCGGTACGCAGGATATGCTCGTAGCTGCCTGAAGACGCGACTAGGCAGCTGCAGCAGGACCTTGGTCGTACTGGGGAACAGCAAAGGTACGTCCAACCTCTCACTGCATCTTCAAAGACTCAAGGCCGATCATTCGCAGTGTAGTCTTGAGGAGAATCGTGGCCGAGCGCACCGTACCGAGTCATTCCCTAGGTGGTGTCTTCTTCGAAGATGCGCCTGCTGCTGACAGCGTCCGTTGGACTGGCTTGTAGTCCGTTTTAAAGGTCAGGTCACTGAATCGCGAGCCACTTCTATTAGGACGGCTGACTCTCCTCGAAGACAAACCGATCTCAACAGGCGACGGGCATGTTGGCCAGGCTAAGGTAAGCTGATACCTCCCCAAGACTGACATTCGTCAGCTTCACTGATCACTAGCACTTGCGATGGCAGTTTTGCACAGGGAGAATGACTTTGCATTTGTGCAGAATCAGCTGCAGATGCGGCTGCGTCTGGAGGTGGACGTCCATTCAGTGCGGTCTGCGCGGGAGAGTCCTTTCGCGGGAGCGTCCGGATTGCACGACCAGGCTCGGCGTGAACGCATTCGCGCATGCCTCATACGCATAGCACGGCAGAAGTGTCTTCATTGTCTTCACCTCGCTCAAACCTGCGAGGCGGCAAATCGTTACTACTAGCCATCACGACAATGGTACTAAGAGGATCATCAGTCGCGAGTGATAGGAGGGATGGAAGGCTACGACTGAGTGTATCTCGTTACCTCTGTGCTACGCAATGACCTCGGAACATGATGCCACCGTATGTCTCCGTCTCCTCGGAATATGCGCGATCCAGCCACGTCTCTGCCTCATCGTGTCCTCTTACCGTGAGCACGCCCTAGGACCCGCCTTCTCGAGGGGCGGGACAGCGGTTGTTGAGGCTTCCTGGAGAACACGACGAGATCAGAACGCGAGGAGTACGAAGATAGCTGCATACGCACTTTGGAATGTGCGCTAACATGGCGTCAGTCAATGCTGCGACGTCTCGTTGGTTCTTGTACTCCGTGTGCTGGCCGTTGCGGTAGATCAATAGCGTCCTAGCCGACAGCCCACTAGTGTCATCCAAGAACTACGCAAGTCGAGAGCGTGGAGCTACGTACGGATAGCCCTGGATGCCGCTGGCCTTACAGATCTCTGACTCTGGAGCCTTGGAGCAGTCAATCTTTGCAATTTTCGCAGTGCCCTGGAAATTTGTCGCGGCTCTCTCATAAATGGGAGTCAACGTCTGGCAATGTGGACACCTGAGCACGGATTAGAAGAGTCAGAGGATGTCCTTGCGCCGAGAGATTCACATACCACGAGGCAATGAATTCAACCATGATCAGCGGCTCGTGCTTGACTACGGAGTTAAAGTTGACTGCAGTCAAGGTAATGACTTGCGAGGCCGCGGAGGTGGAAAGAAAAGCAAAGAATGCCGCGAGAGAAAACGCAAAGGGGAACCGCATAGTGCAGGCGTAGAAAGAAAGAGACAAAGGTGGGTGTCTGTAGCCCGATAGAATGTTTGACAATGATGGCGTCTGTCCAGCAGATCGATATACCAAGTGGTTCCTAGGATGGGGGATTCGGCTGAGACGTCACTGCAGGCAATTTATGTGAGGATGCATCTACGGCACCATTAGCCCACCTACCCACCCCTGCGCCACTTCGTCAAAGGTTTCCATCCCAGGAGTGCAGGCCTCAAGTGTCAATGTGACAGTTACATCCCAAACACCATCCGCCACTGCGCAGGGACTCAGGGGAAAAGTCGGTGAGTACCTGTTCTGTCCAAACACGTTTTTTGAGCGCCATCAAGTCGACGTACCTGTAGTTGGCGCCGTAACGGTCACTCGGCATCGCAAGAGCACACTGGTGCTTGAATTGTCGAAACACATTGACGCGGCTCGGCATCAATCCACCTATAACCAACCGAGTTTCAGCCACACCCATTCGCGTCATGACTGAGTCCGCACAAGATAACTCACTATGCCCGCAATACGGGAAGGTATGGCAACACCCGGGAATATAGCGATTGTATCTTCAGGAAAACGCGCACCGCTGATGTACATACCTACGGGATTCCGGAAGCCGATATGAGTGAACGGCTTTCAATCGCCAGCGTCAGAGCATCGCAGCCAGACCGTTACATTGGGACGCTACCATCCGTAAGGTAGCCTACAAGCTTTTCGCCCGACTGCGTGCATGGTCCATACAGAGATGTCCGTCCGAAGCGATTGAGAGTGTCAGCGCGAACTCCGAGCCGGTCCTTGCCCGAGTAGCTGGTACTGACAACGCAATCTCTGCAAGCTACAGAAGACGCACATCAGCGGACTGCAGAGGGCTTATGAGGAGCTGCGGACCTATCGAATAGGCATCATCAAACGGAAGGTGCTGAGACGGTGAAGGGCCTGCGGCCGAGCAGGATGTCATGATTGAACATCGAGTCCGCTATTCCGTGGTTCCTATTCGCGAGACGCTGAGACTCGTCATAAGAGCCGGATATGGCCCAAATTAACCATGCTCATGGTCAAATGAACCTCTCGGCGCAGATGATGTGATACATGGAGCAGCACTGCGTAGGAAACGTCAGTAGCGACTGTGATGTCAGCTCAGGAAGTTTCTCTAGTGCTGTCAACCAACTCACCTGCATATATGCATGCTACGGCACTACCGTCGCTTCCTGGTGCCTGTCAGAAACATCATGGCCTCGCCGGCCATGTGCAATCAAAAGAGCACCCCAAGACTGACTCTTAGCATCAGTACTTCGAATAATTCAGCCAGTAGAATTGGCCCTGCGAGAGGATGAACGTTGTGAGATACGACGACGTGAAAACAATTGGCCCGTATGAGGTGTGAGTTTGGCACAACCACGGACGTGTCGTCGTCGTGCAGCGTCGCGTCCCAGATGCAGTGTCCGAAGCAAAATCAAATGATACCTGTGAAGACCACCCGCACACGCCGCCTTCGAGTCTGTCCGACGCTCACTCTAGTGCGAGTACGCGCTCCAGGGCGAGGGCACAGCGCGCACGATCGGGATTGGGGATGAACGAGACGTACGACGCACGCGATACAGAAGGCTGCGGATTATACTGTCGCGAACGCGGGACACAGTTCCAGTACTGACTCGCCGACCATCCTGCATGCTCTCTCTCTCTCCGCGCCCTCACCCACGCGAGGCACTGCGCCCCTGAAGGCGCTTTTCAAATTTGCGCGGCTGCATGACTTCAAGCCGCTCTCGGGAACTATCAGCGTGCAGTAGATTCTGGAGGAGGTCGCCGCGGGGAGATCGACTGGGCCGTAAGGAAGGTCGTGGTTCGCATGTCGGTGTGTGGTCATTTAGAGGGATCTCTGTGGGGGCGAAGGGAGTAACCCGTGTGTTCGGCAGCCGATGCGAGACGAATCAGAATTGAACTTGTTCAGAGGCTGTCTAGTTTCGGTCAGAATGAAGTACTTGACTGAGGACATGGCGGAACAGAGCCTCGCCTCAAAACCGCGTAAGTATCAAGACCATACTACAATCCTTTCCCACACTCAGAAACCATACTGATGTGCCTTCTTACTGTAGATCGCTTGATGGTCCTCCTACCACCACCACCACCACGACTCGTTGAACGACGCCCCCCCCCAGCTCCCTGTTGAGCTGTGTGAACATCTCCTCGACTTCGTCTGGCCCGATCGCACAACCCTGCTCTCCTGTGCACTCGTCTGTCGAGCATGGCTCCCACGCAGTCGCCTCAATCTGCTCCGCCAAGTCCGCCTTCGCGACAGCACGCAGGCATGGTCCCTCTCCAGTTTCCTCTCTCGACATGCGGACTGCTGCTCATCCGTAAGGGTGCTTCAGATATCGCCCCGCTACTCAGGGTGGACCCTCACGCGCGCCTTCCCGCTCCTTTTTGTTGGCAAACTCTCGCACGTCGAGCACATCCGCCTCGAGAACCGATGTGGCTTTAACTTCTTCGCCCAGCCGTGGTCTCTGACCACGCTCAGTCAGTTTGTTTACGTGAGGAAGGTGGAAATCAGGGGCTATATGCTCCCGTCGCTGCACTCGTTTGGCCGCCGCGGCCCTCCCAACATAACCACTCTGATTTGCCGGACCATCCGGTGGTCCGCGGTGGATTACTCGCCCGAGTCCTTCAGGCCTGTCTCCGCACGCCTAAAGCTCACCATATGGCCATGTCAGACATCAGATGGTATGATGAGTTGGTCGACATGCTCGCTGACATCGTCGATCTGAGGTCCTTGCCCACCCTGAACATCCAATCTATCCGGAGGCAGGAGCTACAGCCAGTGAACAGACTATTTAATCGACGCTGTTGGTCCCGCGCTCCAGCATCTCGTCCTAGGCTCCAGTCCCACGTCTTGGCCGGCCAGTAATGCCAGTGCGTACACAATATATTCTGGGTTCCATTCATCGTTGATCTCCGGGACGAAGGTGCATTTCCTACACTCACCAGTAATGTCAATCTGCGAACTCTCCGTCTGCATTTCCACGACCGAGGCGAATGGGTCGTCCCCATGCTCTCCCAGCTCGCGTCCGAACCGCGGCCTTTCTTGGCGCTGAAGATCTCGAGTCAGGAGGAGATCTTGGACGAAGAGAATCTGCGTGTACTGCGACTGGATCGTCTCACCGAAATTGTCACGCAGGACCGTTTGAACCCCAGAGAACTCGTCTTCTGCCACAAGCCGGGCATATCTGGTGTAGACGAGTATCATGCAGAGGTGCGACGGTGCTTACCAGACGCGGCAGCCCGTGGACTTCTGCGTATCGAACCGAGTGAGCTTTTCTGCATCTTTCGAACTGATGTACGTCGGTCGACTCACTCCCGCCACAGGAGATGCTCGTTGGTGGGAGACCTGAGCTTGATCCTTGATCGCGTACACCTGTTACAATGCAACCATGCGACCATGCCCGCGTCTACAGCAACTGCACGGAGTCCCGCATACAATCGCATATCGGACTGTCGTACGTCGTCATCGTGATTGCTGGGATGACATTCATCGCCGGCTTGAACCTCCGGCCGCTCGTCTTCCCCAGTTGTGCGTACGATACCCTTCTTGCTGTGCCATGCGCGCAGCTTCTTTACGAGCCCCATCGGAAAGGCGCACCGCGGGCCTCAGGTCGACGGTCCCAAAACAAGTACGACGCCGAATATATCAGCGAAGCGGGGCGATGAGCTAGCGCAGGTGAAGAACAACGTGGACCAGCTTGTTAACGACTCTCTCGGCTGGCTCTCCTGAATCCCAGTGAACCCGTTCATTCCGAAGATTGTCGCCGAGGCCGTTGCGAGTATCTCCAACGGTCATTTCTCTGCACATCAGCTTACATGTCGTAAGGGTTTCCGGCCCATTGCAACTATTTCTTTCTGATCTCTTCTGTATCAGTACTCGGTCCACGAAGCTTTCCGCACGTTCGCACATTCAAAACATCTGCAGACCGCATCGAGCGCCGTTGCAAGCCTGTTTGCGACATCGTTATATTCAGTCGTGATGCGGTGGGTGTAATTCGGTGGGGTGCTCTGGGGTGATCGACATCGCCAAAGATCAATGAAGTTCAAATGTAACTGTGATGCAATCTTCCATCATATGGGCTCGACCACTATGGATGAATGCCCTCACTACTTCGCAGTTGAGCATAGAGTGACGCCGTTCCTCAGTCTACATTGCCGATGCTTTATGCTAACCGTGGCTAGCGCAGTTGAACCTGCCAGTCTGCTCTCCTCCGTAGCAGCACACCGCTCATACTCGACGACAAGGAAATGATTCGCATATGCACCACGCTGCCTCACAGGATCCTCCGTATCGCGAACCGTCATCATCCAAATGCAATGATCCATCAAGCACAATTATCCGACGATGAACGGCGCGATATCATGGAATCGTTGCTGAGATCACAAGCCCGTTCACGGCCACGCACACTAGCGTATAAAAGGAGAGATATGTCTACCGTATCTTTCAGCTCCTTTTCTTCTTTCGAGCCCACCGAGTAGGTTGCCGGCAAGTCAGTGTTCAGCGACGGCGGTAGTCTGAATGTTGCGCTTACCCCATGCACCCCTCTAGCCTCGTTCTCTTTTCTGACGCCTCACGTTCCTTCCACCTGAATTCTTCGTGGGATCTAAATCTGTGTTGCAAACACGACATTATGCATCACTGTGCGCTCACCTCTGCTGTCCTTTTGGTGGCGGCAACGGCTATCGCGTTCGCTCACCCCATCGCCATGTGAGCCCTCGCTATTCATTTTCATCTCGCGGCTGAGCGCGCAATGATAGTCGCTCGGCTATTGATGCGTCCATTGTTGAGCGTGGGCTCCAAGACAGACTGGTGGAGCGCAGCTACTACGATGACTTCCTCTCTGACTTCGAGGCGCGCGACGACAAAGTAGCTCTCGAGATTCAGGGGCCTAAGCCGATTCACCCGAGGGTGAAGGCGCTGAGGAAGGCGCTGAGGAAGGAGAGAAAGCATCGGGGAACGTACGCGGGGACTCCGAGCAGGTCAACTGTGTATGATCCTCGTCTGCTTCATCCGCAGCACCGCGGCCGGAGCGACTACGACGAGATAGTCGAGCGTAATTTGGGGGCACGCAAACCTTGGAGGCCCGCTCGTTCTCCTTCCCCTTGGCCGAACAACACTCGTCCGATTCGTAAGCATCGACAGCAGCCTCGGAGCGACTATGTGTGGTTTGCCCGGGAGTACGAACCCGACGGCGAGCTGTTCGGGCGCGGCTTCGAGGTAGACGAGCTTGACCGAGTGGACGTACTAGCATAATTTGGGAATGTTACGATGTCTTTCCGCCTGCTGTACGCATCGTGTACATTGTTGCGTATCACTTGTAACGTGAAGACTCACTCATGCGTGCCTGGGAAGCTGATGATGTGTTGCTCATGCATGTTAAGTCATTATACAAGCCAAATATCTCGAGCAGTAACGGTATATAGCCAGGTCGGGGTGGTTTGAGCATGGAGCTGGCGGAAGAATGGGGACGATGTCGATTCTGGTCGCGAGTGCTACAGACTTATTACAGGCTGCGACGCATCTGCTCAGAGTGCAGCGTGCCTGGGTTCAGTGTACTTCATGCGCATGCACAGATATCTAGCGGTCATTAAGTTATCTTCTTGCCAATGTCGAGCGACGCGTCCGAAAAACTGCTGTCCCGAGTCGCTGAGGCGACTCGTGAAAGGTGCGTCCCGCCCTATGTGACCCTTCTCTCTGTGTAAGGATGTCGAGGGTTAGGGTTCCCAAGGCAGATAGCTCGGACTTCGTAGCTTACATAAGACTAGTCGTTTTTCTTGTACCGTCACTACGCTGCGTCGTTTACCGCTATGGAACGGGATCTAACGCACTTGTGACGACCGACGACTCACCACCACCTCCAGCAACCTTACACTCTGAGTCAGTCGATAACCTATATCCCGCAGACCAGAAACCTCTCGTACGGAGTCGTCTGGAGCCCAGACGGTGATTCCCCGCTGGATTCCTCTCGAAACAGGACGAAATCGACCTCGCGGAAGGCTTGATGAATCAGATCTTGGCGCCCCCCACTCGACGCATAAAATGGTTGTTTTGCGTGAGGAGGAGGACGTCGCGTAGTCTCCGCGGCAGTCCACGTACAGACCTTATAGCTTCAAAAGCCAGCAAGCGTCTGAAGTACATAGGCAACTTATGTACCTTCAAGTTGGGCAAACTGCGGCAATAGCGAGATCGGGACGCGATCTCTCAGCCACGTACGCGTTCGGTTCGCTCCTGTGCCCGCCGCCCCTCCTCTCCACTATGACAGCGACGCGACCTGACGGGAATCCATCTGTTCACCCAATGTGCATCGCGGTTTCAATGATTCATGCCCACTGCTATTGGTGAAAGGCACGAGTCCGCGCACTGGCACTCTGCGTCGTCATCAACACCCCTCTCGCTCAATGAACATGCGTGCTGGTAACCAGCCGGCGATGCTGCCTACAAGTGTGGACCCGCCCTCCCCCTCCTCATTCTGGCTAGGGCGATACCGACTGGGAGACTGTGGCAGATGCGCATGAATGGGAGGATGGCGCTTCAAGGTAATCTTTGTAATGGTACGTCGTCATGATGGCCGGGATAACATTCATCGCCTAAGTACGACAGCTCGAGCCTCCGAGTCCTGCCACCCGTCTCCCCGTTGCGTATACAAGATCCCCGTCGGTGACGACCTGTTCGCGAGCCTCCTCGGAAAGGCACACCATAGCCCTCAGGTCGACGGTACTGAAGCAAGTACGACGCCGAATGTATCAGCGAGAAGGGGCAATGAGCTAGCACAGGCGAAGAACATGTGGACCAGTTTGTCTGCGGTTCCCTCAGATGGATCCTCGTTCTTAGCGAACCCATCCATTCCCAAGATTGTCGCCGGCATCCCGAACGCTCTTCTATTCTGCAATCAGACACACAACATCATACCAGGTATCACCTCACCATCGGCCCATTGCAATTGTTGAGCTGATTGTTTTATTGATTCCGCATCAGCAACAACTTCGCTGCCAATCGGCTCAACGAAGTATATATGTACCACGGACGTTCGCACATCCAGGACGTCTCCAATCGGCATTGAGCGACGGTTCAAGTCGCTATGTACACTGTACTGTACAGCCGGGATACGGTGGGATGATCTCGGGTGATCTGCATCGCCAGAGATCAAAGTAGTTGCTATGCGATATCGGTCGCGATCGAGTGCACCAGGCTGCGTCATAAAAACCTCCGTACCGCGAACCGCCATCTTCCGAGTGCGATGATCCTCCAAAGCACAATGAACGGAGCTGTTGCAAGAAGCGCTGCCGTTATCGCAAGTCCTTGCCCTTCCGTGCCACGGCTACGCATACCAACGTATAAAACGAGAGGTGAGCCTACCATATCCCTCAGCTCCTCTTCTCCTCTCGAGCCCACCGAGTACTAGGTTGCGGGCAAGTGAGTGTTCAGCGACGGTGGTAGTTTGAATGTTGTGTTGACCCCTTGCACCCCTCTAGCCTTGCTCTCTTCTTTGACGATTCACGTCCCTTCCACCAAAATCCATCGTAACGACCCCAGTGCATACAAGACGTCGTGCGCTACTCTACGATCGCTTCTGCTGCCCTTTTGGCGGTGGCAACAGCTCCCGCGCTCGCTCACCCGGTCACCACGTGAGCCATTCGCCATTTATTCTTATGTCATGGTTGAGCATGCAATAACAGTCGCGCGACCGAGGATGCTTCCATGGTTGAGCGTGAGCTTCAAGACGGACTGTTGGAGCGCGGCTACTACGACAACGTCCTCCCTCGGGACCGCAAGATGAGCGACGGTTTCGTGCATGCGGGCCCCGCGGCTCAGAACCACGCCGGGGAGCCTGCGCAGACGCAGTGGGCGGAGCAGGCCAGGCGTGCGGGGGCGGCCAGGCTTCAGCACGCCGCGACGAATCCTCCCCCGAACCGGGCTGGGCCGAACGGTCGGCCTCATCCGCAGCCGAACGGTGGCTCGGGGCACAACTCCGGCGCCGGGCGGGGGGCGGGAGCCCGTCACCGTCGCCGGGAGTACGACCTCGACGGCGAGCTGTTCGACCGCGGCTTCGAGATAGACGAGCTTGACTGAGAGGATGTAGCCCGGTCGTGGGGAATGCCGTGAACGGGAGGAAAGCGCCTCGACGCAGCTTGGAGGTGATCTTTGCAATGGCCCCTCCGAGTTCGAGTCATTGATACCGCAATGTTCGAAGCCAGATTCCTATCAGCACGGGCACGCAGAAGTGGGTGATCAAGCACTACGTGAACTCGTCACGAATCGGAGGACTGCACACGTGGAAACGTCATGGACGCTATTCAGCACCACCCAGAAGGGTGACACCGTACAAGTGATATGTACCACTGACTGCAGAGTTACGCCTCTGACGTTTTCTGTGGCAAGGTGGTACAGTTCACTACGAGTCAATCCATGCATGTGATTCGCCGCTCAAAGGGGTAGGCCCAATCGCACGTATATAGCAGGTGTACGGCGACGAAGCGGATGCCTACTGCTCGGACATGGATTGGAGGTGGAGGGTCTCTATCGACGGTGACCTTTTGGCTTGTATGTGGGCAGCATTTCGTCAAGGTTGGTCTGTTCTCTGCTGTTGTGACCACGTTTCGTGATTAATTGGTGTGAGTCATACAGTGATCCTTCTAGCAACAGCAGTCTTGATCTCATATCAGCACCCACTGATGAGATCAAGACTGCTTCGTATCCGCCTGCGATTGACCTGGTTGCAACTGTTGAGCCTGTTTCGTTCTGATCTTTTCTGAGTCAGCAACAACTTCTATGCCGACTCGCTCAACGAAGTACTAGCGGACGTTCGACGTCTTCAAACTGCATCAAGCGATGGTTCAAGCTCAAGCCTTTGCGGCGTCGCTATATGCAGTCGTGATACGATGGTGCGATCTCCCATCATATCGACTCAGCCACCGTAAATGAATGCTCTAACTGCTGCAACAATGTCGCAGCTGAGCCTAAAGGGACGTAGATCCTCAGTCCTACGTCACCGATAGGCTTGTGCTGACAGTGGCTAGTCTAGTTATCATATTTGCCCGTGAAACTTGCCGGTCTACTCCCCTCCGCAGCAGCAAGGCGACGCACATATGCACCAGGCTGCGTTGGTGAAAGCCTATATGGACCGCGAATTGTCATTATCCAGATATGATGGCTTGTTATGCGCGAACCCGCTCTTCCTGTTACTCCACCGGCGACTAGATGCACAAGTTCGGCACAGGGCAAGAGCCACGGGATATGGGGCTTCCATTTCGCGGACCAGCTGATTCTCGTACGTTGACACGGAGACGATGGCGAGGGCACGGACACAGGTAAGCTTGCTCTGAACCTACTAACCCTTGTATATCCTCCGTCGACTTGGATTGATCCTTACTGGCGTTAACTGTTGTGCCATATACATGCATGCACCATTACAACCGACACTCAAGGAGTCCACCCACCGTCGTAACTGGCGTGAGGTGAAACAATAATGATCACGGTAGCAGTGGCAGCGCAGCTAGTACAGTACCTATCGGTGCTAGCAATATGAGATCAAGACTGCCTCATATACGCCTGCGATGGACCTGAATGCAACTGTGGAGCCTATTTCCTTTTTGATCTCTTCTACCTCGGCCCCGACTTCAAGTTCGCCTCCAACTGACTCAACGAAGTACCGAAGGGCGTTCGCATATCCCGGACGTCTCCAGACTGAATCGACCGGCTGTTCTGTCGAGCCTCTCTGCAGCATCATGATCGTCACATACAGTAGAGACACGATGGGGTGACATCGTCGAAGATAGGAGGAGGTACTACTTCTAGTCAGTCTAGTCGTGATGCAATCTCCCATCATTTGGGCTCAATGACCCTAGCTGCTCCTAGCTGATGCGATGAACGGTAATGACGTCTTAGATCGCTGCTGTGATCGCAGGCCGGTGGCGTGGCCACGCATACCAGCGTATAAAAGGAGAGATATGCCTGGCGTTATGCCCCAGCTCCTCTTCTCCTTTCGAGTAGGGTGCCGGCTTGAAGTAAGTGTTCAACGACGGTGGTAGTTTGAATATGGCACTTACCGCTTGCACCTCTCCAGCCTCGCGTCCCTTCCACCACCCAGTGCATACAAGACATCATGCGTTACTTTACGCTCGCCTCTGCTGCCCTTTTGGCGGTGGCAATTGCTCCTGCGCTCGCTAACCCGGTCGCCATGTAAGCCCCTCGCTATTTATCCTTATCCCCTGGCTGAGCATACAATAAAAGTCGCGCGCCCGAGGATACTTCCGACCTCCTCTCTCGGCAGGAGGTAGGGGGCCCCACACGGTGAATAGTTCCTCGCTATTTATCCTTATCCCCTGGCTGAGCACACAATGACAGTCGCGCGCCCGAGGATACCTCCGACCTCCTCTCTCGGCAGGAGGTAGGAGGCCCCACACGGTAAATAGTTCCTCGCTATTTATCCTTATCCCTTGGCTGAGCATACAATAACAGTCGCGCGCCCGAGGATACCTCCGACCTCCTCTCTCGGCAGGAGGTAGGGGGCCCCACACGGTAAATAGTTCCTCACTATCTATCCTTATCCCCTGGCTGAGCGTGCAATACAAGTCGCGCGACCGAGGATACCTCCGACCTCCTCTCTCGGCAGGAGGTAGGCGGCCCCTGGTAGATAGTTCGTACAATGTATGTCCCGGTGGCTCGGGGCAGAACGGCGGTGCCAGGCTCGGGGAAGGAGCTCATCGCCGGGAGTATGACCTCGACAGGGAGCTATTCTAACGCGGTCATGTATTCAATATTCATCCCTTTGTGACTACTACTACGCACGTAGTAAGATACCTCCTTGTTCGATCGACGTCCAGCCGCCACTCGCCTCAACTACCACAACTGGCATCTGAGCCTTCCTAGGAACACAGGCAATATCCCCCCCCCTGCATGCTGCTTACTTTGACCCTTGACCCACGTAGGTTAGGAATGGCCGCGAAGGTGGACGTCTGGCAGGAATTGTATCGCTATGCCGCAGCGAAACGAGAGCCTCTCATAATGCCCCCCCCGCTATGCACACCCAGCCCATCACGACACGATCCGTACCGGCATAGATATGCCCACTGCAGCGACCCAGTGGCCCCCGCCTTCGACAAGGCTGCAGCGTACATGTATAGCGTCGTAAAGCTCGCCACGGTCGACTGTTTCGATCACACGCAGCTCGACTGCTGCAAGTCCATCGGTGCCAGTGGTGTCATGTCGTTCCGTGAGTAGCTCCAGCCTATCGAGGGTTAAGTTCGGGGTGGATTGATGGTCGGGACTACCGCCATGGTGCCTTCGCTGCGTATCCGGGCCCTTTGAGCGCCGACGGAATCGTATCCTCTTTGAAGACGTCGGCGCCCAAGTACGTCTGGATGTGTCTCCGTGTTCCGTGCGTGTTCATGCCGTTGTGTCATCCAGACATCGTCGCGCACCGCAGCTTGGGCCGTCTCGCTTCTCCAGAAGGTTGTTCACAGCGCGTGTCTAAGGGCGGCGAACCCCGGTACGGTAGGACTCGACTTGTTCCCCTATCCGTTGAGCGAGCGAGCACGGAGGGTAGCAGTATGATGAACGGAGGCTTCTGCGCGATACAATCGCCTCCTGCAGTCCTGGACTGCCCCAAAGTAATCGTGTCGGTACCCCGCGATGATGATTATGCTAATGCGCACCTGTGGGTAAGATTTACTCAAGCTTCTGCTTTCGCCTTCGTGCGGATGCGCCAGCTATGCGTTCCGAGACGCATGACGTGAGTTCGTGGCACTGCCATAGCGTGATAATACACCACGACACCACTGCATTTGGCGGACCCTTCAACAGGGTACGCGCAGCTCACAAACTCTCAGCCGTTACGGACACATACATTGTACTCCTGTGATTATTTACTGTAATGAAGAGCGCATGAACGAGTGCGGAGAACGGGAGGTCGACGTCAGTCGAGCGACACGATGGTATGCCGGCCTCCACCCTACACTGAAGTGAAGAACAGGTACAGCACACAACCACTACGCTTCGCACAAGAGGACACCAAGGCATACAAGCGTTTTGGGGGCGAGGGGTCGTCGGGGAACGTGTCCTTCCTGCAGCACGCATCGCAGGCTGTATGCAGTAGGGTCCGGGAAGCCAGCCACGCGTACCATCCGAAAATCGCGGGCCGACTACTCGTGGTTGGTGGCCGTTCTTACCGTAGCTTCCACGATGATCGCCAGTGGTCGCCCGACTCGTAGGCTGCTTCCACGTGCACAACTTCCTCCGAAATATTAGTGCGGTCGTCGAATGAGTCTTTGGCTGTCCTCGGCGCGACTCCGGCCCCGCATACAACGCCAGTATAACGGAGCCACAAAAATGCATCGGGGACTACAACGTCCACATTTGAGTCACGAAATGAGCCTGGGACGAATGGGGGCGTACCCTCGTGTTGGCAGACCTGCGCGGACCACACGATTGGTCGGATTCGACAATATACACCGTCGTCCGTGGTCTCCGGTGTCGAGCGTCTCAAGAGCGCCCGACAAAGGTAGTCAAGAGGGATGGTAACGCCTGCAGAGTAACGCCTGCAGAGAAGATCAGGGGCTGCGTCGACTGAGACTGACGATAGACTCGCAAAGGGGTAGTGGCGAGAAGATATCTGCAAGAACGATACGTCAGTGTGAACGGACGAGTGGCAGTAGATGGGTATTTCAACTCAGAGGGAGGATGTATGCATGCGCCGGAGGGGCGAAGCCGGGAGTGAATGCAGGAGAAGCCTAGGGAATGGCGATCGTCGTCTCAACAACGCATGCCTCGCATACATACGCGTCACCACGGATGGCAGACCCGGTCGACGTGTGTCCTCATACCGGACATGCGCATACTGCGAGTCGCAGTCAAACCGTCTATGTTAGAACTGGACTGGCATCCTTCATGAGCGCTCTGGTCGTGGCGATCCCTCCTCCTCCCGCTCGGTCCGTCGGAGTCCTGCTCAGTGTAGTGGGAGTCGCGCATATAGTCCACATGACCGACTGGTTTGGGGTGCAGCTGGTGACGACGGCTGCCACGTTGAAGACTGGTGGTTGTTCTGCGTGAGGAGGTCGCCGCGCGACGCAAAGGCAATAGCGAGATCGGGACGCGATCTCTCAGCCACAGACGCGGTCGACCGTCGACCTGTCACATGTCCTCCGTCGACGCGCTCAGGCTGCGATTCGATTGCTCCCTGGCCCACCCAACTTCTGCCGCACTGCAATGGCGGCGTGATCTATCTGTCCATCCAAGGCCACTACAGAATGTGTGCTACGCCGCCTACGCTGGCGCATATCCCGCCATTCCGTCTACGTTGTCGATGTCTGCAGCAAACTTGTAGCCGCCCCTGCCAGGAGCTCCTCCCGCCGCTTTGTGTTTCGACGGGCGACTGATCAGCGTTGTCGCTCTGCTCGGAACCTTGAGCCTGGGCTTGAGTGCGTGAACTCGTCACGACTCGGAGAACCGCACACGCGGAAACGTCGCAGGCGCAGGACACTATCAAGCATCACTCAGAAGGACAACACCGGTGCCGTATGTACGAGTCGATACCATAAAACCTGGTATGTACCACTGACTACCAAGCCATGTCGCTTCTTTCTTGTCCCTCTGACGATTCCTGGTACATGTGACTGCATCCGATCTGCCGTTGCAAAGGGCAGGCCCAAACGTACGTATGTCGCAACTTTACGACGATGAAGCACATGCCTCCGACTCCGACATGGGTGGGAGCTGGAAGGACTCTATCGAAGTCTTCCTACTTTTTGTGAGTCCTTTGAGCTTGTCGGCGGCCAACATCTGACTTATTCAAATGCTTGACGAGCTAGGCTGGGCCATTCTCCGCCGTTGTCACCGCGTCTCCTATTTCTTGGCTGAGCTCATCGCAGTTAAGCGTGCTGCCGCCAGCGGCGCGCCCTCGGATGACATGAAGCCCTCTTCGTACGCTCAGGGAGACTCCACTGGCTAGCTGAATGACGTCGGTCAGCGCACTGCGGACCACGAGCTTGACCATCGTCCTCTCTTCTGCTCTCATCGCGGTACGCGTAAAGGCTCCAACACTACATCTCTGTCGTCTCGGGGTCGCAGCCCGACCTCGCGCTTGTGCGGCAGCACCGCTTCATGGGATTGCAGACGCGGCGGGTGCCCGTCATCATCGATATCCTTCCTACCTTCCTTCACCTCGCACTCTTCCTCCTGTTCGCCGGCTTCGCCTTGTTCTTCTGCCACTGCATGCCGGTCTGTCGTACGTCGTCATCGTGATTGCTGGGATAACGTTCATTGCCTACGCCGGCTTGAGCCTCCTGCCACTCGTCTTCCCCGGTTGCATCTACAAGGCCCCCGTCGGTGACGACCTGTTGGCGCGCCTCTTCGGAAAGGCACACCGTAGCTTTAAGTCGACGGTACTTCAGCAAGTACGACGCCGAATGTATCAGCGAGGAGGGGTGATGGGGTAGCACAGGTGAAGAACAGTGTGGATCAGTTTGTCCACGGTTCCCTTAGCTGGCTATCCTCGTTTTCTAGCGAATTCCTCCATTCCGAAGATTGTCGCCGAAGCTGTTGCCAGCATCCCAAACGCTCTCTTCTATTGTGCAAATCAGACATACCTTCATACCAGGTATCACCTCACCATCGGCCCATTGCAATTGTTGAGCTGATTGTTTTTTGATTCCGCATCAGCAACAACTCGCTGCCAATCGGCTCAACGAAGTATATACCATGGACGTTCGCACATCCAGGACGTCTCCAGCCGGCATCGAGCGACAGTTCAAGCCTTTGCGTCATCCATATACAGCCGTGATACGGTGGTGTTATCTACATCGCCAGAGATTGCTATGCGATATCGGTCGCGATCGAGTGCACCAGGCTGCGTCATGAAAGCCTCCGTACCGCGAACCGCCATCTTCCGAATGCGATGATCCTCCAAAGCACAATGAACCGAGCTGTTGCAATCAACAACGCAGGAAGCGCGTCCGTCATCGCAAGTCCTTGCCCTCCCGGGCCACGGCCACGCATACCAACGTATAAACCGAGAGGTATGCCTACCGTACTATCCCTCAGCTCCTCTTCTCCTTTTGAGCCCACCGAGTAGGTTGCCGGCAAGTGAGTGTTCACCGACGGTGGCAGTTTGAATTTGCACTTACCCCCTGCACCCCTCTAGCCTTGCTCTCTTGACTGACGATTCACGTTCTTTCCACCGAAATTCTTACAAGTCGTCATGCGTTACTCTACGATCGCCTCTGCCGCCCTTCTGGCGGTGGCAACAGCTCCCGCGCTCGCTCACCCGGTCACCATGTGAGCCCCTCACTATTTATCCTTATGTCATGACTGAGCATGCAATAACAGTCGCGCGACCGAGGATGCTTCCATGGTTGAGCGTGAGCTTCAAGTTGGACTGCTGGAGCGCGGCTACTACGCCAACGTCCTCCCTCGGGACCGCAAGACGAGCGACGGTTCGTGCATGTGGGCCCCGCGGCTCAGAACCACGCCGGGCAGCGTGCGCTGGGGCAGTGGGCGGAGCAGGTCAGGCAACAGGGGGCGGCCAGGCTTCAGCACGCTGCGACGAATCCTCCCCCGAACCGGGCTGGGCCGAATGGTCGGCCTCATCCGCAGCCGAACGGTGGCTCGGGGCACAACGGTGGCGCCGGGCGGGGGGCGGGAGCCCCTCACCGTCGCCGGGAGTACGACCTCGACGGCGAGCTGTTCGAGCGCGGCTTCGAGATAGACGAGCTTGACTGAGAGGATGTAGCCTGATCGTGGGGTTGTTACGATATTTTTCCGCCTGCTGTACGCATCGTGTACATTGTTGCGTGGTTTGGAGAAGGAGGGTCTATCGACGGTGTCCTTTTGGCTTGTTGTATGTGGGCAGCATTCATCTAGGTAAGTCTGTTCTGAGCTGTTGTCACCGTGTTTCGTGGCTAATTGGTGTGAGCAATACAGCGGTCCCTCGAGCAACGGCAGTGCAACCAGTGCAGTACCCACTGATATGAGATCAAGACTACTTCGTATACGCCTGCGATTGACCAGCTGATTGCAACCGTTGAGCTATCTCGTTCTGATCTTTTCTGAGTCAGCAACAACTTCTATGCCGACTCGCTCAACGAAGTGCTGGCGGACGTTCGCACGTCCAGGACGTTTTCAGACTGCATCGAGCGACGGTTCAAGCCTTTGCGGCATCGCTAAGTATATGCAGTCGTGATACGATGGGATAATCTGGGGTGACCTACACCGCCAGAGATCAACGTAGTTGCCATGCAATCGCCCATCATATTAACTCAGCTACTAGAGATGAATGCTCTCACTACTCCCAGAGCATCGTAGCTGGGCATACAGTGACGTTGTTCCTCACTTTGTGTCACCGATGCTATGAGTTGATAGCGGTTAGTCCAGGTATCATTGACCGTGAAACCTGCCGGTCTGCGCCCCTCTGTAGCAGCAGACCACTCGTACTCGACGAGTAAATGGTGCACATATGTCCCAGGCTGCGTCGAAAGAAGCCTCCGTACTGCGAGCCGCCATCATCCCAATTCGAAGCACAATGACCCGACCTGATGTGATGAACGACGCAAGATCTTGAAATTGCTGCTGTGCCCCAAGTCGGTGCCACGGCCACACATGACAGCGTACAAAGGAAGAGGTGCGCTTGCCGTATCCCTCAGCTCATCTTCCCCTTTCGAGCTCACCGAGTAGGTTGCCGGCAAGTAAGTGCTCAGCGACGGTGGTACTTTGAATGTTGCACTTACCACTTGCACCTCTCTAGCCTCGCTCTTTTTGACGACTCACGTTCCTTCCACCGGAATTCTTTGTCTTTGTAACGACCCCAGTGCATTAAAGACACCATGCGTTACTCTCCGCTCGCCTCTGCTGCCCTTTTGGCGGTGGTAACTGCTCCCGCGCTCGCTCACCCGGTCTCCATGTAAGCCCCTCGTTATTGATTCTTATCCCTGGCTGAGCATACAAAAAAAGTCGCGCGACCGAGGATCCCTCCATAGTTGAGCGTGAACTCCAAGATGGACTGGTGGAGCGCGGCTACTATGACGACCTCGTCTCTCGGGACCTGGAGGCACGCAAAAACTCTGACCGTGGGGCTAAGCATCTCGCCGGGATGATAAAGAAGGATGCGACGAAGCAGCGTCAGCGCCAGGGCCAGTCCACGGCGACTTCTAGCGGGTCAGCTCGTCAATCTGGGTCTGGGCCTGCTTCGTCTCATCCGCAGCAGAACCGCCAGAGGGAGTACGACGTCAACGGCGAGCTGTTCACGTGAGCCCCTCGCTATCTATCCTCATCTCATTGCTGAGCATGAATATCAGTCGCACGCCCGAGGATGCCTCCGTAGTTGAGCGTGAGCTCCGAGACGGGCTGGTGGAGCGCGGCTTCTACGAAGCCCTCCTCTCTCGGGGGCTTGAGGCGCGCACAAATGCTGAACATGGAGCGAAACAGCAGATCCTCCAGGGGCCACCGGGGCCGGCGCGCACCCAAGCTCGGCGAATCATCAGGAATCGTCAGCGGAACAAGGCTCAGGCTGCCAGCGGTCGTCAGCCTCATCCACAGGCGAACGGTGGCTCGGGGGTCAAACGGCCGCACCTGGAAGCGGGAGCCCATCACCGTCGCCGGGAGTATGAAAATGGCGAGCTGTTCGAGCGCGGCTTCGAGATAGACGAGCTTGACTGAGCCGGCGTAGCATGGTCATGGGGCTGTTACGATGGATTTCCGCCTGTTGTACGCACCGTGTACGTGAGTACCACTCGTAATGTCAACCGTAACGTGAAGATTCAGTCGTACGTGCTTGGGAATTTGGTGATCAGTTGAGCTTTGCTCATATAACGTCGTTATGCAGGCCAAACATCCCGAGCAGTACTCAACGGTGCATGACCCGGTCGGAGTGGCTAAGTACATGAAGCTGGCGGAAGGATGGGAACGGCTCTGGATGCCGCTTCGACGCGTCTGCGTCTGTGGTTCAGAATTTGAGCGTGTACGTCACTTCGTCTCTCCAGAGATCGTTACAAGTGCCTCCTCTCCGAGTCAGCTCATGACCTTCACCCCGCAGACCAGATGCCTCTCGTATGTCGTCTGGAGCCCACCGATTCCACACAGCGTCGACGGCGTTTCCCGGCTAAATTCCTGTCGGGCAAGGACACAGGGACTCGTAGGAGGTCTCATCGCCCTTGTAGCCTTCCACTCGACGCAGGTACTGTTCTACGGCCGATGCGACGCGGATAAGCTCGGAGAAGCCTCAGACGTCCCAGACGATGTGGTACAAATATTCAGTGTTTTGACTGTATGCTTTGACGCGGCTCGGCCACGAACTTGAACGTTCCATCCACTCTTGCTCCGGAAGTAGGTACGCTCTTTGAACGCGCATTTGCCAAGGAGAATATCCGTTGCTGCCATGTACCATTTGAAGCTTCAACGCCGCCCCAGCGAAGCGGCCTCTCATGTTGGTCAAGTTCGTCTCCTCGTGGTAAGCATGGTATTCTTCCCCCGATGCGCTCGCGACCTATCACGACCCTGACCCGATCCGCACGGGCATAGGTGCGCCCACTGCATCGAGCTGGCCCCCGCTTTCAACAAGGCCGCGGCGTCGCTGAAGGGCGTCGCGAAGCTCGCCATGTTCGACTGCTCCGACCACACGCAGTTCGACTTCTGCAAATCCATCAGCATCAGGTCTTTCCCGTGAGTAGCTTCAGCCTACCGAGCGTCGTAGTGAATAGACGGCCTGGGATCATCCGCTAGGACGCTACCGGTCTACTGGTACGGCACGTTCGCCGCGTACCCAGAGTCCTTTGACCGCCGACGGGATCTATCCGGTCTGAAGGCGTCCGCGCCCAGGTATGGCTACACCTATCTCTGTGTGTCCGCGTGCATTGATGTCGTCGTGTCCTCTAGGCGTTGTCGTGCGCCACAGCTTCGTGGTAGGAGGTCGACTGGGCGGAGGTCCTCCCTAGTGCGTACCTACGGGAGACGAGGATTGACATTGAAGGGCTCGGCTTGGCCGCCTATGCGCTGAGCGAGGACAGATACTATGCCGTGGCCGCTCTGTGGTACTATCGCCCGAGCTACTTCAGACCGGCGAGGGTGTCAGTATGCAATATTGACGAACACATATAGTAGTGCCCAGTGTCTATCGTGGCGAGTCGCTTCTGCCAGTGCTGGGGCCTTCGGGCGGATGCTTCGGTTATGCGGCGACTCGGAGGCCCATGAAGGACTGATCTTCGCATCGCCACAGCGTGCGTGACTGTACATTGCGTCTGTGAACACCGGACTCGCACGTATATCGAACACCGTCAGTGGATTGGCCGCGACGCCCATTTGCGAGGAGGAGGGACCACCCCGGTGCCGCTGAGCCGACCCGCGCCGGGCATAGCGGTACGGAAGCGGCCCAGCGGACTTCGAAACAACCATACAGTGGCAGAGACTCGTTCCCCATCCGGGCTGCTGCTTTCGTTGTCGTCGAGGGCGCTGAGCATAGGCACTCCTTGGGCACGACATCTACGAACTTGCGCACACGCTCAGCATGAGGCTTCTCGACGCAACAGGCTTACCGGTAGGTATGCGGCAGGTAAGACGGCAGATACTGAACAAGGGCGGGGAGGTACGACAGCAGTTCACAGTGGTCCATCGTCGCCTGCTCGCAAGCGGGAGGTCTCCCGCTAGACCGTACATTCGCAGTCCCTCACGGTACGTACGGCCCCGTCCATTCTTGCAGTCTGACCAGATCCGCTCAGCATTCCTAGGTGTCAGCGTCGCGAAAGACGCGAGCGGATGTATGCGGCGAAGCGTATCGTCGCCCTCGGTCGCGGCCCCACTGTATTCGATACCGTGTCCCCGTACGCCCATCCACGGCTGGCGCGCGCGCAGTTGTCCGGCCACGATTCTGAGCAAGTGGGGCTCACCGTTGAGTGTGCGATGATCGTTCCCGCGTGCTATCATTGCTGTACAAGCAATGTGTGGAGATGGCGCAGCGGCGGTGGGAGACCCAGCTTGCCGGCACACTTGTGAGACATGCAAGATCGTCGTGCAAACGAAGATCCCACAGACGTACTGTACACGCGTTGCCGAGCAAAGGAAGATGACTGAGCGAGCTTAGATGTTCAGGAAATGACAAGAGCGAGGCGAAACCGGGCGCCACCTCCAAAGGACGACTCGCCATCTTGCTAGCAACCTCCAGCGCGCACGAGGATCCCTGCCAATACAGCGGGCAAAGAAGGACTTTTCCCGTCATAACAGTCATGGAATGGGTCTCCAGAGCGTAGCTGTGGCGCAGAGCTCGCGCGACCATCATCAGGTGCGAAGATGGGCATGTACCAGGAGCATACCTTGACCCCTGAGTGGGTCGGAACGTCTCCACACGCGAGAGGACAATACGCCGGCAATGGGATGGATGCTCCGAGATGCGAGGGAGAACCTGCGCGCGTCGTCCGACGCGGTCGTGGACGGCGAGGGATCAATCGATCACTGACCATCGTTCAGCGTATGTTGGTTCGCGGGCTGCATCTCTGGTGATTGCAGGCAGCGTGTCTGCGTCGCCGTCAGCCTGAGAGTGAGTGTGTATCGATATCTAGATTCCCAGTCAAGGTGAGCAGTACTTGACGTTGTACTGCCACGGCCAACCTCCCGCGAGTAGCAGCTTACGTAATTATAGTATCGCCGAGGAGCTGCTGGAGCGTTGGTTGCGCGGAGGCCAAACGCAGCCCTATGTATATCGTCTCGCAAAACACGCATTTCCATTCATACCCTTCAATACCACGTCTCTGCTCGACGTAATGTATCGCGAGTCCTTCAATCAATATTAACCAGAGTCATGAACGAATGTACCGCCGCGCATCCGATCGCGATATACGCAAGACGACCTGCTATCCCGGTGCACTACTCAACCTGTCCCACGCAGAGATTCTCGTTGACGCCCAAGTCTGCGGGGCACCTTGTCAGCGACATCGGGTCTGCGGTTCAATGTGTGGGACACGTACCACAGGCGGAATCGAGCCACGGGTTCAGCGCATAGAGCTGCGCAGCGGTGAGTCCGTAGTCGGACTCAATCTCGGCACAGTAGTCACCGCTGACAACCGTGTAGACCTCGCTGCACGCTGGAGAGCCCTTGACGCAGTACGCCTCCTAAACGAGAATTGTTCAGTGAAAATACGAGGAAGAAATGCTCACTACGTACGTTCGCCTCGAGATCTGAGACATGCCGCAAGGTGAGTCGTGAGCAAGGACTGTAGGGGGTGCAAAGACGTACCATCGCAAGTCGACGAAATCTCAGGGTTCCAGCGCAGGAAGTCGCTGAACGCGATGTTGTAGCTATATCACGCGTTAGCTCGCTGGAACACACGCATCCGTTTCGCTGGGCACTGACGTTGTATCAATGCTGGTGCACGAATCGCCGGTCTGCACCATGTCTGGGAGGCTCTGAGACGGTTGATCCATTGAGAGAAGAGATGAGCACTCACAGTACGAAGTACAGCTAGCCGCAGAGTCAGTGATCGAACTGCGCGGAGAGACGGGTCGACTCACTTGGTCCAGCTGCCACTCGCGATGTTCGTAGGCGTCGGGGACGCTGTCGACGTCGTCACCGTCGCTGTAGTCGTCGTCGGGAGCGTCGAGCTCGTTATCGTTGAGGTCGTCACCGTCGTCGTCGTCGTTGGTGTCACCGAGCTCGTGCCAGTGGTGACAGTCGACGTCGGCGACGAGTTTGGACCAACACACAACACCTCGCCGATCTCGAGATCGCAGTTCGAATCCAGCCAAGGGTTGAGGGCTAACAATTGCGCCGCAGTGAGTCCCTCTGTAGCTTCCACGGCAGGGCAAGTGTCCCCAGAGACGACGGTGTAGAGGCTGGGGCACGCGTCGCCTGGGAGTCGGATGTCAGGTTGATGCGACAAGGAAACAGTGGGAACTCGTACCTCCGCCACCGACGCAGTACGCCTCTTGAGCCTCAAGGTTCGTGCACCCCGTATTGAGCTTGGAGTCATCTGTGAGGGCGAGTAGAGAACAACCATGCGTGAGTGCGTACCTCCGGGTTCCATCGAAGCAGGTCGCTGAAGGAGATGTTGGCTGCGGCCTCCAGCGTCGAGCACGTGTCGCCCGACACCGCCGTCGTGTACGACGTGCAATTCGAGAACGAGCCGGGTGCGAGGTTATTCGGAGCGTCGCGCGTCGACAGAGCCGGCGTGCGTCGAATGGGCAGCCAGTTCGCCGTGGCGCCGGACGCGATCGCGACGGCGAACACTAGAGACTGTACGCGTATAGCAAAGACCATCCTGAGGTAAAGAGGTAGAGGTATGGTGAGTGCAGGCAGCAGCTCTGCCTGACTGTGGACGTACGTCTGGCCTATATACTGCGCGGGGAACGTGCGCGACCGAAATAGGACTTCATCACGGCCCAAAGAAGATTAATGTGACTGCATGGCCGCGAGTCATTCCGTACCACTTCGAGCACTGACAAGAACGTACGTACTGGGATCATGGCATAACACTGCCAGACGTTCCTGACCCGATCGGACCCATCTAAAAACGAATCACCCAGCGCATACGTACGAATCATTGACCTGATCAAAATTGGGAACAACAAAACGCAGAACGTACCGCAGCATTGCCAGTTCCAAGTGAATGACTGGACTTTGACATAGGCAAGATCTGATGGAGGATGTTGATCCGTGCGACCGCGCCCACTGGCAGTGGGCGGTGACAGCCAATAGCATATTACTAGACCCAAATGCGTGCACCGGCGAAGGGTGTCGCGCTCTCGTTTGGCATTCTTCACAGGCGACCCGGAGCCGCGCGCACTGCCGGTCGACCTCGGCTTCAATCCTCGGGCTAGTTCGCCCTCGACACTGCTCGTTGCGTCAGAATGTTGACGGAAGCGCAGAAGGAGTACCAAGGCCAACGTACCCCGCACGTACACAGTTCGGATAGGGCTCTCGGGAAACTGGAATGACTCAGATTGAGGACCGCGCGGTCCACTTGTCTGCGGTGGGCCGGCGTCGAGGCGTCGAGGCTTTAGGATTTTGACGCTTCAATGTCAACCCCTGGCCGCAGAGATTGCCGCTAACGGGGCAATGTCACCGATGACAATACCCACTGCATACGGCACACATTGGGCACATCAGCCTGACGTTCGCGGCATTTCGCAGATGGAAATCTCACCTACTACAGTCATTTGGAAATGTCCGCCTTAAGCTTCCCTCGGTCGCTAGCATGGGCGCGAACTTCCCTGCGTGTCGTGGTCGGTGCTTCGAAGAAAGCCAACTCACCAGTTGCGGGACCCCTCACATGCACAATCCACGTCGACTGCCTTCGCTGAAAGCTCGGATCAATCAATGCGTTTATCTCCGTTCTAATGTCCGCAAGTTATATGAATCAACCATCACTCCGCTTTTGGATAGGCTTCGAGTCCCATCGGCCTGTCACTGGCCATCACCGTACGTACCGTGTACGTACCAACCATACAACTGGTACTGTTGTCTTTTCAGCCTCGGTTTCGTATCGCTGGCAACCTCAGGCAGGATCACCGAGGGCCCGTAAACTCTACATTCCGACAAGCGCACGATGGCTTCAAGCCTTACTTCTTGACGCACTAACGTAGCTTGTCACTGACGTGTCTCGACGACGCATACTTACTACGGCGCACGTTGGATGTCTGACAGGCCCATCAGCGCCGCGGTCGCAACACCTCCCTGTCCGACTCATCCGGGTCCGCGCTGCCTGGAACCTTTACTTGACTTTTACTCACAGAATGTCCACTGCCAGGTGCGAGTTTCACATCCGATCGCTCTATCCACTATACTCACGAGGTATCTCACTGCGTATTACAATAGTATTGGCAGCGACCGTACGTACTACACCGCCGCACCATCCGACTCGGATGGCACAGAAGCGGTGTTCCACCCGAGCGTGACGCTGTATACTGTTTTTCCTCCCAAATTTGCTTTGTCACTCGCCGTGGACAGCGCACTGCACGTACCCGAGGTTGTGGTACATACCTTGCACTCCAAGATCTGCATGGTCGTCGTCGGCATGGTTGGGATGTCCTCTACTCTGAGTCTCCTGCCATGATCTCTCACACGTTTCATTCCGCAGGTAGCGTGTCTCTCGCTGCTCACCAATTGCGGGGTTCTCTGCCTTCGCTTGCAGCGGTTCGAGACTCTAGGGCATGGGCGATCGGTCGAAGTCGATGTACACGCCCCGCCACGCCCATTACTATCACGTAATCGTATCTCACCCGGCAGCCCCGATCATTCCGACCTTCTTTCCGCCACGATATACTCACCGTAGCGTTCTACTAGTACTGGGTCAGTGACGATCGGTAAGTCATTCCTAGCGTACAACTCTCACAGTGTTCCATCATATGCTCTGTGGCCTATCATGGCCAGTGATCTGAACGAGCGCGGTGAACTGACGATACTTCCATTCTCGCAGGCTTGACTCTTCCCAACACTGGGTTGCCCGACTTGTCGTCTGCACCCCACGTACGTGCTCGTTAGGTATCAGGTGCACACGCAACTTGACCATTTTTGTGACACCTATAGATCCGCACTCGGAACGATGGTCGCCAACATTCAACTTTTAGACGAAGATGTCCTCGCCATGATAGTTGCGTTCATCTCGCAACGCGACGCTGGTCGGCTCGCCTTGACATCGCGCACGATGAGCGCCGTCGCCCGGCCGCGCGTCCTCTCTTCCCTACGAGTCGTAACGCCATACCGGAGCCCCAGTTTCCTCGACTTCATACTCGAGGAAGATGGATACCGCCTTCAGTACATGCGTAAACTCGCGATCCCCCTCTGGCACACCCACAACTCAGCTGACGGATACTCCTCGCTTGCTGCCGTCCTCGTGCGAGCGCGGTTCGCTTGACGTGATATATGATTCGGGCCGCGGGGCTCTGGCGACTGAGAGTGGGCGTGCACTCTGCGATGCCATCGTCGCACTCCGTGATCTGCGCGAGTTCGCGCTGTGCGGTGTTACCGAGGACAGCATGGCGCTCTGCAAGAGGCTGACCTGCAGGCCGAAGGTCGTCCGTTTGCAGGCTCAGGAGTGGACTGCCGAGCCGCTGCAGAACGTGGAGTATGCTACGCTCATCCACATACCCTTCCTACAGCACGCGGTGGAGGTGTTCGTGGCCGACCTCGCGCTTCTTCTCAAACCTGCCCCAGACTGGTCAGGGCTGCCTTCACCAGTCTCGGCTGATCTGTGGCCTAGCACACGCGCCTTGCGGCTCAGAAACATGGATCCGTTGGCGCTCGTGCGGTTGTGCCCGAATTCCACATAGCCTTCACGTCGCTTTCGGGATTCATTCCGGATGACCGACTTTTCCGCTATACCACCTTCGTGCACGACGTCGCCGCACGCCTACGTGTCCTGGAGGTCTTCGTCAACCAACAATGGTCCACGCTCAAGGAGATCGTCGTCGCCACGGTGCGCGCGACACATCCCGTGGTCTTCTCGACGCAGTACTACGAGGGCGACAGGGAGTTTTGGGGGCGGCTTGCGGAGTTGTTCGCGCTCTCTGACGCGCGGCTGCGCTACCTCGATCTGCTAATGCATAACACGGTCGCACTCGCGCATGGATGGCTGGTGAGTCCCGTTGTTGCTCTCTGTGCCGGTTCACCGTCAATCGCACGTGTTCCCCCGCAGGACGGATGCCTCCTGCTTCTCTCCGCTAGCAGCACCCTCTGCGTCCGGCTCAGGCTTTTGGATAGGGATAGAGTCGAGCGCATCCGAGTCGGGTGCCCCGCTCCCCGCCTTTCGCCCGAATCCAGCCCGAGGCCGGCGTCCAACAGCAGAAAGTGGGAGCCGCTGCGCGATGCAGCTCCTAGGCTGCTTGCGGAGGGGATCCCGACTCTCCGCTACGTCGCCGTGTCGTCCAGTGGGCACATGGCCAGGGACACCGATGATCCTGGAGGCTCGAGTTTCCGCGAATCGGTGCGGTGGTGGCGAGTTGTGTCGGGTGTGGTGGCCGAGAAGCGCGCAGTAGAGCTAATTGAGATCAGTGCGGAAGAAGGGCAGAGGCTGGACGAGTATATGCGTGGCGAGGCTTTCGCGAACACTTTGCAGCTTTAGAGTGGGTCAATCACACTGTCTCTGAGTTGCGTGGTGCTGACTTTGGGTTATGTAGGTCTTTGTATGTCCCTATGAACTAGTCCTTTGCTCGTGCAGTCTGCCTGGGCGCATTCTGGTCCGCGGGGTCATGGTCTGTCAGGTGGCGAGGCTTCATAGTAAATGCTACTGATTTGTAAGTGGGTATGGTTTGATATCTCTATCGTGTGAGTTGACTTCTCGAAGCCAGATGCTCGACGAATCCTACTTCAAGCACCCTCAGGTTTCGCGCTCTTGTGAGTGGTGAGTACCCATCCGTAGTGTCGTTAATCGTCGATGGTGACCTACAGATGATGAAGCAAAATACGGTACCCGTCTCCAAAGGATGAAGATGTGCGCCAACCAGTTATTCGGAAACAGCACGTACGAGGAGCTCATCAGCGTCGATGTGCGCCGCCTACACGAGGTCATGAGCCAGCCGTGCTTCGGCTCGCTGAAGGACGTGAAGATGACGATCGACTATCCAATCAATCTGCATCTGAGCAAGCTGCGACCATCTGTCAAGCATGTCAAAAAGCTGTTAACGCAGTGATGCGATAAACGGCGATCTTCTGAAATCCCGTCCGTGCATGCCAGCGTATAAAGGAGGGGGTATGCCCGCCACATCCCTCAGCTCCTCTTCTTTCGAGCCCACCGAGTAGGTTGCCGGCAAGTGCGTGCTCAGCGACGGTGGTAGTCTGGATGTTGCACTTACCCCTTGCACCCTTCCAGCCTCGCTCTTTTTTGACGACTCACGTTTATTCCACCGAAATCCTTCGCAACGACCCCAGTGCATACAAAACATCATGCGTTACTCTACGCTCGTCTCTACTGTCCTTTTGGCGGCGGCGACAGCTCCCGCGCTCGCTCGCCCGGTCACCGTGTGAGCTCGTCGCTATTCATTCTTATGTCATGACTGAGCATACAACAACAGTCGCGCGACCGAGGATGCCTCCATGGTTGAGCGCGACCTCCAAGACGCACTGGTGGAGCGCGGCTGCTACGACGACCTCGTCTCTCGAGACCTCGAGGCGCGTGGTGGTGGCCCTTCAAAGACTGATAAGGCGCGCGTCGCGTCGATAGCTCGGTTGAGGCAGGAGCATCAGGACCGGATGCGTCAGAATCCCGGCTTCATTCGGGATCCGCCGAGCGCAATTTGGACCGCGTCTAGGGAGGGTACGCCTCTGCAACATCCGCGGCCGTACCGCCCGGCGCAGAAAGCCGAATTCCTTCCCAAGAAACCCCGGGAGTACGACTTCGACGGCGAGCTGTTCGAGCGCGGCTTCGAGGTAGACGAGCTTGACTGAGCGGGCGTAGCATGAGCGTGGGGCTATTACGATGTATTATCACCTGTTGTACGCATCGTGTACGTTCTTGCGTACCACTTATGATGTGAATCGTAACGTGAAGACTCACTCAGGCGTGCTCGGGACTTTGGGGATCATTTTTTCATGGTTTTCTTTTGGTGGAGCGTTGCGCGTGGGCGCTGGGTCTGGCAATCGACAAGTCGCGCCAGATTACCCGCTGTAGTTACGGGGAGTAGAAACGCAACACGTCTCGTGAATCACATTTGTGGATAACCCAAGTTGAATCAAATCATCAGCCAGTCTGTGCCACCGTGACGATGGCACAACACAATCCGCCCCTCGCCGACTGTATACGCACTCACAGAGCCTGTCCGAGCGGGTGAAGATGCACCTAGTGCGCCCATGCGAGATGATGATCGCACCTATATCGAACACCGTCAGTGAATTGGCTGCCACGGCCCTTGGCGAGAACCTCGAATACATGCAGCTTACCTGACGCAGGAATAGAGAGCAACGTGGATAAGGCGCTCCCGAGGGATTGCGAGCTATGCCGTGGAACGGAAGGTCGACAGCGGTCGAGCGACGCGATGGTATGCCGGCCTGAAACGAAGGACAGGGACAGCCGCACGACCACTGCGCTCCGCGCCAGAGGACTCTCCCGCGCAAGACGCACCAGTCGAGTGAGTGCCCTATCCGTCGGTACGTCGCACCCATTCGGAATCGGAATCCATCGGTACAGCGCGACACCCACGCATGGAGGTATGGATTAAAGTTCCTGAGGTCGTCATCTGCGTCAGGGTCCTTGTCGTACTGCGCCTGCCACCGCATCGCTGCATGTCGGACGTTGATGAGAAAGGTCGTGAGGTTGACCGCGCCGCCGAAGTACACTGAGGGGTCTTCTAGATCGTTGTGTTCCGTTCCCTTTAGCAGAATAGGGAACTTCCACTTTCCGAGGAAGGTCTTGATCGCGGAAGCGGAAGACGTGTGGAAGGTGATGTGCTTGCATAGCAGCTGCAAGACGGGGTGGTACGAGGAGGGGAATGTCTGAATGGCCTTGTCGCCGTGGTTCTTCAAGGCAGCGCGACGCGTATTTTGAGGGTCTACGCTCACAGACCAGCTTAGGGATAGGTTAGCTTGATGTCACACTCATGTGTGTAGATCTGCACCTTACGGGATAGGCGGGATCCACGCCATGGCCAAAGCCGCCCCTCACTCGCTTCGCTGTCATCGTATACGGGCTACAACGGTCGTGAGTCAACCACAGCCCGAGTCAGGAGCGAAGCGGGACGCACGGCATGACGAGGGCTGCGCAGGCGAATGCACGACTTGTTAAACTCGATAGTTGTCTAACGTCGTCAGATGTGGCTTCAGAAGTCTCTCTAAAATTGCCAACAAAGGTGGTTAGGAGGGATGATGACGCTTGCGGACAACGCTGCACGCGTAACGAGGAGGTCGGGGGCGGGCCCGAGTAGCGATGGACTGGCGAGTAGGACAGCATAGCGGGTGGCGGAATGAGGAGTGTGTCTGAGAGTTGAGAAGTCTGCAGATGGGAACAGTAGAGGCGGGGTATTTATACTGCGAGCCGGGTGTTGGAGGAACAAAGGTAGCAGGAAAGGCCAGACAAAAGGAGTGGCGATCGTTTCAGCAAAGCAAGCCTCGTATCAACACGTCATGCATGTAGAATGGTCAACGGGGCATGAACTTACTGTGGATGCCGCACGATCGACTATGCAAGGACCCACCGGGGCCAGACATCCTCCAAATCGCTACCCAGACTGGGTGCATCTTCACCCGCTCGGACAGGCTCAGTGGTTGCGCATACAGTCGACGAGGGGCGGGTTAAATTGTACCATCGTGGCATAGGCTTCGTGAGACATGGCAGAGCAGTTTGGACTCGAGATGGACGTCGACGGCCAGTGCGGCCGCGCCCGAACTCGGGAAGGACCGAAGGAGGAGATCGGGGCGCGATCTCTCAGCCACAGACGCGTCGCTGCTGGCCCGGGCAGCCTCGCTCCATCTGTCCACTGAGCTCGCACGGATCCCACTGAGCTCGCCTCCTCTTGCCACAGCACTAGCAGCCATAACGCAACTCCCAGGGCGTGCGCCTCGCGACTCACATGCCCGTCACAGGAGGATTCTCCCGGAGAGACTAAGCGACATGGCGGGGAGCGTGTGGTGGTCCATCTGCAGTGCGAGAGCTCCGTGAGTATCTCCTCTTCTCTTCTAAGTGCGGGGCGAGCGGTCGGAGCTCCAGGTACCCACGTACGAGTGTCAAACTCCCGTCGCTGCGCCGTATCGATTCTCGTAGCGCGTAGCATCTCGAGGCCTTTTCAGTGGGTGGAGAAGGGAGGTCGGTCCGCGGAGTGGTTGGGATCCCGGTTCCAAAGCTTGACGCGTTTGGATGACGACTGGATGAACGATGCGTGTTTGGGAGCATCGAGCATCGGGTGGCTCCGTCCAATCGAGCAGAAGTTGTTCGCGCCTGCGAAGAACGCAGTCAGGGTTACGGCTGGTCACGGCCTCTCGCTGCCTGCGCCCCCCCGCTCACGACCTCATCCTGGTCGCGTGCCATGTCCGATCTCCCGCCTACAGTCTGTCGTCCAGTCGAGGCAGCGAACCATCCCAGCTGTCGATACAGAACCCGGCGTCCATATTCCCTTCCACCGGATTGCCCGCCGAGTCGCCCAGAAAACATCCTCACTCCGGTGTCGCTGCTCGACCACTCGAGTCCTTCTTATCTCGTACGCCACGGCCGCCCAATACACTCACCCTGCTGCTAGTCAGCACGTCCAGGCGACCTCTGACGCCAGGCTTCAGCTGCACCTCGTCCGTCGTCACGCTGTGTCTTCCCGTCGCATGATGCAGAGCCGTCTTCCGGGTACAGATCCCTCTCTAGCCCCAGGCCGTCGAAGGAGCGTGGCAGAGACAGAACAGGACTTGAGGGGACCCGTTCGAATTCGTCGTTGGCCGAAGGGTGTGAGTCGAGACGGCTGCGCAGTCCAAGACACGGGCGAGCTGAGATCTGTGGGAGTGCACTGGCATGCATCAGCTGGTTGTGTATCGGGCATCCCACCAGCACAGGAGTGCATCGAAGAGCGTGCTGAGACAAATGATCTAGTGTCCAACTCGAAGACCTCGAGGCAGCGAGGCAGCGAGGCTTAGTAGGCTCGCCCGCACGGCCTACGCCGCTAAACACCCGCTCCGAATTGCGTCGCATACCGAAGCATCCGCCCGAATCCGGAGGCCCCAGCAGATCATGGATGTACAGGTGGGCACTAGCATATGTATTCGTCCATATCGTATACTGACACCTCGCCGGCCCGGGTCTGAAGTAGCTCGGGCGATAGTACCACAGACTCGGAGCGGTCTCTGCATGTCTGTCCCGCTCGCTCAGCGCATAGGCGGCCAAACGTCGGGGTCCCTGGATGCCAGTGCCCGTCCGTAGGTACGCACCGGGTAGGACCTCCGCCCAGTCGAGGGGCGGTCCGACCTCGCACTCCGAAGCTGTGGCGCACGACGATGCCTAGAGGACACGACGACATCAATGCGCGCGGAAAAGCTGAGACACGGTGCAGACATACCTGGGCGCGGACGCCTTCAGAGCGGACACGATCCCGTCCGCGGTCAAGGGGCCCGGGTACGCGGCGAACGCGCCATGGCGGTACACCCGCAGCGTCCTAGCGGACGATCCCAGGCCGTCAATACTGCCACAGAGCACGACGCTCGATGGGCTGGAGCTAGTACTCACGGGAACGACATCACGCCGATGGTCCTGCAGAACTCGAACTGCGTGTGGTCGGAACAGTCGACCGTGGCGAGCTGCGCGACGCCCTTCAGCGACGCCGCGGCCTTGTCGAAGGCGGGGACCAGCTCGATGCAGTGGGCGCACCTGCGTGCGCGGGCGGGTCGAGTCAGGGTCGTGATGGTCTGGGACTGCGTCGTGCTTACCATGAGGAGACGAACTTGACCAGCATGAGGGGCTCGCGCTTCGCTGCTGCGTTGAAGCTCTGTGAGTTCAGGCTGATCACGTCCGACGCGCTGGCGGTCGCGGAAAGGAGCGCTGCTGCTGCAACGATAACGAACGTGAAACGCATGGCGGAGGCGTAGAAGAAATATAAAAGGTGGGCACTGCCGGTCAACGACGCGAGAACTCGAAAGTGTCTGTCCAGCAGACGGAAACGGGCGGGAGAAGTGAATGGGGACTTTGACTGCGGGCACAGGTGCGGTATTTATGTGGGTTGGTCCGCGTCCGAGCTCACCGTCCCGTCGCGCTTCACCGTCACACAGGTCCATGCCCGAGCCGTCTGCCCGATGGTATAGGCTATCAACGGAGCACTTGCTGTTGCGGCACAAGGACACGGAAAGGTCGATGATAACTTTAAGTTGAACGATCGTCTGAAGACGATTTGTATACTGAACTTAATAGAGTGGGTCCATGTTGTGCTCACTACTCGGCGTCCCTGAGTACGAGTGGTGAGCAACGGCGGTTCCTCGTACATAGAGCGCGCTTGCGAAGCGCGTCACTGACTCGGACTTCAGCTTCAGTCCCAGGGCTTCGCCGAGTCTATGCTATACGGCCGAGTCTCTGAGTCCGCGGTGAGTATGTCAGCAATACCGTGGCGGAAGGTACAGATATCAGATGGTACCCGGCAGCAATTTGAACGAATATCCTCTGCAGGAAATTTCGTGTTCAGAGAGCTATTTCCGGAGCTGGTACCGGTGTGGATGGAACGTTCTTGGCCGAGCTGCATCAAAGCATACAGGCAGATCACGGAGACCCTGTATTACATTCATGTCTCGCACGTCTCAGGTGTCTCCGGGCTCCCCGTCATTTCCGCGTTGCATCGGTCGTAGACCAGTACTTACCTAAGTACGTCAAGTGGAGGGCTACAAGAGCGATCAAGCCTACGACGAGGTCGACTGCGTCCTTCAAACCCGAGAGGAAACCAGCAAGGAAACGCCGTCGACGCCGTGTATTGATGGGCTCCAGACGGCACACGAGAGGTCTCTGGTCTGCGAGATGGGTGTTATTGGCTGAATCGGAGAGAGGCTAGTAGTAACGATGTCTCAAACCATAGACGCGTCGCAGTCTGTAGCTACTAGCACCCAGAGTCGTTCACATCCTTTCGCCAGTTCCACGTACATAGCCACTCTCATCGGGCCACGTACGGTTATTGCGCGGGATGTTCGGCCTACATAGTCAACGACGTTATATGCATGAGCAAAGTTCAACTGATCACTAAATTCCCAAGCACGTATGACTGAGTCTTCACGTTACGGTTGACATTAAATATAAGTGGCACGCAACAATGAACACGATGCGTCCAACAGAGGGAAATACATCATAACAGCCCCACGATCATGCTACGTCCGCTCAATCAAGCTCAACAGCATCGAAGCCGCGCTCAAACAGCTCGTCTGCCTCGAAGTCGCGCTCGAACAGCTCGCCGTCGAGGTCGTACCCCCGCGCAAACCACTCATAGTCGCTCCGGGGCGCCCACGGCTCGTTGCGTGCCTCCAGGTCACGCTCGACTAGATCGTAGTCGTCGCTCCGGGGGCGTTGTGGTCGAGACGCATGAGGCCCATGCCCGCCGGAGTGCTGAGTTCCCCTGCCCGCGGACTGGCCCGGACGAAGAGCGTTGCCCTCACCCGCCCCCGTCCTTATCTGCTGGTCCTCCTTCTTCAACTGAGACACCCTCGCGGGTTGCGGCTTGGGAGGGGCCCGAGAGACGAGGTCATCGTAGTAGCCGCGCTCAGCAATGGAGGCATCCCCACCCGAGCGACTGACACGGCACGCTCAGCCACGAGATGAAAACGGATAGCGAGGGACTCACACTGCGAAGGGAAGAGCGAGTGCGGGAGCTGCTGTCGCCGCGAAAAGGATGGCAGATACGAGCGTAGAGTAACGCATGGTGTCTTGGATGCACTGGGGTCGTTACGAAGGACTTCGGTGGAGGGAACGTGAGTCGTCAAAGAGAGCAAGGCTAGAGGGATGCAAGAATTATGTAAAAGCGACGTTCAGATTATCACCGTCGCTGAACACTCACCTGCCGGCAACCTACTCGGTGGGCTCGAAAGAAGATGAGCTGAGGGATACGGCAGGCAACCCTCACCTTTTATACGCTGGCATCCAGGGACTCGGGATCCAGAATATCGCCGTTCGCCGCATGACTGTGCTTGACAGGCTTGACAGGCTTGACAGATCGTCGCGTGGTGGCGGTCCCGGTACGGAGGCTCCTTGGGACACCGCCTGGTGCATGTGCACCATTCATGCGTCGTCGGTATGAGTGGCCTGCTGCTGCAGGTCTAGGGGAGTAGGCTGGCAGGGTTCAAACACTGAGGAACGTCACTATATGCTCACCTGCGATGCTCTTTGAGCAGGGAGAGCATTCTGTCATCCACGGTAGCCAAGTGCATAGTCTCATATCGAGATCCTTACACAGCGCTAGTAATTTGTGTAGAATGTAGCCGAACGCATCCTGTATGATGGGAGATTGCATCGCAGTAGTAATATTTGACTTCATTGATCTGTGGCGATGTCGATCACCCACCGTATAGCAGCGTATAGCCACCGCATCACGACTGGATATAACGATGGGCCGCAAAAGGCTTGAACCGTCGCTCGATGCAAGTGTAGTCTCCACGCAAGTGGTCTGGTGACGCCCTAAATGTGCGAACATCCCCAAGACCGTGTGGAGTGAGTTGCAAGCGAAGGTACTGCCGATACAGAAGAGATCAGAAAAAAACCAGGGTCCACAGTTGCATGAGCCGAATACCTGGTATGTATGACGATATGTGATCTTACGTGCGGAGAAGAGACCGTTAGGGCTACAGTATCCTCAACGGCTTCGGCGACCATCTTCGAAATGGACTCGGACGGGTTCACTGAGCACTGGGAACGGGGAGAGTCAGCTGAGGGAGTCTAGTAACAAGCTGGGCCATACTGTTCTTCGCCTGTGCTAGCTCATCGCCCCGCCTCGCTGGTATATTCGGCGTCGCACTTGCTTCAGTACCGTCGACCTGAGGGCTATGGTGTGCCTTTCCGAGGAGGCTCGCGAACAGGTCGTCGCCGACGGGGGTCTTGTATACGCAACCGAGGAAGACGGGTGGCAGGAGGCTCAAGCCGACGTTAGGACCGCGCCTTCACGTTACGGTTGGCTTTACAAGGGGTACGCATGCGTACAACAGGCGGGAATACATCGTAACCCCCCACGACCATGCTACATCGCCTCAGTCAAGCCCGTCTATCTCGAAGCCGCGCTCGAACAGCTCGCCGTCGAGGTCATACTCCCGGCGACGGTGATGGGCTCCTGCCCCCCGCCCGGCGCCGCCGTTGTGCCCCGAACCACCGTTCGGCTGCTGAGGAGGCGGACGACTCCGCCCAGCCTTGTTCCGCTGACGATCCTGGACCTGCCGAAGGCTGGCTCTCACCTGCGCCGCCCGTATATTTTGCGCACGCTGCCTCTCGGCTTGCTCCTGAGCCGCGACGCGTCCAGAGCCCGCCGGCGCGAGGTCCCGAGAGAGAAGGGAGCCGTGCTCCGCCAGTCCTTCTTGAAGCTCACGCTCGACCATGGAGGCATCCTCAGATGCCCAGCTGTTATTATATGCTCAGCCATCAGATATTTAGAATGAATAGCGAGGGGCTTACGTAAACAGGTCGCCGTCGAGAGCGTCCTCCCGGGGGCTACTCCAGGATGCAGGATGGGGTCTCGGGCCGTTCGGCCGCGGGCGACTCGGCGAAGCCTGCGACTGAGGCCCGGAGTGCTGAGTTGCCCCGTTAGAAGTCCCCGCGGAGTGACCCAGGCCCTGACGTAGACGCCTGCGCCCCTCCATCTCCTGTCTCTCCCTCGCGGCGCGCTCCTCTTTCGTTTCCGGATCGGCGGTTCTGCGCGCCTCGAGTTCGTCGTAGTGGCCGCGTTCCACCAGTCCTTCTTGGAGCTCACGCTCAACCATGAAAGCATCCTCGGTCGTCCGACTGTTATTGCATGCTCAGCCATCAGATCATAAGGATGAATAGCAAGGGCAAAGGGGCTCACGAGAACAGCTCGCCGTTGAACGCGTCCTCACGGGACTTCCGCAAGGATGTGATAGGTGTCGGGCCGTTCGGCCACGAGCGACGTGGACCAGACTGAGACCCGGAGGGCTGAGCTGCCCCGTTGGAAGTACCCGCGGAGTGACCCTGGCCGTGACCCTGATGCCTGCGCCCCTCCGCCGCCTGCCTCTCCTTCGCGGCGCGCTGCTCAGCCGTTTTCGGTTCAGTGTTCTTGCGCGCCTCGAGGTCCCGAGAGAGGAGGTTGTCGTAGTAGCCATACTTCACCAGCCCATTCTGGAGTTTACGCTCAACAATGGAGGCATCCTCGGTCGCGCGACTACAGTATCATTACCTGCTCAGCCATGAGACAAGAATAACTAGCGACAAGCTCACGTGGTGACCGGGTGAGCGAGCGCGGGAGCTGTGGTCACTGCCAAAAGAACGGCAGAGGCGAGCGTAGAGTAACGCATGATGTCTTGAATGCACTGGGGTCGTTACGAAGAGTTTCGGTGGAAGGGACGTGAGTCGTCAGAAAAGAGAGCGAGGCTATAGGGGTGCAAGGGGTAAGTGCAACATTCAACCTACCGCCGTCGCTGAACACTCACTTGCCGGCAACCTACTCGGTGAGCTCGAAAGAAGAAGAGGAGCTGAGGGATACGGCAGGCACACCTCATCATTTGTACGCTGTCATGTGTGGCCGTGGCACCGACTTGAGAGCACAGCAGCAATCTCAAGATCTTGCGCCGTTCATCACATCAGCCTGGCCATTGTGCTTCGAATTGGATGGCGGCTCGCAGTACGGAGGCTTCTTGCGACGCAGCCTGAGGGATATGTGCACCATTTACTCGTCGTCGAGTACGAGTGGTCTGACAAAGGGGAGCAGACCAGCAGCTTTCACGGTTAATGATACCTGGACTAACCGCTGTTAGCACATAACATTGGTGATGTAGATGAGGAACGACGTCACTGTACACTCGATTACGACGCATTTGCAGTAGTGAGAGGAATCATCCCTGGTGACTTACCCGAGTCGATATGATGGGCGATTGCATCGCAACTTCGTTGATCTCTGGCGGTGTAGAGCAACCCAGGTCACCCCGCCGTATTGTGGCTACGTATAGCAATGCTACAAAGGCGTGAACTTGGACCGTCGCTTGTTATGGCAGTCTGGAGATTGGACGTCGGCCTGGATGCGCGAGCGTCCGCATTACATACTTCGTTGAGCCAACTGGAAGTGGCCGCAGTGAAGTTATTGCTGATGCAGTCAGGTCGATCGCATGCGGCGTATACGAAGCGGTCTTGATCTCATATGGCCAGTACCTGTACCGGTGGGTACTGTGCTGGAATGCACTATAGCGGCGTCTCTGGTCACTATGGGCGTTTTGAAGTCCGCTCGGCGGCTTCCGTACCGCTTTACCGGCGGGATGGTGAGTACGTAGCATACCGACGAGGTTCACGCTGTCTTGTGCGGACGTGTTTTTGCTGCGCGTGGGGTTTTATTCGGAGGAAACGTGTATACTGGTGGATGTACGCCAGTGCATGACGCGTGAAGAGGTGCGGGACTGCTTGAATAGCATGTCGAAGCTGGCCGCGTATCGCAACTTGGGACGCAGGACGCTATGTAGTATTAGCTCGTTCATAAAACAGTACTTTTCTAGGAAGGACTATGCGCGTTGACTGTGGTTTGTCGAGGTGTGTAACTCGTTCGACGTACTCACCGCGCTCCGGAACAAAATCAACAACTTGTGTATGCGACCACGACGGAAGAACACTCGTTGTCTTGAACCTAACGGTACGGGTGCACCACACCGCTGCGCTGAGCGCTGATCGCGGAGCATACTAAGCAACATATAGTATTACATCCGAGTCACTGTGGCTGAGTGTTTCCCTTCGTGCCGCTCGGGCCGGGCCTCCGACGAGGTCGGCTGCGACGCGATGTAGAATTGGTGGCTCCAGACGGCATACGAGAGGTCTCTGTGGTCTGCGGGATGGATGCCATCGGCTGAGTCGGAGAGAAGCTAGTAGTAACGATCTCTGGAACCACAGATGGGTTTCAGTCTGTAGCGATTCGCATCCAGAGTCGCTCTCATCCTTCCGCCAGTTAGTCCATGGACATAACCTCTCCCACCGGGCCATGCACCGTTTTTACTGCTCGGGATGTTTGGCCTACATAATGATATTATATGCATGAGAAACGCTCAACTGATCATCAAGCTTTCAAGCACGCACGACTGAGTCTTCACGTTACGGCTGGCATTGGTATGCAACAATGCACACGATGCATACAACAGGCGGAAATACATCGTAACAGCCCAACGATCATGCTACGTCCGCTCAATCAAGCTCGTCTATCTCGAAGCCGCGCTCGAACAGCTCGCCGTCGAAATCATACACCCGGCGACGGTGATGGGCTCCCGCCCCCGCCCTGCCCCGTTGTTCTGCCTCGAGCCACCTTGCGGCGGCGAAGGCTCAGCTTGTTTCTTTTTGGCTTCTATCAACATGCCCATCCCCTTCGCCACGACCTGCGAATGCCACTTCAGCGCAGCTTCCTTCGGAGAACGCCCCTTAGCCGCTTTCAATTTGTCACCGCGCTCCACCAGTCCGTCTTGGAGCTCACGCTCAACCATGGAGGCATCCTCAATCGTCCGGCTGTTATTGCATGCTCAGCCATCAGATAATAAGAATGAACAACGAGGGGCTCACGTGAACAGCCCGCCGTCGAGGGCGTCCTCCAGGAAGCTCCTCCTGGATCTGGGATGGGAACTTGCCTGGCGGTGAGCCCACGGGCGCCACGGTGACTGACGCGGACCAGGCCGAAGACTGGGCTGCTGAACTGGCCCGTTGGAAGTCCCCGCGGAGTGACCACGGCCCTGACCCTGATGCCAGCGACTCTCCCTCTCCTGTCTCTCCCTCGCGGCGCGCTGCTCAGCCGTTTCCGGTTCAGCGTTGTTGCGCGCCTCGAGGTCCCGAGCGAGGAGGTCGTCGTAGTAGCCGCGCTCCACCAGTCCGTCTTGGAGCTCACGCTCAATCATTGAAGCATCCTCGTCGCTCCGGCTGCGGTTCGGCGGCGTATGAGGCGAACGACTCGGCCCAGCCTGGCTCTGGAGACGATTCTGGGTGTGTGCTGCCAGCGCGTTGCACAGAAGACGGTACTTGGTGTCCTCATGGGCCTTCCACTGCGCATGGGCCTGCGCACGGGCCTGCCGCGCTTCGGCCTGCGTCCGCCTCCTCTGCGCAAGCACCTCCCCAGCGCGCCTCTTCTCCTCTTCAGGATCCACGGTCCAGCGTGCCTCGAGGTTCCGAGAGACGAGGTCGTCGTAGTGGCCATACTTCACTAGCCCATTCTGGAGTTTACGCTCAACAATGGAGGCATCCTCGGTCGCGCGACTACATTATCATTACCTGCTCAGCCATGAGGCAAGAATAACTAGCGACGAGCTCACGTGGTGACCGGGTGAGCGAGCGCGGGAGCTGTGGCCACTGCCAAAAGGACAGCAGAGGAGAGCGCAGTGTAACGCATGATGTCTTGAATGTCCTGGGGTCGTTACGAAGGATTTCGGTGGAAGGGACGTGAGTCGTCAAAAAGAAAGCGAGGCTAGATAGGTGCAAGGGGTAAGTGCACATTCAAACCACCACCGTCGCTGAACACTCACTTGCCAGCAACCTGCTCGGTGGGCTCGAAAGGAGAAGAGAAGCGGAGGGATACGGCAGGCGCACCTCTCCTTTTGTACATTGGTATGCGTGGCCGTGGCGCCGACTTGCGAGCACAGCAGCAATTTCAGGATCTTGCGTCGTTCATCACATCAGGTCGGGTTATTGTGCTTCGAATTGGGATGATGGCGGCTCGCAGTACGGAGGCTTCTTGCGACGCAGCCTGAGGGATATGTACACCATTTACTCGTCGTCGAATACGAATGGCCTGCTGCTATAGAGGGGAGCAAACCGCCAGGTTTCACGGTCAATGATACCTGGACTCACTACTGTCGGTGATATATAGTGAGAAACGACGTCATTGTAGGCTCAACTACGATGCTCCTGCAGTAGTGAGAGCAGTCATCCCTGGTAGCCGAGTCGATATGATGGGCGATCGCATCGCAACTTCGTTGATCTCTGGCGATGTAGAGCACCCCAGATTAGTACCCCGCCGTGTCATGAATGCGTATAGCGATGCCGCAAAGGCTTGAGCTTGAACCGCCGCTCGATACAACGTGGAGACGTCCTGTATGTGCGAGCATCCGCGGTACCTACTTCGTTAAGCCAACTGTAAGTGAAGTTAGTATTGCTGATGCAGAAGAGATCAAGAAGAAAGGTGCTCAACAATTGCAGTCAGGTCGATCGCCTACGTATACGAAGCGGTCTTGATCTCATCTGGCCAGTACCTGTACCAGTGGGCACTGTGCTAGGATGCTCTGTAGCGGCGTCTCAAGTCAATATGGGTGTTTTTAAGTCTGCTCGGTGCCTTCCGTACTGCTTTACCGGCGGGATAGAGGACGTACTTAGGTTCGGAGCAAGCCGCCTACGATTTGCGCCGGGCGACTTGGGGGCGACCTCCCAGTCGACGGCGGACGCAGCCCCGACCTTCTCTTCGCCAAGCACGCGGCGTCACCTTGTCGATGTATCTGTTTGTCTTAATTACCTTCGTCGGGCGTTGACTCGACACTACACCGGCGAGCACGGACAGCGGCCGTGTCCTACTGCATACTAGCGGTCGTTTCAGACCACTCGTATGGTTCCCTGCACATAGGCTGCAAGCTCTAGTGATGATTGAACAGACGTGGCAGAGCAGTTTGGGCTCGAGACGGACCAACGACGGACTCATGGCGACGACCTCCAAGAGCCGCGGGCGCGAGATCGGGGCGCGATCTCTCAGCCACAGACGCGTCGTGGCTGGACGACTCGATCCATCTATTCACTCAGAACTGTCCAGTACTGAGCTTGCACAACCATCGCACAAATCCCGCTCACTGCTTGCGGTCGCCAACGCCTGCCACAGCACTATCCACCATAATGTAACTTGCCATCCATGGGTACGCCTCGCGACTCACATGCCCGTCACAGGAGGATTCTCCCGGAGAGACCATGCAAGTCGGGAAACCGTGCGCGTGTCCATGACCTTGTAGGAGCAAGAACGCGTGTAGAGGGTCGTCGGGAACCAGCCACTCTTCCCGTGCCATCTTAAAGCCCTGTATATGACCCCTTCGCACCCTCATCGAAGAGGAAGGACCTGGCCCCATCCTTGCCGCAATGATACACCGCGTCCGCCGCCAGTGAACATTGGTCTTGTGCCGCGCTATGTGCATCAAAGGGTCAGCTAGGACGAGAGCGGTGAGTGAAGGGCGACTCACCCAGACGAGATAAATTGTGTGAACAGCCTCCCCACATAGATCGACCATCGTGTTCGGGGGTCAGGTCCGCCGTCGCGCACTTGGGTCATGCACTGTCCCTTCCTCCAAGTTGCACCCGCGAGTTCGTGGCGTCACCAAGGTAGGATGCCCCCAAGCGACCCGACGGGCAACGTGTGGTGGTGCATCTGCAAGGCGAAAGCATGCTGTGAGTATCTCATTCTTCCCTTCTACGAGGTAACCAGTGAAGGCTGCAGATCATGACACTCACGTACGAGTTTAATGCTCCTGTAGCTGCGCCGTCTCACCAGAGACCCTTGTATCGCATGGCATCTCGATGTCTTCTCAGTGGATGGAGCTCGGAGCCCGGTCCGCGGAGTGGTTAGGAGGAATGGTAATCAGCGGGGCAAACCCCGCTTGGGGCGCGGTAAGTCGATGCCAGACGTGTGGCCGTAGTGGATCGGCGACGGGTGGTCGCATGACTGTTGAGTGTACTCAGTGAAAGGAACTCGGTATAAGGGGTGAAGGGGTGTGGAGGTCGTAAGGAGGGCGCTGCTGCATTTATACGTCGAGCGAGCCACGCTGAAACTCGGCTCAGGTACAAGAACGCGTACCAACGGGGCCACTGGTGGCCAAATCGGAACACCACGATCGGCGCAGCATTCGTGAAAGTGAAGGCCACTCTTAGCTCCTGATTGCGTGGCGACGACGCTAATCGCCATTTTGGACGAACAAACGGAATCTCCTCCCGCCAATGCTGGGATCTCGAGCCACGTATCGGCCTCGGGACGGTCACTAGTTGGCATACAGCGATGAAAGACTCGCCACTTCAGCAGGTACGCATGTGTCCTCGAGCAGAGTGTCTTCTCGCTCGTCGGCGCTGGCTGAGCAAGCTCTACGTAGCGGCGAAGCGAGTCGTCGGCCCAACTCCAGCATCTGGTCGACATGGCCTTCCCCTATCACTGCTAGCCCGATCTGGCCGGCAATGCCACATAGCACTGCGGACCCTGGCGACCAGCTGCAGACTCGGAGGCGACACAACCGGTGGTGCCATGGTCAACCGAATCAGGTCGTCGCGCCACACCTCACCGCGGTGCTTTAGCCCTCAGGATGATACCCGGAGACTCCGGTATACCCTGGGGTGCTCTCGAGGAGCTTAAGTTGCATTCCAATCACTCAAAGCTACCCAGATGTCTCGCGTCAAACCACCGCTCCGCCCTATCCCCATGTCATTACCATTCCTCCTAGACCACCCGCCACCGCGTTGTCGAGAGAGCGCGACGGGTGCTCGAAACGCTGTCACCGTCCCAACCGCGTACGTCCCTCCGTCCCGTCCCACCGCCGAGTCCAACATGTCCGCCTTCCAAACGATCCCCTACACGCGACGGAAGTGGACCGTAGGTGAGTGGCAGGTCCGCGAATGCGCGAAGACGAGACAGCTCGCGTGCGACGTGGCCAGCTCACGATAGAAGGGGTCTGTCGTTGCTGACGGACGAGGCCCCGACGCTGCGCCGGGCTGTCGGTGACGGATGGGTGTGGCGTTCGCACCTCGGATCAAGGGAGATGGGGGACCGGGCCATACTCAGATTGGGCACGACGCGCCGCTCCGCGATGCGGTCCGAATTCAAGCCTACGAAATCGGGCGGACACTGTCTCTTCGGTGATGGCAGAGCGCGCCGCAAGCAGTGCTGTTATGGTGAGCCCTACAGTGCTTCGTCCGTATGCGTGGCTCACGCGATCGTAGTTCAGAGGCATCGCGAGAGCAGCGCAGGACGCACGGCGAAAGGCAAGGGGCCACTGTGCGCTGCGCAATTCCTGTGTGGATCGCAAGGGCCGTTCTTCGCTGGGGTGTTTGACTCCTCGAGCGGGGCAGTCGCCTCGCTTGTGAGTTTTGCCACCCCAGAGCGATTCACGTCCTGTTTGTCATGGTTATTCGCGCCTGCAGTCTGACTGGATAGAGTACTCTCACGGCTCATGTACATAACCACCCCCACCGGGCCATGTAGTACCGCTACTGCTCGGGATGCCTTGGCCTATATAACGACACTATATGCGCGAGCAACACTCAATTAACCATCAAATTCCCGAGCACGCATGACGGAGTCTTCATGTTACGGTTGACATCGCAAGTGGTACGCAATAAGGCGCACAGTGCGTACAACAGGCGGAAATACATCATAACAGCCCCACGACCATGCTACGCCCGCTCAGTCAAGCTCGTCTATCTCGAAGCCGCGCTCGAACAGCTCGCCGTCGAGATCATACTCCCGGCGACGGTGACGGGCTCCGCCCCCCTTCCCGGAGCCGCCGTTGTGCCCCGAGCCACCGGCTTTCGGCTGGACAAGGATAGGCTTGTATCGCTTTGATTTGGGAGGAGTCCCCTTTCCCTCAATTGGCTGATCCTCCTTCCGCGCGCCCTCCTTCAGCGTCCACAACCTCGGTTTGGACGGCGGCTTAGGGGGCCCCTGAGAACTTGCATCAGGAAAAAACTCTCCTGTGAATGAGCAATAATCATACCAGATTCCACGGAATGAAGAGTAATAATATGTATCTGATTGCTTCCAGTAATACAGCACACTACCTAGGGTCCATGGGTCCCGGGTCCGAATGCTCAATATTACTACGGAATTACCCAGTATTTTGTAGGTATTCCGCAGCACATTAGCAGTTATTCATGGATATCTCGCCACACTCCGTTGAAGAGCAAACAATTGATGTATTGCATAGAAGATTATATTCTACACAACACTGGGGTCAAGCAAACATGCAGAGATAACTACTGTCTACATCTAACTGACATGACATCCCTGTCACTCGAAGAAAACACGGCAGTACTCGCGCAGAATCCATACCCGCCCCAGGTACAGACCCACGACAAAAGGTACGGGTTCTGCGTGGGCTGTACAGGTTGTGCGGGTCATGATTGGTCACACAGGGTGGATTAGTGGGCGGCAAGATCGGGCGAATGGGCGACGAGATCGGGCAGGCGGACGAGAGCGGACAAGTGGATGAGAAGCTCAGCACAAGTGGGACAGAAGGCGAGCGCAGGTGGCCGGACAAGAACAGATGGTTGGTCAAGCGGGCGAGGGAGACGACAGTCAACCAGAAGCGAACGGGATGGCAGGCAAGCGGACAATGGGCAGGCAGAACGAGGGGCGAGCAGGATGGCGAGCGAGCGCGTCGAGGTCACAGGCATTCACGACCAGCTACACGAAGGCGAAGTCTATACTCGTGGGACCTGGTCGACTGGACACCGTGCTACGTGCGGGAGAATCTGACGTCCGACGAAATAATGCATACGTGTATCAGTGAAAATACGAATCAGGACATGAAGCCTACATACCGTCATACCGCACCCGCCCCTCACGTTCCTGACTCTCGCTCCGCGCCAAACACTCAGGCGTTCGGACGCTGCATGACGCGGAGACGCGAGCCGTCAGCAGTGGGTCCACCACCCAAGCCTGTTCTTCGAGGTTCCTCTTCAATGTATTCGTAGATGGCAGCATTGGCAGGGAGATCATGTTGGTGATGGTTCACCTTTGTGCCGCAAATGATGCCCTTGAGCCTCGCACTCGAACTCTTTCGGCTGCGCAGTCGCTCGGTTCGTGTGTCCTCGGTGAGAACGGGTGGGCGGGTGCGAGAGGGTGAGCTAGGGGCGAGACACCGCGAGAGATTGGGTAAGCCGGATGTATGGACAGACACTGGGGCATTCAACACACGGTGATTACCCATCGATGTACCTGTCCATGGTAACGGGATGGGCGAGTGAGTGAGAGGACAAGTGAACAGACAAGAGGATAGGCAAGCCGGCGACAGGACAGAGAAGCTGGCGAGAGGGTGGCTGTACGTGAATGGGAGGGTGAGCGAGCAAGCGAACGAGTTAGCGGCGAGCCAGAATCATGAGGACAGGTGAGCAAGAAAGAGGGTGAGTAGGAGGACGCGTGAGCGAGCAAGCAAGAGAGGGCGGGCGAGTATGTGAGACAGCGGACGTGCGGGCAGAGGAGAGAGGCTCAGAGCGAGACTCTGACGTGGCGGTGTGGCGGCGGTGTCGGTCCACCGTCCAGTCGGATTCGATCGAGATGTTGTTTAGGGCAAGCAGCGCTCCCACTTGCGTCAGGCGCACACTACTGTCTGGTACCTGCACATCTCCGCCACCCGCTTGTTGCTCGTCACCCGCGTCGGCGGCGGCGTCGCCCGTCTGTCACTGATTCATCGCCCATCTCCAACCTGTCCCGTCTCGTACAGTCCCGCCGTGGCGCGACTGTCGGCGCTGCTCGCGAAAGCGCCGGACGGTCGCGTTCGGACAACCATGCGCGAGGCACTCATGCCGTCCCACACTCCGACTGCGACAAGCCCGAGCCGTGACGCAACGCAGCAAGCCTGAGCACAACAAGTGAGCACCGTCAGAGGAAGAGGGACAGCATAACATATGGCGGGCAGGAGTAGTGAACGAAAGGGAAGCGAAGCAGAGGTATAAAAATAAAACCCCCCGAAGTGAGTCGTCCTTAGTGTATTTACTAAATATCTCTGTTGCTAGTCGCGATGCTCGAGCAAGTGCGACGAGCAACAAACTCGCAGCACGCTTCTCTACGGGCACGTCACACAGTAACACCGTGTAAGTCTCTGCGACTGCCGAAAAGTGAGCAGACACCCTCTCTGACCTCCAGTGATGTACCCCTCGATCTTGCTCGCTCACCCCGCCCTTCTCGCCCGTTCGCTTGTCATCGCCCACTCGTTCGCCCACTCGCCAATCCACCCTCGGCTTCTCGCCGGCCCGACCTTGGCTCACCACCCACTCGCCCACTCTTGCTCGCTCGTCTGCTCGGCCGTTCTTGCCTACCCGCCCACATGTTCTTGTCTGCCCGCGCTCGCTTTCTTGCTAGCTTGATCGACCACCCGCCCGCCCGCCTGCGCCTGTCCTCCCGCGCTCGCTTTCACACCCGCTCGCTGTCGGCTTCTTGATCCGCGCACCCACTTGTGGACCCATACCGTCTCGCACCACACCCAACCGCTCGCACTGTCTCGCTCAGCGTCCCTCTCGCATGCGCTCTCCTGCCCGTGCTCTCGTCTGCTCTGCCGTCTGCCACTTGAACACGCGTACTTCATTCGTCCACGCACCCAAACGCCCGCGGGCCCGCTTACTTACCTGTGGGTTCGCGGACGACTGAGGTGTGGCTGTCATAGATGACTACGCATACGTGGTGGAGGACTAAATCAAAGTGATCTTCGGGTCATGTGTACTATACGTAGAGTCATTGAGGAGACACATCAATATATTCCCGTTGTTTTCACCACAATTTCGAATGAACCACTGTGCCGGTACCTCTGTATGGAAGATTCCAATCATACCACTCATATTAGTATCTTATTCTTGACGGCACTCAAATGACATGTCGAATGATCAACAATACGGGGTGTTATCACGAACGGCGTCTGAATTACCAAAAGTCTACGTATTATGGAGAATCTTCGTCTGTTCGTTGTAATTCCCAGGGAGGGATTTTCCTGATGTTGGAGTCCTTTTGCCGCTGCGCGCCTCGAACTTGAAGTCCCGAGAGAGGAGGTCGTCGTAGTAACCGCGTTCCACCAGTCCGTCATCGAGCTCACGCTCAACCATGGAAGCATCCTCGATCGCACGACTGTTATCATCGTATGCTCAGCCATGAGATGAGAATAAATAGCGAGGCACTCACATGGTGACCCGGTGAGCGAGCGCGGGAGCAGCTGCCGCCGCCAAACAGACAGCAGACGCGAGCGTAGAGTAACGCATGATATCTTGAACACGCTGGGGTCGTTACGAAGAATTTTGGTGGAAGGAACGTGAGTCGTCAAAAAAGAGCGAGGCTGGAGAGGTGCAACGGGTAAGTGCACATTCAAACACCACCGTCGGTACCACTTACTTGCCGGCAACCTACTTGGTGAACTCGAATGGAGAAGAAGAGCTAGGGGATACGGCAGGCATACTTCTCCTTTTATACGTTGGTGTGCACGGACTTGGGATCCCAGCAGCGATTATGAGATCTTGCGTCGCATCAGCCCGGGACATTTGTGCTTGATAGATCGTCGCATTTGGATGATGACGGTTCGCAATACGGAGGCTTCTTGTGACGCAGCCAGCCTGGTACATTTGCGCACCATTCACTCGTCGTCGAGTGCGACCCTGCTGCCACTACAGAGGGAGGCAGATTGGCAGGTTTCACAATTAGATGACAGCTCCGGATGACCACCGTAAGCACATTGAAACATCGGCGTTGTGGACTGAGAAACGACGTCACTCTGTGCTCAGCTGCGACGCTCTTGGAGGATTACTGAGACAAGTTCATCCATGGTAGCCGAGTCGATATGATGGGCAATTGCACCGCGATTTCGTTGATCTACTGGCGGTGTGGAGTGCTCCAGATCACCCCACGGTATCATGACTGTACATGGCGATGACACGAAGGCTTGATCTGTCGCACGATATAGTCTGGAGACGTCCCAAGGTCCGCGGTACATATCGCGTTGAGCTAAGTACTGTAGTTGGAGGCGAAGTTCAATGATGCTGATCCAGAAGAGAAAATAAACAGGCTCAACAATTGCAATCAAGTCAATCGCATTCGTATACGAAGCGGTCTTGATCTCATATGGCCAGTACCTGTACCAATGGGTACTGTGCTGGAATGCACTGTAGCGGCGTCTCTGGTCAGTATGGGTGTACTGAAGTGCGCCCGGCGGCTTTCGTACCGCATTACCGGCGGGATTCGGAGTAGGTACTGTAGGTTCGGAACAAGCTGCCTAATAGCCTGAGCCTACAGTTTGCGCGGGGCGACCTGGGGACGACCTCTGAGTCGACGGCGGACGCAGCACCAACCTTCTCTTCGCTGAGCACGGAACGCTGCCTTGCAGGTGTATTTGTTCCTCTTGACTACCTCTGTCGGTCGCTGACTCGACACTACACCGCACCGGCGAGCACGGACGGTGGCCGTGTACTACTAGCGGTCGACTCGGACAAGCTCAGTGATCGCCATACAGTCGGCTAGGGGCTGGTTGTGCTGTGCCACATGACACGGGCTGGCTAGTAATGAATCAAGAGACGTGGCAGGGCAGTTTGGGCTCGAGGTAGTCTCCCGTAGGCAGACCCTAAACACGACCTTGTTGAGTGGGGAGGGCGGTCGTATATGGGACTCGAGGTGGACGGCGACGTGACGACCTCCGAGAGACGAGATCGGGGCGCGATCTCTCAGCCACAGACGCGTCGGACAGTCCAATCTCCTCTTCTCAAGCAGGTTTCGTCCCGTTCGTTACCATCCCTTCTAACCACTCCGCAGACCAACCTCCAACCTCCATGCACTCAGACGACATCGAGCTGCCGCACGAATGTATGTGATGATACGGCGCAGCGATGGGGGCATCACACTCGTACGTGAGTATCTGCAGCCTTCAATGTTCGGCTCGTAGAAGGGACGCGGCAAGTTGATGACAGGCGGATATTCGCATGACTGGTGAGTGTACTCAGTAAATGAGCTCGGTATAAAGGATGAAGGGGCGTGAAATCCGCAGGAACTTGAGTGCTGCCGTATTTATACGTCGAGCGCCCCATGCTGAAGCTCGACAAGTACAAGAACACGTAGTAACGGGGCCACTGGTGGCCAAATCGGAACACCACGATTGGCGCGGCATTCGTGAAAGTGAGTGCCAACCTTAGCTTCTGAGTGCGTGGCGACGACACTAACTGCCATTTTGGATGAACACACGGAATCTCCTTCCGCCTATGTTCGGATCTTAAGTCGCGTATCGGCCTCGGGACGGTCACTAGTTGGCATACAGCGATGAAAGACTCGCCACTTCAGCAGGTACGCATGTGTCCTCGAGCAGAGTATCTTCTCGCTCGTCCGCGCCGGCTGAGCAAGCTCTACGTAGCGGCGAAGCGAGTCGTCGGCCCAACTCCAGCATCCGGTCGATATGGCTTTCCCCTACCACTGCTAGCCTGATCTGGCCGACAATGCCACATAACCCCGCGGACACTGGCGACAAAGCCGGTGGTGTCATGGTCAACTGAATCAGGTCGTCGCGCCACAAAGCCACACGCGGTGCTTTAGCCCTCAGGATGATACACGGAGACTCGTGTATATCCTGGGGTGCTCTCGACGAGATTATGTTGCATCCCAGCCGTGATAAGCTACCCAGATATCTCGCCTCAAACCATAGCTCCGCCCCATCCCCGCGTCGTGACCATTCCTCCGAGACCATCCCGCTACTGCGTTGTCGAGAGAGCGCGACGGCCCAGCGATTCCACCGCGACAGGTGCTCGAAACGCTGTCACCGTCCCAACCGCGTGCGTCCCTCCCTCCCCCCAATCTCACCGCTGAGTCCGAGCTGACCGCCTTCCGTCACTGACAGCCCGGCGCAGCGTCGGGGCCTCGTCCGTCAGCAACAACAGACCCCTTCTATCGTGAGCTGGCCACGTCGCACGCGAGCTATCTCGTCTTCGCACATTCGCGGACCTGCGACTCGCCTACGGTCCACTTCCGTCGCGTGTAGGAGGATGTGCAAATGGATGTGGCCTTCACGCTTCAGAGGGGAGATGGGAGACCGAGCCCCACTCAGGTTGCGCACGACGCGCCGCTCCGCGATGCGGTCCGAATTCAAGCCACGAGACCAGGCGGACACCGCTCTTCGGTGCAGAGTGCGTGTTGATATGGTACATCACACTGCACTTCGTCCGTGTGCTTCGCTCATGCAATCATTCTCGGGTATCAAGGTTCAGAGGCATCACGAAAGTGATACACGCCGCACAGTGAATGGCTTGAATGGGCCGCTGTGCGCTGCGCAACCCCTGCGTGGATTACAAGGGCCGTCTTTCGCTGGGGCGTTTCTCAAGCGGGGCAGTCGTCCTGCTTGTGAGTTTCGGCAGCCGAGAGCGGTTCAGGTGCTGTTTGTCATGGCGCAACAATGCACACGGTGCGTACAACAGGAAGAAATACCTCGTAACGGCCCTACGACCATGCTACGCCCGCTCAGTCAAGCTCGTGTATCGCGAAGCTGCGCTCGGACAGCTCGCCGTCGAGATCATGCTCCCGGCGACGGTGATGAGCTCCGCTCCCTTGCCCCGAGCCACCGGCTTTCGGATTATCGACAATCTGGTATTTGTGGTGTGGAGCTGTTACACCAGGAGTCCCCTTATTTGGGTTCCGTAGCGTCGGCTTCTTCCTCCTCACCCCCAGCACCTTAGGCATCAGGTGGGACCGCAGCTCAGGAACTTTGTCGCTGCGCGCCTCGAAGTCCCGAGAGAGAAGGTCGTCGTAGTAGCCGCGCTCCTCCAGTCCGTCTTGGAACTCACGCTCAACCATACAGGCATCCTCGGTCGCGCGACTGTAATTGTATGCTCAGCCATAAGATAAGTATAAATAGCGAGCCGCTCACATGGTGATTGGGTGAGCGAGCGCGGGAGCAGCTGCCGCCGCCAAAAGGACAGCAGAGGCGAGCGTAGAGTAACGCATGATGTCTTGAATGCACGGGGTTCGTTACGAAGAATTCCGGTGGAAGTAACGTGGGTCGTCAAAAAAGAGCGGGGCTGGAGAGGTGCAAGGCGTAAGTGCAACATTCAAACTACCATCGTCGCTGAGCACCTACTTGCCAGCAACCTACTCGGTGAGCCTGAAAGGAGAAGAGCAGCTAAGGGTGAGGGATACGGTAGGCATATCTCATCTTGTATACGCTGGTATGCACGGACTTATGATCCTAGTAGCAGCGATTCTAAGACCTTGCATCGCATCAGCTCGGAAATCTGTGCTTGATATATCATCGAGTTTCGATGATGGTGGTTCACAGTGCGGCGGCTTCTTGCGACGCAGCCAGCCTGGTACATTTTTGCACCATTCACTCGTCGAGTACAACTGGCCTGCTGCTGCATAGGGAGCCTGCAGAATGGCAGGTTCCACGATCAAATGACAACTGCTCTGACCACCGTAAGCACAAACCATCGGCGTTGTGGACTGAGAAACGACGTCACTGTGCACTCAGCTGCGATGCTCTTGGAGTAGCAGTGAGACATTTCATCCAAGGTGTTGGTAGCCGAGCCGATTATGATGGGCAATTGCACCGCAATTTCGCGCCGTGGGTGCGCCCCGCAGATGAGCCGTGCGGACTGTTGAGTGCCAATGCTGACCCGTGCACTACTTGAATGGCCCCAGTGCGACTCGGCCCTGGAGAGCTTGACGGCGAAAGGCTCTTGTTGCTAGCGTCTTCGGTGTTAAACTGGTGACGGACGTTCTTCAGCCGGATGTTGACGCCGAGCGTTCTATAGGTGCGTACGACTCGGTACGAGTCCGACGTACAAAGTCCACAGCACCTGTAAGTCAGTCTCGGTAGAGCGGTCGACGGGAAGAGGAAGACGTACCAATCTCAGCGCGTTGCGCAGATATTGTACGAGTTACGAAGGAGGGATGCAAGCAGTGTGGCACCATTGACTGACTACAGAAACCTTCGGGAATTACAGTGAAAGGTGTTTAGGAGAAATGGCCTGAACAGAGCGCCAAAGGGCCGCCGTGTGGTAGAGAGGATCAAGAGCGACCGACTCCGAGTCGGAAGCTAGACGACACAGCAAAGGGTGCGCAAAGATAGGAGCGGAGAGGAGGGTATGCAATTTCTTCGGGTGGGTAGCGGTGCGGGAACTTGGGTATTTATACGGGTCAGGTGGACGTTGGATGCGTAACGCAGGCGCGATGGCCGTTCTTCGCTGGGGTGTTTCTCGAGCGGGACAGTCGCCTCGCTTGTGGGTTTTGCCAGCCGAGAGCTATTCACGTCCTGTTTGTCATGGTTATTCGTGCCTGCAGCCTGACTGGACAGAGTACTCTCACGGCTCATGTACATAACCACCCCCACCGGGCCATGTAGTACCGCTACTGCTCGGGATGTTTGGCCTATATAACGACACTATATGCGCGAGCAACACTCAATGAACCATCAAATTCCCGAGCACGCATGACGGAGTCTTCATGTTACGGTTGACATCGCAAGTGGTACGCAATAAGGCGCACAGTGCGTACAATAGGCGGAAATACATCATAACAGCCCCACGACCATGCTACGCCCGCTCAGTCAAGCTCGTCTATCTCGAAGCCGCGCTCGAACAGCTCGTCGTCGAGATCATACTCCCGGCGACGGTGACGGGCTCCGCCCCCTTCCCGGGGCCGCCGTTGTGCTTCGAGCCACCGGCTTTCGGATTACCGACAATATGGTATACGTGGTGTGGATCTGTTGCGCCAGGAGTCCCCTGAAACTTATTTGGGTTCCGTGCCTCCGGTATCCTCTGCTTCACCTCCAGAGCCTTCGAGTGGCCCGGCGGCGGCTTAGGAACGTTGCCGCTGCGCGCCTCGAGGTCCCGAGAGCGGAGGGTGTCGTAGTAACCGCGTTCCATCAGTCCGTCATCGAGCTCACGCTCAACCATGGAAGCATCCTCGATCGCACGACTGTTATAATTGTATTCTCAGCCATGAGATCAGAATAAATAATAGGCCGCTCACATGGTGACCAGGTGGGCGAGCGCAGGAGCCGCCGCCAAACAGACAGCAGACGCGAGCGTAGAGTAACGCATGATATCTTGAATACGCTGGGGTCGTTACGAAGAAATCCGGTGGAAGGAACGTGAGTCGTCAAAAAAGAGCGAGGCTGGAGAGGTGCAAGTGGTAAGTACACATTCAAACCACCACCGTCGGTACCACTTACTTGCCGGCAACCTACTCGGTGAGCTCGAATGGAGAAGAAGAGCTGGGGGATACGGCAGGAATACTTCTCCTTTTATACGTTGGTGTGCACGGACTTGGGATCCCAGCAGCGATTATGAGATCCTGCGTCGCATCAGCCCGGGACATTTGTGCTTGATAGATCGTCGCATTTGGATGATGACGGTTCGCAATACGGAGGCTTCTTGTGACGCAGCCAGCCTGGTACATTTGCGTACCATTCAATCGTCGTCGAGTACGAGCCTGCTGCTGCAGAGGGAGGCAGAGTGGCAGGTTCCACGATCAAATGACAGCTGGATGACCACCGTAAGCACAAACCATCGGCGTTGTGGACTGAGAAACGACGTCACTCTGCACTCAGCTGCGGTGCTCTTGGATTCGTAATGAGACATTTCATCCAAGGTGTTGGTAGCCGAGCCAATTATGATGGGCAATTGCACCGCAATTTCGTTGATCTCTGGCGGTGCCAGTGTGGGATACTCCAGATCACCCCACCGTATCACGACGGTACATAGCGATGACACAAAGGCTTGATCCGTCGCTCGATGCAGTCTGGAGACGTCCCAAGGTCCGCGGTACATACCCCACTGAGCTAAGTAGTTGCAAGCCAGGTTCAATGTTGCTGATCCAGAAGAGAAAGGGGAACAGGCTCAACAATTGTCGTCCGCATCCGTATACGTCGAAGCGGTCTTGATATCATATGGTTAGTAAGTGACCAGTGGATAAGTACTGCTCCTGTAGTGAATGCACTGTCGCGATGTCTCAGGTCTTGAAGCTCTGCGAGAGGCTGATCACGTCCGACGCGCTGGATCCTGCTCCGATCGGACCGGACGCGACGCAGGCCCTCATCTCGTAACGCGTCTCCTGGACGCTGTGAAATCATCTCCGGACGTCAACAGGGCATATCTGATCCAGACGAGTGCGACGATACTTACCGGATGCGGTCACGTGCGGAACACTCCTTGACTGCGAACTTGAAGAGCTGAACGCTAAATTGCCACGAGGACGGGCCATAGTTCTGGCGCGTTCGTTCAACGTCCGTGGCTGAAGGACTCCACTGATGCGCGGCTCCGCGAGAGTAGCATCTACGAGCATCGGTACTGCGCATCTATGTCAGCGAGCCATGCACAGTAAGCGCGGGAACGACTGGCCAGTTGTACGCAGCGAAGCATTGACACCAGTCCAGCGACACCTCAGCGCGCCCGGGTCTGTGTGGACAGGTAAGTACAGTCACACGACTCATGCGCTCCACACAGGAGGTCTCGCCCGCGCGAGGCGCACCAGTCGAATGACCGCCCTGTCCACGAATGTACTACACCTGCGGCATCTGCGTCCCGGAAAGTGCGAATCACTGGCGATGAGGAGTTACAGGCGACCACCGAGTGTTCCCGCGCAAATACGTTGACGGTGATGTCGATATCCCCTCGTCCTTGAAGCGTCCCCGGACTAGCATAGTGGCGCTTCTCTTGGAGAAGGGCGGGCTCCATGGGCTAGGTGGCCAGTTCCTGGGCTTCCGCCGGACGCTGCTCGCCCCACTGCACCGAGTACACCTCCGCTGTTATCCACCTCGCCGTCAAGTCGATGGCGCACGTCGCCTTTTCGAGGTGGTTGTAGGTCCTGAGGGCGACTTCCCAGTCGTCGTCGTCGGATGACACGTAGGTGTTGCAGTGACTAAGGATCCTGTCCCATTGCTCCCGTGATGGCTAGGCAGTGACGGGGAGCTTTCAGGGTCCGGTTGACTGTACAACGTCAGCGCCGGTCCTCATGACCACGGAACTCAGCGGCCTCCACAGACTACATGTCCGTTTAGTTCGCGGACCACCGAGATGATAGGAAGACAATATGATACCCGGCGAAGCGCAGATGTGTGAGTAGGTTGCAAGCCACGATGTCGTCTTTGCTTTGATGCAAGAGGCGGCATACATGTTGATCCTTTTCCGAGATTGAAACAAGGTTCGGCGCGAATGCAGAAGTAATCAGGGATGTCGCAAGGATGAGCCACCCAGTTTAAGATGTTGTCGGCTGTTGGCAGGTATCAGCAGGCGAGAGGAGACATGGAAGATTGAACGACTCACGTTGCTCAAAGCAGACAGGCGGTCGGCCAATAGGTCTCCGGAGTAGCGTCGTGAGATGGCATGGTTTGAGAGGACACAACGAGCACCCATATAGATTTGGGTAATGGTCGTAGCTTCATCATCCAGCTGCGCATTTGCCTATTTCCGACGCGGTGGTGAGGAGGAATGGTATCGCGTGGAGATAACGCGAAGGTGACAAAGTATACGCAGGGTACTGCGCAGAGGGACGACAGAGCAAGGGAGACGACATGGCGGGTGGCTCAAGATCAGAGGAATGTTGTTCCGATGAGAGGAAACAGGCGGAGCACTGGGGGGGTATTTATACCCTGAAGTAGGCTGCAGAGAAGCGCAGGCGGACAAAGGGCAAAGGCGACGCAATAAAGGAGGTTCAAAAGCGCCAGAACAATCCATGACACGTACGAGGCAAGTACTGTCCGCGGCGAGCCTGGTCATGACGGGTCGCCGTCGGCTCCATGCATTGTGCTGAGACGCTAGAAATTCTTCAGCGGACTTATGTCGACGAGACCACTCACAGTCGACGAGACCACTCACAGTCGACGAGACCACTCACAGTCGACGAGACCACTCACAGTCGACGAGACCACTCACAGTCGACTAGATACCAACGGGAGGCTCGCTAACTGAGCGACGCGCATATCTTCAGGAATGAGGATTCTAGTGAGGATCGTATCACGGTCCACACCGATCTTAGTTGATTGCACGACGGGTTGCAGTCGGGATCTGGGTCATTGCCACAGCATATGCCGAGCTTTAATATGGCTGCGCGCTCTACTAGATGTCGCGCACAGAATAGCATTGCATAGACGTAGATGAGGGGTAGAACAGAAAGCGCGAGGTGAACAGAAGACAACATGTTGCACTCGTAAGTAGCTTGCGAGACTGAACAGATCGCTTTGAGATCGCTGCCCGATCTCAGCCACAGACGCGTCGGCGACCTCTCAACGCCGCCACCTCCTCTCCCATCCACCACCGACTCCTGCACCTGCAGCACGCCTCGCAACTCACGTGCCCATAACAGGAGGACTCTCCCACAGGGATCACGCAAGTCGGGAGGCCGCCATCGGACGCGAGTCGACGAGAGGGATGCAACTGGGAGCCAGTTGCGGTCGGAATCCTGGAATTGCGCGTCTTGTGCAATCGGCGGTGCGTACTTAATGACGTGTCCGTCTCGTCTCCGTCGCTTCGGGGCTGTGAGCACCTCTCTGCTGCCTCGTCGGGCGAGTGACGACCCTCCCGCACCTGTCTTGTTCGCAGCGGTAGCCGCCTTGGCTTGAGCCTTGAAGACTCTCCCTGTCCGCGCTGCGCAGAGGAAGGGTTAACGCTTGCGACGAAGGGAGTCAGCGTCGTACTGCTTACCGAGGTACTAGGAACGATGCCAATGCCCTCCTCCCGCAGGACCACCGTCGAGCCAGCCTCGCCATGCATGGTTGGCTCTGCAGTCTCCCTCCTCGAGTTTCATGTGCGAGGTCCATTGGTGGATGTTGGTACTGGATCGGCGACAGCTCTGACGAGTTATGTAGGTGACACAGCTGAAACGATCGTATGAATATGACGATGACCGAAGGCGGACCAGGTGGCAGACTCACATCCGCGTCGCGCAAGTAGCGCCACCACTGCGCTGCGGTATCATCAGAAACCCCTGTGTTCCATGATGAGGAAGATGCGTGTCATTGGCGGCGGATGCGGATAGCGCTCTGCGAGTTGGTTAGGAGGAATGGCAACATGCGGGACAAAATTCGGATGTTCGGGGAGTCCATGAAGGATGCGTTGTGGCATGGTGAGTATTGGGGTGGGAGTATGATCGAGCTATCCCGCGTAGCGCGTCCATATATATGCGCAGGGAGAGCCGGCCGGCGGTCCAGGGACAAGGATGCGTAGCAACGGAGGACAAAGACGATCGTGCTCAGGTACGCCACTTGTCAAAGCGTTCGCCACTCTTCGAACTCCCGTCTCCTCGTTTCAGCCAAAGCACAACCGTCTCAGCGGATCAACACCCACGTTAAGGCATTATGCCGATCCCGGACGGCTCTTCACCGCCCAATCACAGCTGGCACGGCTAGTCAAAGCGTCAGCGGTACTGCGTAGCCACGCTTAGTTCACTACTTTTGGCTCAGTATGCCACAGGAACACCCTGTCAACCACCGAGGGGCCGATCGACGCATGAGCTGTGGCGCATCGAGATCGCCCTCCAACAAAAGACGACAAAGCCACCTTCGTTGCGTAGGCAAGCTTGCTCGATCCCAGGAACAACACCCTGGGGCCACGCGGTCGAGGTATAAATACCCCCACGTCCTCAGTGGGATCCTCATCCGACGCCCTCCGACTCGATGCATCACTTGAGACTACGACCACCGCCCCGCTCCACAGCGTCGTTACCATTCCTCCTTAACCAGCCCACAGACACCGGCTGATCGAACGGGCCCGCGGGCCAGCAGCGCCAGGTGACAGCTCGTCCAGCACCCCACACTCGTACGGCATCTCCTCATCGTCGTCATCCCCTTCCTGAACCTAACGTCTCCTCTCCTGCAGCTCGGTGCGGCGGCGCGATCCGCTGTAGAGGGTGCCATAGTACCGCCGTGCGCGGTGGCGCAGAGCATACCGAGGATTCTTCCATCGGACAACCGGGAGCTCGCACCCACGACATCAGCCGCGTTCGACATAGCAGCGACCTACCACTCCGGTCACGAACCGATCCCCAACGGGCCCATGGTCGGGCGGGCGGCTGCGCTGGGAGTTCGCTGGACATCCCCCACGACAGCGGGGGTGGCTCGAAGGATGCGGTCTGCGCGCTCGAGCTCAGGGATGAACCCTTCTGCCTCGTACACTCACACGGCGGCACCCCTTTGATGCGGACGCATTGATAGACTCCGAGACCGTGCTCATGGTGAGTTTCGCTGCATCCACTTCCACGCACTACTAGTGGTCGCTGACGGAGCGACGCAGCTCTTCGGGTGCTCGTGAAGGAGGATCACGAGGATGAACCCCCTTCGATGGCCTGCGTACGAGGGAACGGCCCGCCGACGTCATGTACCCTAAGTCGCATGGGCTCATGGAGACGCGGGGGAACGTGCTCAGTGGCAAACGAGACCCCCCATGCCGACGAGGACATACGCGAGGGGCGTGTCCGACATCTACGCGGCGAGTGGAAGTAGCGAAACTTCGTTCGCGGCCACATCCGAGGCGCCCGAGCAACCTGCAGACACGTATTCCGTAGTCTCAAACAAACCCGTTCAACGCGACGAGAACGAGACTCGTCATGGACGTAACAAGAAGCGCATCGAGTGTTCGACACGACGGAACGGTCGCCTGGGACCGACCCGCTGGTACACATAGGAACATACGGCCTCCCTCCGCTGGGGTGCCTCTGGGGCGGGACAGTCGTCTTGCTTTGGGCCACCGCCAGCCGAGAGCGGCCCGGAACTGAATCTGACTGACTCCGACGATGAACTTGCCGCGAAACGACAGTCTAGGGGTGATGTAAACTTATGGTGGCTCTGCTGACACGTCTCTCTGTCGGAGTTGTGTGCTCCTCGCAGGAAGAAACGGATCGGTAGTGTTGGAGTACATTGCGGACGCCCACTTAAGCCGTATGTCTCACCACACAGCGAGTATCTAACAGAAGATGTCGATGTGAAGAGCCGTATGGACCATGGCTACGACTCGGAGCAAAACATGTATGCGAGATCGGACACCTTCAGCGTAGCCACATGCACAGACACATCACGGCCCGCTCGTCACTGATCCATAGATTTATTGCATGAAAATTGACATCAAATTCTGCTTTGCCTGACGCTTCCTCCCGCCTTACATGATGTGGATCGCGCAAGCCTTGCATAACGCAAGCCTGAGGCCCGAGCTGGTTCAACGGATGGTCAGCCACTGCCGAGGTGACCAAGTAGCGCCGCAGAGGTGAGCCCAGACTCGATTGCGACTCTGTGATGTCGACGCTGTCGGCAAGCCCAGCGAGAGCAAAGGCAGACGCAAGAGAACAGAAGACACGCGGTCCTGCGACGCGTCTGTGGCTGAGCAGATCGTTGCCCGATTCAATGGTGACTCACCCTCAATCCGTCATCTTCCCCACGTCCACCTCAACGCCCTTCAGACCAACCAAAGCCTTGTCATTGCATCGACAAGCAGGTACGTGTGTTAACGCATGCGCCTTCTAGTAATCGCTGACTTCTACGCACCCTTGTGGGTCTCGTCAGGCTACACGTCGCCGGCTCCTGCGAGTCCGTCGCGTCGTCGTCGTCGTTCCGAGTCCACTGGCCTCAGGGAGCCTCGCTAAAGGTTCGGGAAGCATTACCACGGTCTGTGTGCTCCTGTAAAGCCTTCTTCCAACGCTTTATGTTTCCGCCACTCTTAGGCCAGCATTCGGTTATGAGCTAAAGCCTCTGTGCAAGTGGCGTCGCGGTACCTGGCGGCCATACCGGGCGGTATGTGGTGATTGTGGCTTCCATTCCCAACCGGGAAGCATACTTGGGGTGGCCCCATGCTACGCAATTCTCTTTCATTCTGGGCCACTCGAGCGCATCTTCCAGATTTGGGAGACAAACGGCACGAGAACCATGACGCTTTGACTTATGACGGGTGTGCCGAAACAAAGCGTCTCTGTCCGCTGGTCCTGGTTGCGATGCCACACGCTTTGACCCCTATGGCCTGTCTCCTGAATGGCGTTCTGCCCACGTATAAATACGCCCCGCTGTTCGACGAACAACCATAACTCCAGCCATGCGACCACTACCTGCACTCCTCCCCGGCAATGGCGACGCTACGCTACACTCTTCGCGGACGCAGCCTCATCTCTCGTCGCTACCATTCCTCCTAACCAGCCTACACCAGCCAGAAGGCTAGCTGCAGGAGCGCACGACCGACAGGTGGCTCCGAAGCCATCCGAAACAAGAATGCGCTCCGTCGGCGAACCCTAGACCTTAGTGAGCATTCAACTCACGGCGGCTGCGACACGCATGTTGATGCTGACGATGGCTGGTAGCCAGGCCACAAGCACAAGCGGTCAAGGATCAGCTGGACGCCTGTCGCTGCCATACTGATGCAGAATGGCCAGACCCCGTAGCCCGTCTGTCCGTTGAACAAGAACGACACAGCACCCCCGCAGCGGCGCGTTCACCTTCCCTGCACTTGCAAGAAGACACTGGTACGGACGCTCGACGGGGTAAGATGGGAGCTACTCCATGGTGTGACCACATGCCTTCCGCGGGACCATAGGTGCTTGCGAACGATCATGCCGGGAAGCAGCCAACGTACGCTTTACCACTGACAGCGTCACGGAGAGAGACATTGATCGTTCAGCATAGGCCCTGCCAAGGCTGTGGCCCGTTCGCTCGCTCGTACTAGTGGCTGCCTACTCGAGCTAGCCTCCCTAGGAACGAAGCGACTCCGCTTCTACAACAGGGCAACCTCCGTGGGGTGAAGAGCCTGCGGCTTCTGTTCCAAGCGTCCGTTGGACTGGCTTGTACTCGGTGCTCCAGCGGGTCATCGAATCGGGCGAGCCACTCTTAGACTCGTCCACATCCTCCAAGAAGGCCAACCGACCTCAGAAGGCGATCGGCGTGCTGGCCGACGTGTGGTAGGCTTCGACCACCTTTCCCCGACATATACATCGCTAATTGATGATGGGGTCCGTTTTGTGCAGACTGGATGGTCGCTCTTGCGCCCATGCTGAATTGGTCGCGCATGAGCATGCGGGTGTGGACGTCCAAATTGTGCGGTCTGCGCGGGAGAGTCCTCTCGCGGGAGCGTACGGATTGCACGACTGCACTCAGTCAAGCACCCCTCGTACACGCGCTCAGATAGATAGCGAGCACGGTGTACAGATATAAATCAAGTGTCTTGCATTTAGCAGCCTATTTCAATCCGAGATTACGGGTACAACATAAGTAAAAGACAAGCAATGACAGCAACGTGTAAGGAGAGAGCCATACAGATATGCATACAAACTCGACAACCACTCTTTCGTAACCGAACACAGCCCGTGCCAAACCGGAAATAATGATGCTATACTTGTCGAAGGCCCCGACGACTGGCCGTACATGTATTTCTATACATGTACTGCCAGTCGTCGGGGCCTTCGACAAGTATAACCATATGAGTATAACAGCCTCTGACTTCAAACACGAATGAATACAATAGATGCCTTGAAGACATCGCGGCCCGGGCAACGACTTACTCTATGTTTCCAAGTGCGGCGCACACATTGTGAGTAGGGATGGTATCGGCCTCGACACCATCCGTATTCACAGCGTGTGCGGCCGAAACGAAGGTGTAGGGCGCAATGACGGGACTTCCGGCACTTGATCACGTAGGATTGTAGGTTGATGGGCGTCGTCGCTTTGCTCGTCCTGCGAAACGGCGGTCCTCTTGTACTCGACAAGGTCCGGTGTAGTGTCGTAAGCGCGTCTTCTGGAGCTGCCTGAGGAACCCACGAGGCTGAGTCTCGGCGCACTCCAGCGCTGTAATTCGCCCTCGTGTAGATATCCACACGTAAGCATGCGGCAGTAAGATGTCCACGGAAGGGTTCGAGGGGAGTTACTCACCGGCTGTAGCCATCCTTTTGGGCGCGGCATGCGAAGAGACCGAATGGGAATAGGAAGGAGACGAACATTATAGGCATACGGACCTCAGCGTTTCCGAGAGTGTTCATGGCCTGCATACCAGAACAGCTCAGCTAGAATGCGCGATCCGCTTCTAAGTCCACCTACCAACGAGTGTGATCACGGTCGAGGGTTAAGGCAGCTGATTTGCTTCGCGTGGCCATCGATAACCTTCGCGACGGCTTCACAGCGAGGCGAGGCCGAGGTTCCTCATCTTGCGGATGCAGGCGACCGTTGAGTTCGACCATTTCCTCGACCTGATGGTGGTCATCGATCTGAACTTTCCGGTCGAGCTTGGCGAGCTGTTCGAGGAGGCCGGCTAGGAGGAGAAGGATGGACTGAATGGGCATTCGATGTCAGTAATTCGTTCGGGTATGCCGACAGGCACTCGTCGGTTGCAGATAATCATTGGAGGAAGCGTGCTGTACAAAGACCTAAGGCAGGGTTATTCTTAAGGGAAACGTCCTATCGAACACCATGCCTAACACGCACCGAGCGGTACCCGCAGCTGACCAGTGCATGTTCAGGGTTGGGGTATGCCTGACCACCTCTGCGTGGCGATGGCTCTCAGATAGGCTCAGATGCGTCGGTTGCATATATGGGCCGCGCACGGACCTAGACCACAAGAGAGAGAAGTAGAACAATTGAGCGCGAATGCTTGCCGGCGGGCCTGTGCATCATGCCCAACAAGTCAGCGGCATTACTTTGACGGCGAGAGAGCGGCGATTTGAGCGACGGGACAGGGGAAAGGTGGCGAGAGAGGGCAGCAAGGCGCACCACCATCCTATTGCTCGTCGTGTCGCCAGGTGCAGAAAGCAATGAGGCATCCTCTGTCCATCGAGAATATCTCCTCGCCCCTTCGATTCATTCCTCTCGCCTTTCCTCCTCTCCTTGTCACCCTCTCGGTGGCTGTCTGTGGCCGTCGAGGGCAGTCCTGTCATACCGCATCGCGCGTTGTACAAGCAGGCATGCTTTCATGTCGCTGGTGGTAGTGTAGGAGAGTAGACGACGAGCGGGAGGTGGCTGGTGTGACGGAGGTGCAACCGCGAGTCGGAGACGGTTTCCACATGGCGTCCCGATAGGGAAGGCGGGTTTGCGGATGATCTCAAGCTTTCAGCTTTACGATGGAAGTCAGCCCTCTGACCCACTCACCGCATCTTCGGTTGTGTCGTACTCGGAACGCAATGGGGCGACGAGAAGAGAAAGTTCGTTTGCCTTTCAAGTCCATTTTCCCCCTGACTCTACTCTAAGCCACTTCGCGGCGCTCGACCTTGCAAAAAAGGATTGAGGGGAATCTCGGTAGTAGATACATGTATCATGATGGTCGATTGTAGTAGTAGAGTCCACTAGGTGTGCTATAAGTGACGGACTGAGCTAAGCTATTCGAAAGCGGGATGATACAATACGATCTAGATCTGTTCCGAAAGTTCTTACTACGTTCGACGGCTTCGACCGAGACCCATTCCGACACGAACGAGAGTCTCTAGGCACGCCCGGCTATTGATGATGAGGTCCTCGTCCCATTTCACAGCACCCTTCTCGAACAGGACCACGAGTGTGGAACCACCTAATGTTGACAGGCAGTCAGTACCCACATGCGACAGTCAGTTGAACATGCATACCGAAGGCGAAGTAGCCAAGCTCTTGGCCCCGCTTCACCTGCTGTCCTTCGGCGACAGTCGTCTTGATGCTTCCCACCATCATCGCACCAATGCATACGGCCATGACACGGCCAACTGCGGGCTGTCGATGGGTACTATCTTGCGCGCGTTTTCGCCGTACACGTCCAGCGCGTACGAATCGCTTGCGGCTTTTGCATATGCTCTCAGATCCATTCCAACAAGGGCATCGAGGACCATGGACTCACGTTCACAGTGTAATACTCGCCCGATATGTATGACATCGGACCCACGGTACCGTCCACGGGCGAGTGGAATCGATGGTAGTCTTGCGGCGCGAGCCGGAAGATACACAACGCGCCGCCGACATACCTCTCTGCCTCGGCGGTATTGCTCACCCAGCAACCGTGCGACGGTGAATTCCGTCCCTTGATCCATAGCCGAGTCGCCTCGGCCACCGTCTCGAACACCATGAGACGACAGTCGGCGCCTGAGACGAGACGAGACGAATTATCGGGCTCTTCGATAGGCCGCGCGGTGGGCTTCAGTTTGCTGTTCGGCAGGACTATGGTCAGCGGGATCAGAGCCAGACAGACGATATCTTACCGGTAGAAGAACTGGTTGAATGTCTCTGCACACACGTGTATAGAGACAAGTCAGAAGATTGGCACACATACGAATAGAATGACAAAAGACATACTAAAGGAGTCCAGCGGATCGAGTATCTCATTGACGTTCAAATTATGGAAGGCGATGAACGTAGGGATATCTCGCGCCGACTCAGGAGAGTCATACTTCAACCCCTGCTTGAGCGACATCGACTTCAAAAGCCGCCGCGCTGTACGAGAGTTCTATCTCAGTCACATCGTTAGGAGTGTAAAGGGTATTCGCACCTCGTGCACCCTCCATACGACTCTTCCAGCCCTACATGTCCTGATATTGGTGACAAGACATTGCATGCAGCAAAGCAACACACCTTATACAAGAGACGGATACCGAGCCGTACGTAGACCTGCATCTTCTCCTCTTCGAGTTGTCCAGTCAGCCGATTCTGCACGATAATATTCGCCGAGTTCTGTGCACCCGGAACCATCGAATTAGTCGAGGCTTGGCGAGAAGAACAACCCGTCTCACCGCCCCAAGCTTGTAGTTCCCGCTGGAGACCTTAGAGATCACCTTGGTGTACCACTTGCGCTGCGCCTGGCTCGCGGTCACGAAGTTGCCGACCATGATCCTGTCGACGGTACTCCAGTCTTGACTCGCGCACGTCGCGATGTGCGTGACGATGTCCACCTCCGCCTTCGAGTTCAGCCTTGGCCGATGGCACAGCGGGCACGCCTTGATGTTAATGACACGTTCGTGCAGGTCCTCACCCGCTTTGCCCGACGAGACGTCCGAACCGGACGGTGACGACCCGCCGCTGGGCGACGAGGATTCCTCGGGGTCTGAGTACGAGCCCTGTCGCGCGAACGTCACGCGCTGCGCCTGGACGGACGAGTCTGACCTCGAGCTCGGGAGGGAGGCAGCCGCCGACAGGGACTGTTGCATCGGCTCGGTGGTGTACGTTGGAGGTGCTGCCGGCTTCTGCACCAAGTCCGGGTCCGAGCTCCCTTCCTTCGGCATGCCCAGCCGATTGAACGGCGGACCTGAGAAGTCGAGTTTGTCGAGGTTCAGAGTGAGCTGGTGCTCGAATCCGCCGCTGGTGGCAGCGGGCGTGACGGGTGCACTCGTGTCGAACGCAGTCTCTTCCGGGTCGATGAGCTTTTTCTCGGAGCGCGGCCGACAAAGCTCCGTCTCAAGACACTGGATGGCCTCGTCGATGGTCAGTGTATCTTCACGGGGTCGTTTGTTGAAACGGGTAAAGAACGAGTCTACGGTATCCTTCGAAAGAGTGGACCCAAGCGAGTCGAGCATCGAGGACACTTCGATGTGAGAGATCGTGCCGGTGTCGTCCGTGTCGTACTGCTTCAAGTACTGCCGCCAGAAGCGCTGCCGGAGCGCGTCGTACGGCTGGTACTTGGCGCGGATCGTCAGAATGGGCTTGTGCCGCGCTTCCCATGGCATCTCCTTTGCCGTCGACAGCGGGAGTTTGAACTCTTGCATGGCGTGGCTGCCGTCGACGTCTTCAGGGTACAGACCGGTCGCCTCGTCCTTCTGCGGGGCGTTCGCGAGCAGTTCCGACACGTTGAAGCTCGCGTCGCCGACGTGGTCGTTAGAAGAGAGCTTGTCCCAATCGAGGACTGTCAGCTGAACCTTGAACGCGGTTTCGTATCGCCGGACGTGGAAGAGCAGCTTCTCGTCCCAGGTCGGGTTGAGCGAGTGTCGAATCACGCGTGTGCGAAAGACCTTCTTCCCGAAGGAGATCACGACGAAAGGATCCATGTCCCATCCCGTGCGCGTCACTGCAAGTGGCTCATACATTCAACGTGGTTCACTACATAGCATGAAGCTCACTCACTGTTCTTCAATCGCGGAAGGTCCGCCGCCCTCTGAATCTCAAGCATGACGATACCGATGATGTCGTTCGCAGCCGAGAAGTTGAAGTCCGTCTTCTTGTTGCCAATCCCGCCCCAGCTCTTCCGGAACTTGGCACGCGACGCCATGCCAGGGCGCGGAGAGGCAGGCGTGGGCGTCCCCAAGCCGGAGCTAGGACCAGGGCTCGAAACGGCGGGAGACTGCGGCGGTGACGGGCGGGATGGGCTCGCGCTGGGCGTTGTTGGCGACTCAAGCTGTGGCTTGGCAGAGTTGGACCGCCGGGGAAATATCCTCGGGATGTTCTTGAAGGACGGCGTGCTCGGACGTGCTGGCCTAGGCGTCTTCACGCTTGATGGCGTTAATGGCCCTGTCGCGGTGGGCGTCGTGGGCGTCTCCAGGGTGGGCGAAGGAGGAAGCGTGAGCGTGAGGCCGGGTGGAGGTGGCGGGACATAGAGGTGCGCGAGCGGCGGGGTGTACGGTTGCGTGACATCTTCGTCCTCCTCGTCACTGCTCTCCCCCTCGTCAGAGGTGAGGCCGTCATCTTGGTATTCCGGGCCAATCTGGTTCGAGCGGATGGTACCGATACCCTCCGTCTGTGCACGGTGTCAGTGTCGCACGCAACATCATACGTCTTGCGACATACCGGAGGAGCAGATACAAGGCTTGGTCTTGACCGCTTAACAAGCTCTGAGAAGATGTCGCTGTAGTCTTGCGCACCACCACGATCGGTTGGTGATACGAAACCGAGCTTGAACTGAATGGTACCGGCGGCAGCCACAGATGTTCGCGTTGACACGACCGGAGCGGATATTGGCTGCAGAGGCGACGCATTGAGCTCACTGAGAATAGACGGACTTCTGCCAAAAGTGGAAACTGAACGTTGTGTAGTTCGCGTTATATCCGCGCACTGCCACTCGTGTGCAAGCGCATGTCAAACAAACTCGTAACGGGCTCGTCCATTCTGCAAACGTGGTCGCACGCCTCTAACAGACTGGATCGTCCCGCACGCTGGGCGACATAGCAGCGGTGTGTGCACGGTAGGTACATACCCTCAAGTCCTGCTGTTCGCCGGTCGAGCTCGGTCAGGTATAGATTGAACGTGCGTTCAGCGCGCAGGGCAGACCCTCCCCAGCTCATTGCATCTCAGCATATCGACGGAATGCTCAATGGATGTGCCAGCCATCCAGACCCCTCAAAAGGCAAGATCGACCCATACCTTGTTGTCCGGATCCTCGAACGCAAACGCATTCCCGTCCCTAAACCAGTCCTCGAGCGGGATGTTCGCCTCCCCGAGGTACTCCTTGCGGAGCATCATGTCCTTGTCCCACACGACAAACTCGACGACGCCGAGCCTGTCCGCGAGCGAGAGGTAGATCGGGAAGTCGAACGTCGCATCGGCGGGCGCGTACACGGGGTTGATCGTCTTCTTCACGACGGACGTGTGGTGCCTGTCCCTCAGGAGCGACACGACGACGAACCTGGCCAGCGGGAACAGCAGCGAGTCAGCACGATACACCGAGCAGGCGAGACGGACACGAGTCGCGTGCAGCCACGCTGCGGGGAGGAAGCTGCACACTCACGGGTCACTGAGGCCGCTCTTGTCCTTTGCAACGAGATCTCTGCATCCGAGGACCTGCAAACGGAGGAGGGCGACGGGGAGCTCGCCGGCGACTGGGGAGAAGGTGTTCCTGCCACTGCCCCTGCCGCCGGAGACACGCGCGGGCAGACGAGCAGCGGTCTTGAGCGCACGGCCGATCTTGAGGGTGCGCTTCTTGGGTACGGTGACCATCGAACAGAACGGTGACGAGTGAGAAGGAAAGGAGAGGGAGGGTTGGGACAGACGTGCGCTGGCCGGGCGGTGTCCAGCTCGACGTTGGCGGGTGGCTATAATGAACACTTGCCTTTTCGGGCAACCGACGTCCACCATTGCCGCCGACGCCTCCCGGCTGTGGCGGTCCCCGTTCCGCCAAGCCCGTCCTCGAGCAAAACACATCCTTCGCCGCATTTTCTTTTATTTATCACGAACGACGAAAACATGGTATGATTAATGCAGGGTATGCAGCTCGCAACAGCACTGCAGCACAGAAATGAGTAGTAGTCCATTTCTACTGTCCGACAACATTACGGATGCGCGCAGGCAAGGTGTACCGTACTCTCGACCCATCGTTAACACAGCCGGTGCGAAGAAAAGAGTTCAAAGTAGTTAGTGATGGTGGTGGGGGTGAGCAGGTATAACGAAGCCCATCTTCCGTAAAGTACTGGCGACGCGATCGTGGTTCGTGACAAGCTACATCAAGGACAGACCAACGTCATATTCATGCAAGGAACGCAACGGCCGCAGCGACGCCCAGCACGGTCGCGAAGCCGGAGACGATGACGTGGCTCCCGCTCGAAGCGTCGCCGCTCGAGCCAGTCGCGGACGCACCAGCAGATGAACCGGCACGGCTGCCGCTCGAACCCGTCGCGCTCGCACCAGCAGCGGCGCCAGACCCAGACGCGGTCGGCTTTACGCCCGCGCTGTACAGGTCTGTCGACGCGAAGGTGCGGCAGTTGGACGACGCGGGCACCGTCGGCGTGTAAGGGACGGTCCAGGTGCCGGACCACGGCTGGGTCCAGGTGGTCGTCACGCCGTTGGAGACGTACTGACCGATGGGGGTCATCGAGTCTCCGTCGCAGACCTCGAAGACGTCCTTCTGCGCGGCGTTCGGGCAGTTGTAGTTGATGCCGACCTCGTCGTAGACATTGTTGCACAGACCGACGTTCGTGGGGGAAGTCTTGGCGGGGTCACAGATCATGAGGCAAAACTGGTTGCCACCAATGAACTGCTTCCACTCGACGACCTGGCTGAGCGTCTTGTTGTCGGTGTTGCTGGAGGGGTACTGGTTCGAGTAGACCATGCCACCCATAGGGTTGCCCATCTGCACGCCGCGTCAGCAGACTTCATAAACCCCATTCGATAGGTTTCACACCTCATCGGCACCATGCGGGTCGAGCTCTCCTCCGTAGTCGCTGGCGGCAAGGTTGACCTGGGTCTGGTCGAGGAAACCGACGATCATGACATAGTCGGGGGTGGTGATGTGCTGGAGACCTTTGAGGGTGCCGTCGGGCATGATACGAGTACCATGGCCCTTCTTGGCGCACCAGGACACCTCGTACGCCTCAGATTCACCAATGGTGTCGTTGGTCTTCGGAGAGGACCAGATACAGAAGTCTGCGAGGACAGTATCAAAAGGCTGGTGACGTAGAATAAGGCGCAACAAACGGACCATCAATGGTGTTAACGACGAGCGTCTGACACATGGAGTCCTGGGTCTCGGTCGTGGAGTTGCACTTGTTGTAGCCGACCTGGTTACCACGCTCGCCCCCGTAGGGCTCGACTTGGTAGGGCTGTCGACGCGTCAGTTCCCGCGACTAGCCCAGACGGCCAAGGACTCACGAGATCGGCGTAGGCATAACTCTGCGCTGCGAGAGGAGCGACCGAAGTCGAGCTCTGGGCGTTAGCACCAGAGAAAGCCGCGGCTGCGGCGAGGAGGGCAGAAAGAGTGACGGTGGTGGCAGACATTTCCTGACTAGGCGACTGGGTAATAGGTAGGGGAGAAGGGAAAAGAGACGCAGGCCCGCGAGGGAGAGGGATACGGACGAGAAGGATGAGCTGTACGTACCCTCGCCGCTCCCTCATATACCCTCCATGTGATCTTTTCGCACTCCGCCCGCCGCCCGCCGACCACTCTTGGCGGGCACCCGCCCACCGTGATTGGCTGTCGCGCCGCGTCTGGACCTGACGGGCTTGGCGAGACCATTTGCCCCCAGCCTTACCCGGTCGTGATGGTCTTCGTGCCGTGTCACAGCGTGCATACGGTGCACGTTCATACTTATTCGTACTTACACACAGCAGTAATACAGCGGCACACAAAACACAGCGAGGTGGACAACAGCAAGAATCAGAGCAGCGAGACACGCACATGGCGAGCGGTGAAGTGGAGTCGAAGCCGCACGCCCTACCTTCGCCGCTTGCCTAGCACGCCGTTTCCGCCTGCACTCGCGCAGAGCGGGCCATGCTCGAGGGCCGCATGCTCGCCGGTGTCGAGCTCGATGCCCAAGTCGTCCGCGAGCTCGGACGCCTCCTGGGGCGGGAGGGGGTCCGTCGCGAGCTGCCAGAACCTGTGTCGACCCAAAAATAGCACGCGTCAGTTCGGATCGCACGAATCTTCTGATGCTCCCCGGAACCGAACGAGATCTCCCGCCACCGGCTGATCGAAGGTGTCGCAGTGACGACAAGGGACACATCCCACAGGCGCGCGCGTGTGTACGTACGTTGTGAAGATCTTCTTCCGCCGCACCCACTCTCCTCGCCACTGCGTCCAGTCTGCGTCCAGCTGCGCGAGTTCCGTCGCAGACACCAGCAGTGTGCCAGACCGCAGCGGTGCGAGGCGCTTTCGAGCTTTGTCGGTCTACATATAGCGTGTTGTCAGTGGAGAAGAGAAAGAAGGGGAAGGGAGCCGTGGGTGGTGCGGAAACATGAACGTGGGAAGACGGTGCAGGCATGCGTCTAAGGCTTACCGCGGAAATGGCCTCCTCAAGGGAGACAGCCAACTCTGCGTCAGTGGGCGTGGCTCTCAACTTCGCTACCTCTGCGTTGGGTGCGCATGGTATGACGTCGTGTCAGTATTCATACAAGACGAGCAGGGTCGTCTTACCAGTCGAGAGCGCGCGGACTTCGGCAGCAAGGAACTTGTTCTCTTCTTCGATGTCCTTGTGGTCTTTCTCTAGGCCTGCGAGCTTCTCCGTGGATACCTCCTCCAGCTTGTCCTGGTTCGCGACGAAGAACGTCGTTTTTCCTATCAATGCACATGTCAGTTCTCGGCTCGTGCGCATACATGACGCATACATGGCCGCTACACGCGCATATACGCGCGGAAACGACACATGTCTAATCCACCCACCCTCGCGCACCGACGTGGACGCATATATGCGTCTCAAATCCTAACAATTAAGGTCTTCACCACTCACCGTACGTCTTCTGCACGAGCTCACCCTTCTCCGCAAGGGCGACAAGGATCTTCTGCGTCGCCGTCTTCGGTACGGCGCCCTTCAAGTTCGCAGAGACGTCGACCGCCCCGAAGGGTCGGTTCATCTGCGTACGTCCCACACCTTGTATGCATGTCAGCAGACGACGCAGCACGTCCACTCACCCGTCTGATGTATTCGAGTATCTTGTCCTCGGCTGTGTGTGGTACGGTGAGGCCGGGGCGCATGCACGCAGCGACGCGGGGGACGCACCCTCTTGGCCCTTGAGGACGGGTACCTTTGCTTCCGCTGCCTTTGGTTTGGAGGCCATGATCTTGTTATGCGTGGTATATCGCGAGTGGCAGTCGGTTGAGAGAGGTCGGGAGAGAGAGCGAGAGCGGGCCAGTGGCGACGCGCGGGTTACGTGATGGGGTGGCACGTGAACGCGACCTGCCCAATCGGGCGAGTCCGAACGCCGAGCGAAAGACGAAGTCGCTGAACCCCGTGGGGCTCACCAGGGGCTTACTCTACCAAGGCTCTACTCTACTGACCGCCCTCCGAGCCTCTCAACACCGCTCTATCTACGTACTACTCTACGCTACAGCTCGCAGCCGCAAACGAGAACGCGACACCCACGTCGCATGAACTAGGTCGTGCTCGGATGAGTTCAGCTGGTGCGCGTGCGCCCGACACACAACAACCCAGCCAGAACAAGCAGAGCCTGCACTACATCGTACGCTCCGGCATTGCGGGCGGGACGGCTGGCTGTGTCGTGCGTCTGTCTGCCCTCCTACGCCGTTCTCGTCCTCACATGCTCGCAGGCGAAGACAGTAGTCGCACCGCTCGACCGAGTGAAGATCCTCTTCCAAGCCTCGAACCCCGAGTTTCAAAAATATGCTGGTGGGCACCCTCCTAAATACCGTGACCTTTCGAATTAACGGACGGCTTCGCGCAGGGACATGGAGCGGTGCCTTCCGCGCCGCGTCGCAGATCTACGCGGACAACGGTGTCCGCGGCCTGCTGCAGGGGCACTCTGCGACCCTACTCCGCATATTTCCGTACGCAGCCATCAAGTTCATCGCCTATGACCAGGTCGAGCATGTGCGTCGTGCTCAGCCTTCTCCTCATACCGGCATGCTCACCTGAGCTGCGCAGATCCTGATGCCTACACGAGAATCACAGACGAATGGACGGCGCTTCGCTGCAGGCGCGATCTCCGGTGCGTACTCGTTCCCTCACGCGACCACACGCCGTATGAAACCCCTGCCCACCCCCGCCAGGGATGATCTCCGTATTCTTCACCTACCCCCTCGAGCTCATCCGCGTCCGGATGGCCTTCAGCACACGCGCGCAATCCACCCAAGTACCCCACACCTTCCACCCCTCACACTCCCCTCCCCCGCACCGCCCGTCCTTCCTCGCCGCCATGTCCCAAATCTACCACGAAGGCGCGAGCGTCCCCCCGCCGTCCGCCTCGTCCGCGTCCCCCCTCGCGCCCGTCTCCGCGAACAGCATCTTCGCCCGCCTGCCCGCCGTCAAGTTCTACCGCGGGTTCACCGTCACGCTCGTCGGGATCATCCCGTACGCCGGCACGTCCTTCCTCACCTGGGGCTTCCTCAGGTCCTCACTCGTCCCCCCGCCCGACGCGTCCCGCCCTGCGTCGGATCGCCGGCCGAGCCCGCTCGCGGACCTGACGTTCGGCGCGGTGGCGGGCGCGGTGTCGCAGACGGTGTCGTACCCGTTCGAGGTGGTGCGGCGGCGGATGCAGGTCGGGGGGCTGACGCACCCGGAGCGGTGGATGCGGTGGGGTGAGACGGTGCGGAGCATCTGGGCGACGCGCGGCTGGAAGGGGTTCTACGTCGGCCTGAGCATCGGGTACTTGAAGATCGTGCCGATGACGGCGGTGAGCTTTACGGTGTGGCAGTGGGGGAAGCGCGTGCTGGGCGTGTAGGGCGAGAGGAGGCACATTGTATTGTTATGCTGCATACTGGCATCTGTGTTTGGAATGGGCTTGCATACAAGCCATCCACTTCGCCATCGAGCGTCAGTACTCTCATGACTTCAGCAGCCTGAGGCATCTGTTGGGCGTCAATCTGCTCTGCCTGCGCCGGCCAGCGACCCGCCTCTGACTTTGCACTCACTGTGTCTAAACATCCATAGGTGGTCTGCACAGCTACTCGACATGTCTTACGAATATCTTGGGAACATGCTCATTGACAACGTCGTTACGGCAGACCTGAGATCCGTTGGCCGTTAGCCCAGTTCATCCTCGCAGGGCCCCTTTCAGCGACACGACAACTCGGTGATACATATGCTTGGGACGCTCGCACAACATCACCCAAATTGGGGACCTGACGGGTGCGTGGAACCAGCGCCGGGCGCGCCGAGCAGTGGGAGCGATGGGTTGTACTGCAGCTGCTGAGGACTTTGATGAGGCTGTCCTCGTTCATCTCACTAGGCTCGTCAGCAAGTACGACACTGCGTTTTTGATGATAAATGCATCCGCTTCCAGCTGTATATGTCTGACAACACGCGACGATTTATAATTCACCCAGGTGAGCATCCGTAGCGACTGGGCCGGACGTGTCAACGCAATGTGAGCGTCGTTCGTATCCTCCAATCACTCTCGCTATGGCGTGCAGGAGCACGTTCTACTATGTCAGGTCTAAAGGTACGTGCCATCTCTGCAGCCTACGACAATGTTTCCCATTTGCTCACTACGAGTGCTTGGGCCCCACGACCGTCATTCAGTAACGTCTGCCACGTCTGCCAAGGTGCTATCACCCCAAGCCAGCCTGGAAAGCTACGGATCCGAGGAAGAGGAGGACGAGCGTCGTGGCTCATCCCATTGTCGAGGAGCCGACCACCCTGCAGCCCGAACCGCTATCGTCTGACCCCTCGGGCGTTTGCATGGCCATCCGACCATGCTCGAATTTGACGTCCGCCCCCTTCGCAATTCACCGTCTCCTACGTCCGCCCTCCGATTACCCGCTACGTCTAAGACATGAGCTTCGCTACACACGCGTAGCAAGGCCCCTACCACGACAGTCGTTTGTTCCGCCACGCCAAGCGCTCGCCCCTGGGTGTGTCCTGCTTATCTCGGAGCCCGGGGGTGCTCGCTCCCGCCAACGCAGGCCTCTTCCATAGCGCCACGACGTTCTTCTGCGCATGATGGAATACTGAATCCTATCATATCGGTGCACGCTTCACCGGCTTCTGAGCTATGGAGAGCGCATATAATGAATGTCCGCGCCAGGCCCTTTCATCGTCTCTTCGCTACAGCCCAAGCCATGCTGATCCAGTGGCCCGTGGTCTTCTCCTTTTTGCAGCAGCACGCTCTGCTCCTCAACAGCCGACAGGGCTCCTTCAGCGTCGGGACAACCCCGGTCCCCGAGCCGGGCCCCAACGAGGTCCTCATCCGCGTCGAGGCTGCAGCGCTCAACCCCGTGGACTGGAAGATACAGGCGTACGGCGTCGTCGTGGAGACGTACCCTGCGGTGCTGGGCAGCGATATCGCCGGTGTGGTCGAGCAGGTCGGTCTCAACGTCACCTCTTTCGAGCCTGGCGACAGAGTGTGAGTAGCGGATACCGTAGCGCTGGATCACTGACGGAAGTGGGGATAGGATCACCCAGGGCGTGATTGGTATGAATGATCGTTCGGGATTTCAGCAGTATACGCTTGGGTATGAAGAGCTCACCGCGCAGGTGCAGTCATCACTTGCAATAGCCCACTAGAGCACTCGTCCTGAGCTGGGTTTTATCAGATACCGGGTTGGATGGCATTCGAAGAAGCTGCTACGATCCCTCTTGGCCTGGCTACGGCTTCATTGGGCATGTACAACGTACATAGCACTGACACGAGCGCCGGCCTACTCCCTCCCTGGGAACCTAACGGGCGAGATCGATACACGGGCAAGCCTTTCGTCGTCTTGGGCGGGTCCAGCTCAGTTGGACACTACGGTGAGCGAACGCTCGTGCCCATGCGATCGACGTGCTGATGCACACATTCTCCCAAGTCATACAACTAGCCAAGCTCTCTGGGTTCTCTCCCATCATCACCACCGCGTCTCTATACAACGCACCGTCCCTGCTAGCGCTCGGTGCCACCCATGTGTTCGACCGTCACCTCTCGCCGTCAGCGTTACGCTCAACGATCGCCGATATAACGAATGGACCTATCGGGACGATCTATGACGCCGTGTCAATTTATGAGACACAGAACCTCGCATACGACCTCCTCGCGCCCGGCGGGTGCCTCGTCTTGGTGCTGAAAGACAACGTCGAGAAGGACAAGAAGAGCGCGGACAGGCGCGTTGTGAACGTCGACGCGAGTATCAGCTACGCACATAACCGGGAGACGGGCGTCAGTCTGTACGCGGCACTCAGCACCTTGCTGGCGAACGAGGAGATCCAGGTGCGTGTTGCGTGCATGTCGCGGCTGCGTGCTGACTAGCGCTGACTCGGCTGGGGCGCACAGCCGCATCACGTCGAGGTGCTGCCGGATGGCTTGCGAGGGATACCAGAGGGCTTGAAGAGATTGCAGGCCGGAGTGAGCAACGTGAAACTCGTCGCCCAGCCACAACTGGAAGGGCGCTGGAAGTGAGCGCGTCCGCCGGCGAGCCTGCGTCACATTTTATCGCAGTGTGAGCCGCCCCAGCCAGTAGCACCTTCTAGTCCCGCGCGACCCGACTGTAACACGTAGTCGTGCTCGAGTTACTGTATCTCAGTCTGTACAGAAAACCCGTTGTCGGTGGGAGGCCGAGATCGAGATCGACGCTGACTGCCCGAAGTGGGAGGCACGCAGGTTAGCCGTGTACTCGCTAAGAAGAATGCAGCTGATGGCACGTGTGACAAGTTCGTACGTACAAGGCCACATTGCACTCCGAGTCGGCGCGTTCTACGCTGTCAGGCTCGGGCGGTGCTCGGTTCAAGTCAGGAGAACCTTCAAATTTCTTGACCTCCCGTGAACTGCAGTTCCCTCATCGCTCTTGAAGCCTGACCGTTCATTCTGCAACCTGGACTTCTCCATTGAATATAGCCATGCCAGAACCGATCTACTTTCTCACTCACACTCCCGAACAAGCAGCGAAATGGGAGGACATAGCTCGCACCGATCCCGAGCGTGTCCTCGATACCCTCGACATGGGGCCCACAAAGCCAACAAACAGATGGGGAGACCAGCCTCAGGTACGCTGCTCGAACCAAGCTCCTCGATACGGGCTGATCAGCATCGACCGTAGGATGTATTCCCGTGCTTCGCGGCTTGCGGTAAATTGGCGAGCGAGGGCACCGCGGAGTGGCACCGCCTGCTGGACGCGGGCGTCGCGGACAAGCTATGCGATGGTATCTTGTATGCGAAGATCTACCATCCGACGCTCCCGAGTATGTCTGAGGAAATGCAGCGGGAGGCGGTGAGGCAGGTGCGCTATCATGCATGGTTCTTTGAGCAACTTGGAAAGACGAGCCACCGTTGTTCCAGGTTCACTCCGGCCATTTCGTACCGCTTGATGCCATTTGCCACGCGGTCTGCTCCATCTCGAAGACGCCGAACGAGTCTGAAAGCAAATTCCTGCGAACACTCAAGCAGCGATGGCCAGAAATGATCAAACACGTAGGGCGTCCATGCTTTCTGGAGGGTGTCCCTGCGCTAACGGCTCGCTCACAGCTTTGGGAATCTCCTCAGAATGCGCTTCGTCCCGAGTCATCTCATGCCATCGAACGCGCCGTCATTGCCAAGATCGTCGCGCGACTCACATATATCGACTCGTCTGTGATGAGGTGAGCTCGGCATCTTAGTCTACGTCTCTGGTCGTCGCGCTGACACGTTTCTAGCATGATAGATGCAGATTTCGACATGACCCTCCCTCTGTTGACTCGCTATTTCATCCACAGCACCGAGGAACGCGATACCCTCTATCTCCTGAAGACCATCACGATTCTGACGTCCGCTGTCGGGGACAAAGACGTCATCAAATACCGCAAGTTGCATCGTCTGCCAAAGACATGGCTCTCGCGGATGATGCGCGGCTCGACCCCACCGCGGAAACTCTTCGACCGGTGCGGGATACACCTCACGCAAACGATGAAGACGGAAGAGGACGCGAGTATGGTCATGGACTTCATCATTGATCTTTTCGACCTCGTCAACGACCAGGGCCCCGAATTCGCAGGCGACGTCCGGCAGTCGGCCTCGCTGTGGACGAACCTGTTCATCTACATGCGGAAGACAGCGGAGCGGAAGATCGAGCCTACCGATAAGGCTGCAGACAGGCGCGCCAAACGGATCGTGGCGAAGGTCATCGGCATCACCGCTAACTGGATGCACACCTGCTTCTTCCATGCTTCCGACCAGCTCAAGCCGTTCCTGGAGCTCTGTATCCGGGCGGACTTATTCAGCGCGCTCGATATTGCCATTCCACGCGCCGTCGAGGCGGAGGGTGTGACCAGTACGTCCCTTCCTGTCGTAGGCGTGGTCTCATCTCATTCAGCGCGGTACTGACCACCCAACTCGCGCCTCTCACAGTGCAGCTCACGCGCATCCTCTTCTCGCTCGACAGCGTCCTCTCCAAGGGTCCCTCCGCCGCAGCCCTCGTCAAGGGCCAGCTCCCCCGCCCCCGCATTTTCCATGCGCTTCTCATGCACTCCTACTTGGACCCGCGCACCCGCACCCCGCGCGCGCCGAGCGAGTGGGTGCGCAACGGGACGATCCAGAAGAACGCGAAGGGCATCCCCACCGAGCCCGACTTCTACGACTCGGGCTGCTGGCAGATGTGGCGCCAGCTAGAGACGTGCGCGAAGCCGCGCGGGGTGTGTGCCCGGCGGGTGTGCGACCAGCGTGCGACGGCGCGGTGCAGCAAGTGCTCGCAGGCGCCGTATTGTGGGGCGGACTGTCAGAAAAAGTGCGTCGTGCTGGCGAGACTGTGCTTCGGTGGTCGTGTGCGTGAACAGGAGGCTGATGGACAGTTTGCAGGGACTGGAAGGAACACAAGATCGTGTGTGGAATTGAAGTAAGTGACACGGTACCGAACAGTGGATGCCTTCAGAAAATTACTATCCCAGCCCTCAGCGCGTTGTCGATTAGTGATTGAAACAGCTTTCTTAGCGGCTCTCGCACTATATACTTGTCTTGACGGCCTCGGTGCTCCAACTCATAGCCATTCCATTGACATGGTCCACCGCGCGCAAGTATTTAACGTTTGAACCTCGATTTGTATACTAGCGCAGCGTGATGACTTCCGGACAATTCTGGCGGTAGTGTGGCCATTTAACGACCACGCCATTCGACCAGACAGACAACTTCAAGGTATGTTGGGATTGTGCCATGACATCCGATAAGTAGCGGACGGAGGAGCTACACTTCATGAGCCGCCATGCAGGTACCGGTGATGATACGAGGAAAGCATGTATTGGTCCTGGTCTCTACGGGTTATATATGAAGTGGATCGTTCTGTGTCTCGACAGACAGACATTCGTTCGTCAGATATACAGTAGAGTGACTCAGATCACGACGAATACGCAGAGTACATCACTCTACCCACTTACGCGCCTACCACCGCTAAGACACCCATGTCCACCCGAGGGCATACGTCCTAACCGCAATATCCCTGTTGTCTGTGCTCACCGCCCTACAACAATAGTCCGCCACGTCCACTGCAACCACCCGTTCAGATGTCAGCGCATCACCGAACCCACCTCGGGGAACCCAGGGGACCAGCCAGGTTGCGCACGGGTCATCGCCGCGAGCGAATCCTCGAGATTATTGCTTCCTGTGAGTACTTCAAGATCACAATTAGATTAATAGGTAAGATAGAGCTGATGCGTCTTTGAGAGGTTCACCGCTCGGGTAATAGCATCATACCCGACAGATACAGCGGGCGGCCGCCGTGCCAGCGAGAGTTGGCGAGCATACGGGCGGACGGTGCGGGGAGGGAAACGCGACCAACGACCGAGGGGCAGGAGGAACAGGTGCACCGCCCAGTATTTTCAATGTCCTATATGCCGCCTGAGTACTGGCGCAATCAGTCATACCACACTGCTGCTGTCGATACATGCACGCACCTTCAAAAGAACGGTAGACCGCCGTGCTGCGCGCGCTCCACCTGGTCGCTACCGACGGCATGTTGGTACTTCGTGATGTTCTCCTCGGCCGCGCCCTCCCACGACTGCCCCTCGATCTGGCACGCCCTCCACGTCGGCATGCTCTGTGCGGCGGCAAGAACGAGGGCCACGAAATCCGTCGTGGGGGGAGGGATAGTGTGCATGCCCGTAACTAGCAACACTGGATCAACACAAGCAGGGAAGGCAGGGAACGGGAGCGGCATCGTTGGTCCGGGCGCATGCACGTATGTGCTGGCGACGGGCCCCGCACGGCCCTCGTGGCGGATGTTCTCCTCAGAGTCGATGATCTCGCGGGAGAGGAGCCAGTCCTGCCAGGGGACTGGCGAAAGGATGTCGACGGTGGGGCTCCGGAAAGGCCAGAAGCCCCGGACGCGGCATTCGTGTATGAGGAAGACGGCGGGGAAGGGTGCGTGGTCGTGGTGGCTCTCGAGCGCGACGGCCTTGCCGTGGAAGGCGGTCTCGCTTGGGGTTTCACTGTAATTCACGAACACGTACTTCCTGACCTGTACATAGAATCCGTACGTAAGTACCCTGAGGAGCGCAAAGAGGGAGGGGGTCCGCACTTCGGGACAGAAGCGGATGAACGCCTGGTAGCTGTCGAACCTTTTGTGGTGGTTTGGGCAAAGCGTGATGGCGTTCCTCAGCTCGTCTGAGGCACTCTTCGCTGTGGTAGGGACATAGCCCCGGTTTTGTAGGTCCTCCCACTACGAAACAGTGAGAAGACTAGAGCAGGTGTGAGCTTGACACGTACTGTTTCCCGTTCGGATGGTGGGATGACATGACAGCGCTCTACTATGTCTGCGCCGCATACGATACAGGCCTGCTGGCCCAGGAACACGTCCCGCCTGTCGAGGTTGGTGGCGAACGCGGCAGTGTTGGAGTCGACTGAGCTGTAGTCCTCAATGTGCTCGTGTTCGAAGCCGGGCGGAGGAGCGTCCGAGGGAAGTGGCAGCGGATTTTCGAGAGGAAGGCTCACCGACGGACCACTCGGTGGCTGGGCTGGCGATTGGTGGGCGACTGACCGCTGAGCCGACCGGCACGCGTCGTTGTGCGCGAAGACCCCGCGGACGCGCAGGACCGTGCCGGTGGCGACGATGTAGGTAGCCTCGACGTGCGCGAGACAGCCTGTGAAGTGTAAGTTTCTCCATGCATTCTGCCGCTTCTTCACGCCGACGACCTTGTGGTTGTACCCAGAGTCGCTGGACGGCGCGGTCAGGGATCAGGGATGGCACTAGTAGTCTGCGGCGTCACGCGACGCACCACTGGAAGAGAATCCGCCTCGTCTTCTCCGGCGACTTCGAGCTCTTGTGGTTCTGCCGACTGGCCCATTTCACGCTCCAGAAGCTCCACCAAGGCTGTGGGCGCGCCTGGTGTGCAATGTCCAGGCGGAGGTTCGTGAGGAGGGCCGTCGCGTCGTTCTGGGACGCCTCGTCGTCCGCGACGAACTCCCGGTCTTCTTGAGGCTTGCCGTCGGGTGAGTAGGCCTGCTCAAGGGCGGACGTCTGTTCGGGGGTGAGGGTGAGGTACTCGGTGTATACCGTGTTAGGAGACCGTCGCGCGGTCAGGCTCTTGCTCTGCCCGCTCGCTTCTTCAGGTGAGATGTTCCGCCAGACATCGCGTGGCTCTGTTGTTGCTGTTACTGCTGTTGCTGCTGCTGTGCTTCGCTTTCTCTTCGGCATGGGTGTGCTGTGCGCGCGAGATTATGGATGTGCAACTAAGTGACCGCCGGCGGGACGCGTGAGTGGCGTGTGCATATGTTCAAGTTGGGCGGAAGCAAACGCGTCTGTGGCTGTAGCCCTCTCCGGCTCCGTTTATACGGTTTAAGTTGATCCGAGGTTTATCAATGTCAACGAACGAAACGTTCAGACCAGTCTCAGAGATTCCGAGAACGGACTTGCCAGCTTACTGCGTTATAACAGGTGAACATACGCCTACAAAAATTGTATTGATACACTTCGTATGTCCGCAGAGTCGAGAATTATGGTACATGCGTACATGGTATCGAAGATACGACTGTGGTCGTGATTATAAGTAACAGATGGAGCGCAGAGCAAGCGCGACGTCCGGCATTACATAACAGATGGGGGTGTAATGTAAAACTAACCAGGGTTATAACATACGAGGATGACGAAGAGGAAACCACAAGCGCAGCGCACCAAACGGTCTATCCGCCTACCCCGGCCAACACCTTGAACACCATGTCCTGCCTCTCCCTGAACGCCCTCAGCCTCGTCATGCCCAGCGCAAGCGCGTTGATCCGATTCGCGAACGCGACCGCCCTGTTCTCCGTGCTCGTCGTCCTGCGCCGGTGGTCAGCCGCACGGGGCACGTCCGCCGCAGCCGCACCGTCGAACGCATGGCCGACGCCACCCTCAAGTATATCGCGCGCACGGTCGAGACGAGGCAGGGGCGGGTCCTCGCCGCGCTCGAGGGCCTGCACAGTCGCGACCGAGTCTTGCTCCTCCATCTCGTGCGCAGCCCGGCCGATCGCGCAGAGCTCGGCCATAAATGGGCGGAGGTCGGGCGGGCACTGGCTGAGGAGGAGCGTCTTATCGAGCACGCCGTATATCGTCGCCTCCTGCTCCACGCCAGCGTGCCCGTTCGCACCGGACGAGGGAAGGACGTCTGCGAAGGACTTGCGCCTTGCGGGGTGGGTGACGGAGGAGGTGGCGACGGAGAGGATGGCGAAGGCGACGGCGGCGAAGTACGCGCGGGTGGGGTCTCTGCGGAGGGCGCGTCGGAGGGAGGGCATGCGCTCGATCACGTCAGCGAGCGCCGCGTAGAGCGTCTCGCGGATGAACTCGATGGCGGGCGCGTCGGGGGCGAGGATGGTCGGCTTGGGGCTCGTGGGCGAGGGCGGCATGGGGCTGAAGGAGGCATGGTGCGAGAGCGAGGGAGAAGGAGAGTGCTTTGGTGAGGCGGAGGCGGGTGCGTCGTACGAGGGTGGAGGGACGAAGCTGGCCTTCATCTTCGTGCGGCCGTTCGTGCCTGCGTCGAGGGCCGCCTGGAGGTCGTTGACGTAGCGATCTTGAAACGTCCGCCGCATGCTGATCTCAATTGCTACTGCCCTGAGGTCTGCGGCAATGCCGCAGAGACGAGAGTTGGAGGGTACGGCGATGGGTGGGAGGTTGCAGATAATGCGGGCGAGGTCGTGCTGGTGCTCGGGTGTGAGAGCCTGAATCTCCGGGACGGCATGCGACCAGACGAGCCAGAAGGGGCGGAAGGTGGGTGGGCAGTTCTCCTCGGAGAGATTGAAGGCTGCGGTGGAAGTTTTGGAGCGGCGAGGGAGGGGCACGGATGGCGGCTCGGTCGTCGAGCGCAGCGCGGCAAAGTAGAGACATAGCGCGGGTCCTGGGTTCACAAGTTGGTTTCTGGGGTATACTGTAACATCGAATGTTACGCACCTGTGATCATGAGATCCCCCTCCGCGCTGGACAAGACATTGGCGGGCAGGAGGCCCTCGACCTTTGCCTGAGTGAGCGAGGACTTGAGGTAGGAATGGAACGCGTCCTGGACTTGCTCCTCGGACAGGCCAGGGCTCGGATTGGCGACAGAGTAGTGTGTCTGATGTGGCATGGTGATGGTCGAGTGCGGTGATAGAGCGCGTATCTTCCGCCGCACACACACCCAAAGTACTTGAGCGCTGAGCCACCCCGCACCGCCCCGCTCGGTCCCTTCCCGTCATGTGATGCGTCTTCCACATACGGCAGGTCTCCTTCCAAACCGAGCACGTCGTCCGAGGCGCTGTAGCATAGCCCCATGCCGAGCGGACAGCCTTCCAGGGCGGTGACTCGACCGACGCGTCGGCCGGCTAGATGACGACTACACTGTCATGTAGCGAGAGGGCGTAGCCGTCGCGAAATGACACTACGGTAGTCAGCAGACCTGGACCAGTGCCTCGAGCTTGCACTACTGCACGTACCGGAAGAGAGCAAAATCCGCGGCGACGTCGAAGGCGGCTCTACGCGCTCGCAGGATTTCCAGTGCACAAGCTTCCACCAGCACACTACCCAACGTTTGCGCACATTCCAAGTCAACGTACCGGAGACTCGGGGATCCCAGCTAGTTTTCCGTTCACCGTCGAGAACAAGGATATTGACTGCCGATGAATACAAGGAGAAACACTGCTCGGACTCGCGTAGCAGAAGAAGAGAAAGGTGAAGCGCATTTGGCTTCGTGACGGGCGCGACCACGTGCAGATAAGTACCACCGACTGTCCTGACAGTGACTTTGAGATTTGAATCATCGTAGACTTGACGGCGACCTTGATCGTCATATATGCAGGCTAACATGTTCGCTGCACAACCTGAGACAGCGGAAGAAATACGAAGCCAAAGCCAGTAACTAGTACAGCGTATAATCAGTGAGTGCAGAGCACTACGGACTCGGATCGCCCTAATCACCCGTGCCTCCGACTCGATATCCTTCACAGTGGCGACGCATCTCTTCAATAAAAATGAGACGGCACACAACGACCTTCCACGCAGCGTACCTCCATTAGTTGTTTATGGTATGTTGCGCCGATGGTCAACCGGTCCACTGATTGGCTACATTCCAGGACGACCGACAATAAGGCCACCATGCTTAGGGATCAGACCCTTCACTGAGTGGTCGGTGTTACCTGTGCGCATGGGCGTCGAACTCTATCCAACGTTTACTAGATAAGTCCGGCTGCACGTATTGTCTTTACTCCCGTACGCCGTCGTCTTCCACCGTCCACCGATACTTCTTTCCCAGAGCTCTTCGGAAAAACTCCAACTCGGTGGCCCTACTCATAAGCGCACTTGACAGCTGTAACCGCCTCATATACGCACATGGTGCCGTCTCCGAGAGCCCGTTCGCCACCTCTGTCTGCGCCGAGCTATCCAAGAATCCAAGACCCCGCGCGGACTTCTCAGTGTACGAGCATGCCTTCGAAGCCAAGTCTGGTACGTCCTGGTGTATCTCCCATTGAGTTCTATCACGACCCGGCCCATCGCTGCTCACCACAGAGTTGGGCCACAATCGCAGCAACAGCAGCGTATCCTTCAATTTCTCACCGCGGTGATGACAGCGTCGACCCACCGAGTAGCCTGTATTCAAGCTCGAGCATCAGTAATCCAGCCGAACTCGCCGTAGAGTGTCCTGATTCCTCGAACGGGCGAACGCCACATGTTTCACGACTCCTCCACGTACCCGGTGTACTCGCATGGGTCGTCGGAGGCGCCGCGTTCCTGGGCTTCGTCGGGATGTCGCTCGGCCAAACCGTCCGCCGTAGAACTCATACCTGCCTCCCCGAAAGTGAACTGAATATCCAATGCGCGAGGCGGGTAGGAGCTGCAGGTGCAGCGGTGTTGAGCCTGCCTCTCTACGCGACCTACCTATCCGTCTCTCGTGCGTTAGCGAGGCGGGCGCCACACCCGCTCGTTCGCCGCTGGCCACTGAGCAGTGCATGCTTACTGCAGGTCTGCAAGACTCTTCTCTTCGTCTCGTATGGTGCGGCATCCGGCGCGGCTGGGTGGGCGATTCTCAGAGCGACATGGAGTCGTGGGTGCGATATGTCGGATATCGCTCGTGCGGCGGGGATTGGTGCGCTAGGCTGGTTCCTACTTTCGCTCGTCTGCGTCGTCTGTGAGAATGTACCGGTTGGCCTGAGTGTAGCAGAGTAATATGAATGATACTTGCGGAGTGCACGACTGGGCTTAGAACCATGAAGACGACGGATATACAAGCCATGACGAAACTACGGACGATAGGCTTGATCTTTGGCCAGGAGAAGTTGGCTGGGATCCACGCAAGGTCGAGAGGGAAGTACCTGGCTGCAGTCTGGCGGAGTGCATTCGTGTACTGGCCGCAGGACCGTCTTTCGCGCCGCTGAGGTTGCTTCTCAGTGTCGCTGGGCGAGGAACGGCCCTGCGAGCCTCCGGGGCCCCAAGAAGGCGTCTCGATACGGACATAGCGGAGAGGCGGGATGTCGCGGGGAACGTGGTAGGGGCCATATGCGGCTTCATCCTCGTCTTCGTCGCCGAGACGTGGGTCGTAGCTGAGGTTGTGCCTCCAGCTGATATCAATAACCTCGGGCTACCGAGACACAGGAAGGAGCTCTGGCGGCGGCATGGTCGGGGAAGGGGCTTACTCCCGTGCAGACGAGGTGCGCGTCCTCCGAGTCGCCAGAGTCAGTGGGCCAGTCAGGGACCACGCGCGGGTGGGCCTGTTCCGGGGAGAGGTCGTCGTCGGCGAGCCAGCAGTCGTCGTCGCGAGCCTCGGGGCGTGCTGTGCGGGAACAGGGTTTTCGGGGCGGCTTGGGGTGTTATATGGGCGTCGAACATGACGGGCAGAGTAGATGGGGCGAGCGCACAGAGACCCGAGTGCACTGCTGCCGTTGACGGCGACACGGAGAGGAGAGGCGCGCATCCGTCGATCAAACGCGCCCACCTGCTGCCCTCACGTGTTTACTCTCGTCCTCGACCTCCCGCCACCACCGCCTTCACCAGCTGCGTCGGGCTCGCCTGTCGACTTCCTCAAGCGCGTCGTCGGCGCGCGCATCGTCCTGCACCTCACGTCTGGCGTTGGCTGGCATCGTCGGCTAAGGGTTAGGTTATGGGGAAATTGGACACATTTTGGACGTAGGAAAGTCTAGGAAAGTCCCCTACACACAGAAATTACAGGCCATGGCGCAGGAAACGGTGCACCGGAGTACATATACTCATGGAATAAATGCACATCTTTGGCGCATTAAACACGGAACTTGCATCCTCACTGCAATCGACACTGTTCAAGTTCACTGGCGCACGGCATACGATGCTCACGGCACTTCTGAGCACGGAACATCTGCCTACGAGTCTTAGAACCCTCAGGGAAGCCTGGGAAAGTACAACAAAGGTAGTGCATACGACAGAATACGCACACAATCTACGGGATGACATGCACGGACAGCCCTCCGCTCCGACTGTCAGTAGTGAATTATGCGCCAGTGGTGCACGGCGGCGGGCCGTGTCTCTCGCGCAGAAAGAGCACACCGGGCACTGGCATTCACAATAGCGAAGCCTGCGCCAGTGGTGCATTATAGTGACCTACAGTAAACATGGGGGGGTTGTGGTGGGGTTGTGTTGCCCGATATACGAATTACTATATATGGGCATAACCATATAAGGCAAGTGGTGACATTTCTCCACTGTGTGAGTAGTACATATGCACCAAAAGATGCCTCATAGGAGGGCGCGCGCGATCGCGCGCGCCCTCCTAAAATGTATGCTGGATGGGTCATGACAAGGTACATTAAGGAGGACGCACGCGACCATGCGCGACCTCCTAAACACGGATATTATGGAGATGGCATACATACCAATTAGGAGGGCGCGCGCGATCGCGCGCGCCCTCCTAATCGTACCTATATCAGCGTCTATTTCAGTGTGCATACACAGCACATGTCCAATCAAAATGTGTCTTATAGGAGGGCGCGCGCGACCGCGCGCGTCCTCCTAAACACAGATATCTGGACATGTATGGGATGGTGCGTGCACCCATGATCCATGGTATAGGAGGGCGCGCGCGATCGCGCGCGCCCTCCTACATGGCATGTGTACCGGCGTCTATTCTGCCAACGTATACGGTGTGTGTGTACATATATCTGCTAAATAGGAGGGCGCGCGCGATCGCGCGCGCCCTCCTACCGAGGTGTATTTGGGCATGCATATCATGGTGCGCGCACCCCTGATGCATGTCAAAGGAGGACGTGCGCGACCGCGCGCGCCCTCCTTGTCACGTGCCATAATATTCCACACATGTGACTCATCTGTTTGCATGATGGCGTGATCAGTCCCTTCCCTTTGATCCACAGACCATCTGTGTGCGCCAGGTACGTTCTTGCTCTCACCATGTCCCCTACCACAGCACTCAGCGCTGGCCAGTCACCATGGACCGTCCAGCATGGTCTGACCGGATTCGTGTCGTCCTCGAAGCTGCTGTGCTCGTCCGGCTGATCCACAAACACACGGAGCAATTCGTGCAATCGCACGTTCCCGTCGGTCCCGCATACGTCCCGCTCACCATCTACGAGATCTACCAAAAATGGCACGAGCACATGAAGGAGTGGCTCCGCATCATACGCGTCCGTACAATCACCGACCCGCAACCCCTCAACATGCTCTATGTACGCTCAGAGATCGATCGACTCGAAGCGGTCATGATCGCATTGGCCAACTTCATCACCCCCTTGTACAGGCACTGGAGCACCCCCAGATTGCCCGAATCATTGCGCATCCACACTCATGATCGTGATGAATGGACGCACATCGCGCGGTCCACTATCAGTCTCATGTGCTTGGTGAGGGAGACTGTTGATTACTGGCACAGTATGTTCTCTGCATGACAATTAGTCTATTCAGCATACTGACTCATCACACAGAAATACTGGACAAGAATTATGGCATGTACCACACCATTGTTACATCAGTAGCTACTCACCCTCCATTGCTACAGTCAATGCAGGCATACTCTGGCAGGATCCACCCATCAAGCGGATCCTGTACAACCATCACGCCAAACACGCCATTGACCTCGATACCGCCGCGCAAGAGCGCAACACACTTGTTGGCTATTCCGGACGGTTTGTGAATCCGAGCCCTCAGTGGTTTGTGCCCTATGGCCACATCAATTACACGAACGAGTACGAATTCTTTGAGCGCATCTGTGCGCACATTGCCCTTCTTCTCCAAGAGCGGCAATTGCGCATAGATCGTGAGATTGAATTCGATGAAGAAATCCATGTTTGGGTCGACCGCTGGCTCGGTCATCTTCGCGCACTACTACTCATGATTCACGGTGCGCGCACCCCTCTCTCTCTAGTATTGTGGCACTTGTCTGAAAGGTTGCAGAGAAACTCGATATCCGCTGTGAGCGCCGACCACCCATCTGGCTCGAAATCGATCTCCCAAGGGATAGAGCGATTCCGGACGCACCATACACGCTCCCCATCGGGCAACTCACATCGCTGTTTGCGCACCCCGAGGAGATTGATTTTTGGGACAAGCAGTCCGGATCGCAGAAGCCCGTCGCAATGCCCGAACCACCTGAGCTTGTGCGCGACAACATTGCTCAACGGGTATGGCGTGCGCGCCAGGCCCTTCACTGCCAGCACGTATATCTCCGTCTACAGTCGGAGCGTGCCACATTGCACGGGGTCAATGACCGTACATACCGCGGAGGTGGGCCGTCACCTGAGGACGTCTCGAAAAGCGTCGACATTATCTCGAGACGCCTCGCGTGGTTCAATGCGCAGGTCGAATTCTATCAGCAGTGGTAAGCATCCCGCACTCTGAACGTTGAACACTCAGTGACATGTTCTACCTACCAGATCTCAGTTGTGTAGTCATGTTTGTATGGTCTCTTACAACACGCGCGGAACAATGCTACTCACGGTCGGACACATATTCATTCAGCCAGAGGTAAGTCACAAAGGTGCGCGCACCAAACACGGTGAGTACCGCATGCTATGCGCACGGTAAGAATCGCCGCGCGCACGGTAAGAATCACCGTGCGCACGGTAATAAACACTGCGCACACTTAATCACCCCTTACCTACAGTGCAGGCCGAACACTTGAGCGTTAACGGCACATACGGTCAGATGACCGGTGGCCGGCGCGTCGCGTCGGTCGACTTAGCGCCGTGGCTTGTGGCTGAGACTTGGACGCCGTTGTGGCTGCTCGGTCTTGCTCGCGCGCATCTCCCTCTCCCACTCGCACTCCCTCTCCCCCCTGCTTCTACCACTCACCCCGCTCTTCCTCGACACCCTGCAACAATGGTCGGCACCTGGGGCATCGAAAAGGTGTGCAACTACCTGCGCAAGGTCGCCCTCGAGGCCGGACACCGTCTCAGCGAGCGCGACGTCTTTGTCTTCACGGACCACCCGCCGCGATGGGACGACTGGACGGAGGAGGACCTCATGCTCCTCAACAGGATGCTCCGGGCGCTGTACAACAGCCCGGCGTCCTTCAAGGTTTTTGAAATGATCGTCGCGACATACCTGCTGGTGAGTACCCTGTTCTGTGGGATGCGAGCTGGGGGATTGACGTGCGGTCCTAGGGTTATGGGGACAATTGAGACGACCCAGGGTGCCTTGGCGCCGGCTTAACCCTAGTAAGCGCCGGCTTAACCCTATAGACGCCCAAGATTTCCCAGAGCGGGCGGGCAGGGCGATGGACTGGTGTGGGTGGATTGGAGAGTGGGGTGAACCGGCCAGGCTGGACGGTGAATGGGTACGGTTCGTCGAATGAAAGGCCGGGCATGCGATGTGTGCGTCCGCGACGCACAGCACGCACGAGCAGCAACGGGCGTGCGGCGCGGCGTTGTGCGTCCGCGACGCACAGCAGGCGCACGACGGGCGAGGCACGTGAGGTCCGTGCATGGCCTGCGGTCCGGCGGTGCAAGTGCGCGGGTTGCTGCGGAGCCGAGAGCCTTGGGCGTCGCGCGGGCAGGTGTGCGTCGCGGACGCACAACGCCCGCGCGACGGCCGGCGCGAGCGGAGCTGCACCCGTGCACGTGCACCGCCGGACCGCAGGCCATGCGCGCGCCTCACGTGCCTCGTCCGGCGTGTGCCCGCTGTGCGTCGCGGACGCACAACACCGTGCCGCGCGCCCGTTGCTGCCCGTGCGCGCTGTGCGTCGAGGACGCACACATCGCACGCCCGGCCTTTCATTCGACGAACCGTACCCATTCACCGTCCAGCCTGGCCGGTTCACCCGAGCTGGGGTAGTGACTGGTTGCTTAGAGCTGCGATTCTGCCCGTTGTAACAGTGGCTACTTACAATTGCTTATCTTTCCGTAGTTACTTATAATTGCTTATCTCTCCGTCGTTACTTACAACTGCTTATCTTTCCAATGTACCCATTCAAAGTCACACTGATGTACGATAAGCATTGCATTCCGCGTAACGAGTAGTACAAGAACAAAAGAAAACAAAGTCCGACGTGTACAGATGAGGATGCGAGAGATGATACAGTATATACGAGTCCGCGACACGACGAAGGCCTCACTTTTTGCCACCCTTCTTGCCCTTCGAGCCGCTCTTCGCGTTGCGCGCAGAAGTCGTCGGCTTGCCGGTTGCCTTTCCGCCGCTGACCTTGGCGAAAGTGAAGCGCTCGACCATCGGGGCCTTGCGCATCGTCCGACGAGGGGGCTCATCCAGCGCGGACGAGTTCTTGCGCTTGCGCGGGTTCGACGGTCCAGCAGCAGACGACGATCCAGCGGCAGACGCGCCCTCGCCTCGTCCAGGTCGTGCTCGTCCTGGTCGTGCTCGTCCTGGTCGTGCTCGTCCTGCTCGTCCTGGTCGAACTGCATGAAGCCTGCAGAGGGGCTGGCGGCGGGGGTGCCTAGAAGGAAGTCAGCACAAGGTGTTTTGAAGACGGGTAAGGACTTACTGAGAGGGCTGGATTGCGTGAAGCCAGCACCCGGGAGGGGCGCGTTGTCCACGTCCATGGCGTCCTCGTTGTCGACGACGGGGGCGGCGGCCTGCTGCGGGGCGGGGTGGAGGGACGCCTCACGCAACTGCTGAGCAACAGCGTCGAGGGAGGGCGGGTTTGCAGCCGAGCGAGGGGGACGGTAGAGGTTTGGCGCCATGGAGACGATGGGCCGGCGGGAGAGTGCGGGTGGTGGTGCTGCGGCGAGGACGGCGGGAGGAACGAGAACGGCGAGGGCGGGGGACGACGCGAGCAGGGGACGGGAGGGGCGGGAACACAAACCGGGAGGACGATGGCGGCGGCGGAGTGGGAGTGTGAGGGGGGCGGGGGCGGGGCCGGCAGCGGAGCCAGTCGACGGAGACGGCGAGCGGGACGACGGTGGCGTCGGCGTTGCGGCCATCGCGGCCATCTTCTCGACCTCGTCCTCGAGAGCCTCTGCGGCAGCCTGCGCGGAAGCCTTGGCAGCGTTCTTCGCCTTCACCTCGGCGGCCTTGATAGCCCTCGCGCTGCCGGCGGCGCAGCTGTTGAGGTTAGCCTTCCTCGCCGCCTCCTTCTCCTTCTCGGCCGCCTTGTCGGCCTTCTCCTTCTCCTTCTCGGCCTTCTTCGCGGCGGCGGCGGCGGCTTTCTGCGCCTTCTTCGTCATCTTCGGCGGGGCGACTTGGGACGTGGAGGCCGCCGAAGTCGACGCAGCCCCGGACGCGGCCGTCGTGGCAGTCTTCTTGCCCGACTTCTTCGGGCCGGGACCTCCACGATGTCGTCGTCCTCGGACTCCACGATGGCGGCAGACTTCGGCGCGGCCTTGCCCTTGCCCTTCCTGTCGGCCTTGCCCTTGCCCTTCGACTTGCTGGCCTTGGGGTGGGCTCCTCCTCCTGGGGGTGCTCGTCCTCGAACTCCTCCTCGTCCTCCTCGTCGACCTCCTCGGCCTCATCGTCGATGAGGTCCGCGACGACGTTGCCGATGAGGCCCGAGAGCGCTCGCTCTGTGGAGGCATGGTCAGATAAGACAAGATGAGAAAAGGACGACTTACGCAGGGCGAAATCGGACTCGACGAATGCCTCGTGCATGAGCAGCTTGGCGTAGGCGAGGTTGTGCAGGAAGACGTCAGTACTCCCGAGCAGAACCAGGTAGTAGACGTAGCAGGCCTTGAGCTGGCCCATGCGCACGATGCGCCCCTTCGCCTGCTCGTCCTCCTGCGCGGACCACGTAGTGTCCTAGAAGGTGTGAGCAGACGACAAGGAGATAAGGGGGATACTCACGATGAAGATCATGATGTTCGCCCACGTCAGGTTGAGGCCAGTCGCGCCGACCTACGACATGACGAGCACGCGGGGCCCGTCGACACCGGACTTCCTGAACTCTTCGACGACCTTCGCGCGGTTGGCGGCCGAGAGCTTGCCGTTGAGGAACAGGACCTTGATGCCGTAGGCGTCGAACAACTAGAGGAACGTGAGCAATACTGCGGAGAAGGCGAAGGAGGACTTACGATTTGAGAACCTCGTTGTTCGAGGGGAAGTACGAGAAGACGATGATCTTGTCAACGTCCGTGGCGTTGGCCCCATCGTTCTTCTCGCCGCCCGCCTGCTTCTGCGCGTTGGGATCTTGCGCGCCCTCCGCGTCGGGATCTTGCTCGCCCTCCGCGTCGGGATCTTGCTCGCCCCCGCCGGTCTTCTCGCCCTCGACGGTCTTCTCGCCCTCGACGGTCTTCTCGACCTCGACGGTCTTCTCGACCTCGACGGTCTTCTCGACCTCGGCAGTCTTCTCGTCGTCGGCGGTCTTCGCAGCGTCGGCGTTCTCGTCGCGCGCAGCGTCCGCGTCGCCGCCGGCCCCGTCGCCCGCAGGAGCGGCCTCTTCCAGGTGTTCCTGGTAGTTGCTGTCCGGCTCGAGGACGTTGGCGTCGGGGAAGGGGGGAGGTTCCTGAGGGGGACGCCCCGGAACTCCTTCTTGTTGGCCAAGGGCGGGGCGCCCGCGGTGCCGAGGTGGTGCTGGATTATAGTGACTTTCGATAAACATGGCAGGCTTAGGGTGGGGTTATGGTGCCCAATATAGTAATTACTATATATGGGCATAACCATATAAGGAAAGTGTTGACATTTCTCCCCTGTGTGTATGGTGCATGTGCACAAAAATGTGCCTCCAAGGTGATCGCGCGCGGTCGCGCGCGATCACCTAAACCCTATGCTGGAGGTGTCTTGACAAAGTACCCTCAAGGTGATCGCGCGCGACCGCGCGCGATCACCTAAACACTACTATTGTGTACCCGGTATACATACCATTTAGGTGATCGCGCGCGATCACCTTGACGCACCTATATCGGCGTCTGTTTAAGTGGACCTGTACTGCACATGTCAGTTCAAATTGTGCCATTTAGGTGATCGCGCGCGACCACGCGCGATCACCTTGAGATCGGTGTTTGGACATGACTGACCGGGGTGCGTGCACAAATGATGGTCAAGGTGATCGCGCGCGATCACCTAAATGGTATGTAGGCCAGCGTCTATTCTCTCGACGTGCAACATGTATGTCCACTCAAGAGATGCCATTTAGGTGATCGCGCGCGATAGCGCGCGATCACCTTGTGAGTGGTGTTTGGACGTGCATGACATGGTGCGCGCACCCCAGACCCATGGTCAAGGTGTGAACGTGCACGACCGCGCGCGTCCACCTTGTCACGTGCAATATTATTTGACACATGTGACTGGTGTGGCTGCACGATGGCGTGACCAGTCCCTTCCCTTCGATCCTCAGGCCATCAGTGTGTGCCAGGTACGTTGTCTCTCCCACCATGTCCCCGCCCGCAGCACTCAGTGCTAGCGCAGCACACCAGTCGCCATGGACCGTCCAGCATGGTCTGACCGCATTCGGGTGATCCTCGAGGCTGCCGCGCTCATCCGACTGATCCCCAAACACACAGAGAAGTTCCTACAGGAACTCACTCCCATCGGTTCAGCATATGGCCCGCTCACCATTAATGAGACCTATCAAAGATGGCACGAGCACATGAAGGACTGGCTCCGTATCATACACGTCCGCACGATCACCGACCCACAACCCCTGAACATGCTCTTTGTCCGCTCAGAGATTGATCGACTCGAATCGGTCATGATCGCATTGGCCAACGTCATCACCCCCTTGTACAGGAACTGGAGCGTCCGCACATTGCCCGAATCATTGCGCATCCACACTCATGATCGTGATGAATGGACGCACATCGCGCGGTCCACTATCAGTCTCATGCACTTGGTGAGGGAGACTGTTGATTACTGGCACAGTATGTTCTCTGCATCGCAATTAGTCTATTCAGCATACTGACTCATCACACAGAAATCCTGGACAAGAATTATGGCATGTACCATGCCACTGTTACATCAGTACTACTAGCCACTCACCTTACATTGGTACAGTCGATGCAGGCATAGTCTGGCAGGATCCACCGATCAAGCGGATCCTGTACGACCATCATACCAAACACGCCATTGACCTCGATACCGCCGCGAAAGAGCGCAACGCACTTGTTGGTTATTCCGGGCGGTTTGTGGACCCATGCCCTCAGTGGTTTGTCCCCTATGGGCACATCAACTGCACAAACGAGTACGAGTTCTTTGAGCGCATCTGCGCGCACATTGCTCTTCTTCTCCAAGAGCGGCA